GTCTTCTGTATTCATTTATTCATAACAGAAAGCAACAATTCTGATATTGAAAGGTTTTGTTATCAGAACTGTTGCTAACCATTTTGTTGCATAACAAATGAAATAATTTGCAAAATACCAAAACGCAGTATATCAACCAAGTGTAGAGAAACAATATAACCTAAAGTCAGAGTTGAGAACAAAAGCCCCCTTGTTTCTTACCAGCTAACCATTCATCTATCTTCTTTTTTTCTTTCAGCTTCTCTTTCTTTTCAGCACTTAATCTATTTTTATTCAAAACTATTTTCAGTACTTTATCTAAACTTACTCAAAACAATTTTTAGCACTTAATCTGTGTGTATTCAAAATTATTGTTGGCATTTAAGGTGACAACAGACACTTTCCGTGGTACTCACATTTAAATGTCATTTAAACCAACTTTATTTAAGTAATAATTGTTATTTATTTAATCGTTGTGCTTTAAATGTCGTTGATCATCATAAAAAAATAACATATTGAAAAAATGCCTTTTGAAAATGATTGATTTTTAATAAAAATCCTAAAATTTTAAATCGTCATATCAAAGTCATTTTTTATCTTTTTGTCATCAAACTTTTGGAAAATAAACATACTTATAATATCTGGGGAACCGTGTCTCAAATTTTTTCTATCTTTTCTCAAAAAAATATTACGTAACGTCAAAAATTTTATGCGACATTTTTCACCACACATATTACGTAATTAAAGATAATAAAGTCGCTGATTGAGCAATCAAAAATCCCTGACACGGTTCCCTCCGTAAATGAATTTCCTTTCATGTGCTTTAAACCGCATGTTAATTGCTTGATTATTAAAAAAGTTATGTCGATTCAAAGTTAGTCCGACCCGCATCAAACGAAGTGTCATAAATCGGCTGTTCTCTCTCGGACCCCTACGTTTCACGCTAAATAATTGCATAATACACAAATATCGCACCAGAGAGGGTCACAAGTTGCGTTAACATACTTTAACAAACATTTTATGACCCAGTGACATCTGACCAATTAAAAAGTTGCTGATTAATATCAGTTTATAACGGAAATTTTCTTCAAATCTTAACGTGATTTACCGTCCGTCTGGTGTGACTTTCGGTAAAATTTGAGGGCACTCGGTGGGGGGAAATGGAATGCATTTGCGCACCGCTAGCGGGGTATTTAATTGTTTCACTTTTGAAGTTTATTATTATTATCATCAGCAGTATTATTATATTATACCAGTGTCAATCTGTCTGTGTATTCGTGTATGAATTCCGTTAAAATATAAATTAAAATAACAAAAAACCAGGTATATATATTAACGTACCTGAAAAAACTGAGCTTCTGACGGTCTTTTAAAGTCCATGGTAGATGTACAAATAAAACGGGATATTATATATTTTTTCCTCTAAAATTGATGTAAATGCTTCACATATTTTAATAGAAATAAAAGGTATCACTCGATCATTATGATCTGGCCTTCTTGACTTCTATTATCATGAATTACACGTATCATCTATGCACGACATAGAGATCCAGTTTCTACTGGGATATACAATAAATTCCATACTTTGTCTCAGGTTATTAGTACTGTGTTTCCATTTACTGGCGAACAATTTATTCAAAGCATTTCACTGATAATATATTTTATTATCTTTTTTATTGATTCGTAGAAGAAATAATCATCCTTAGACAACCTAAAATGGTTTAGAAATTTGTCAGGGACACCTTACCACAAGTCATATAGGCGTTCACATAAAAATGTTGTCTGTATTTTGTTGTTTTTTACTTGACATTGTTAGAAAACGAGGTTGAATGTAAAGCAAGTCCTTGAATCCGTTAAAAAAAAAGTCCATAAACACAATGTTATATCTATCAGATTAACGGGACAGACAAATTATTTTCACACACTATGGATATTTTATAAAATTAGCAACTATATTTCTAATCAACCCCGTGGTCGTGCGATTTGCCGCTATGCTTAATTATTTATGTTTCATACATTATGTTACGTACATTGGCCGATAATTTCCTATTTTATAAAAAAGGCTAAATAAAAGGTAGACGATTTCATAAAAGATGTACGGTATTTGTACGATACATGAATTACGAGTAGTATGGACCAATATAGATCGGTAATTCACGCATATATGGAACTACCGATTTCCCTCATTGATGCCTCAACAGGGGGCGGAGCGTTATCGATAATTGACAGGTTACGCGAATAGCCGATAAAAAATGGTACAGGTACCGTTTTAAAACGGTTTTAAAAACACATTTTTTGGACTAGCTGCTTCCAAAATTAAATCACGAATGTGTTCAGAAAAGGTTGATAAATCTACTAAGCAAAAAAATCTCATTTTAGGTATTTTCAGTGATAATTGACTCCCGTTGTCACCTTAAAAGGGTATGCCTCCAGATGAATGCTAATTTCATGAAAATTTTGATTTCTTTTTAAGGGAATATAATTTGGAGAGAACAAAAAAAGTACACTGAAAAAAGCACTTACAATCCATGTAAATCACCTTAAAGATGTCAAAATGTGCAAAAATAGGCTTTACTGCATATGTAACACAGTGGAAATATGGTGATAGATACTGCAAAATCAGTCATTAATCACACATAGCATGAAAATTATTACTTTAAAATATAATTATTTATTATTATTATTATTAGGATTATTGCTATCTAAAAATCATTTTCAGCACTTAATCTAAGTCTATTATTAATCAATTTTAGCACTTGTTCAAATGTTTATTCAAAAACAATTTCAGAAAGAAAATTTATTAAAAATCAAGTCATCAATTGTTTTTTAATGAAGCATAAATAATGAAAAAAGTTATAATAATCTATTATTTTAAAACTCGCCAAAAGAAAGTCTCAAAGACTTATCTTTTTAAATTTCATTTTTTTAACTTTTACAAAGAATGAAACACTGAACATGTTCCTTATCAACCACAATACATTTCAAAACATGCTAAAATATTTCACTTGCACTATCTATAATTATACTCTACAAATCTTACTAATAAGCTCTTAACCTTTAACCTGCAGGAGCTGTAAAATATTGTTATATGCCATCAGTACAGAGTGAGCTTTACACTGTTGGTAGCTCTATACATATGTTTTTGTGCTAACATATAAAAATCCTTTAACATTTCAATGGACATTCACAACAGGCCACAGGGCTTCTGTTAATGGTATTTTGCAGTCTTTTACTCCTCGATTTTGGCTTGTGACTTCCAAAATCTAATACTTTTCATTCTTTTCCTATATAATATGACTTCCAATGTTAGAGATCTTACAGTCTCTGACTTCCAAACTATTGAAATTTAATGGAAGCTCTGACAGGGCATATTAATTTCACCAATTCATCAGGTTAAGGGTGAAACAAATTAAAACAAATGTCTACAATAAAAGCATCAAAAATATGTTAGGAAATTTTTAACCTCTTCTTTTTCTTCTTCTTTTTTTTCTCAGGTGACCTTGCCTCATCGTCTGCCCCGGAGTCTAACGGCTTCAAGTGACTAGCAGGTGGAGCATCTGGCCCAGAGAACCCGCTTCCTGTAATCAGTCAAATAGTTCACTTCAAACATGATGTCATACTATCAAGGACTTAAAAGGGAATAATTCAGTGAATAACAATGCTAGACTTATTGACCTTTAAAGCAGTTACAGCCGATGATGACCCTGAAGATAGCTGTGATTTTTTTTTAGTTGTATAGATTTCTTCAGTGGTTGTGAAGAAAACTTAAACTTTGCATACTTAACTTTATAAAACTAAACTGTTTAAACCTAAGAAGTAATAAAGTTAACAAACAGATGTAATATTGGGCGAAAGTGAAATAAAACAAAATTAATTTACTTAATATAAAACTGTTTCAATTTTTTATTTGAGGCAGAAAATTTCTATAATTGTGTTAACTTTTATGAAAACTTATATATATTTTAATAATGAGGAAAATGTTGTCACAAAAATAACTTAGATGATTTAATCTAGCCTTTTCCCAACAGTATTTCAGTCATAATTTTTTATTAGGCAGGTAGTTTCCTAACCATCGTTCCTGAAGAGTTACACAAGTACTAGACTACCTTCCTCCGTGCTAATTGTTTTACATTATAGGATTAGAGCATCTCTTCCTTAGTTATATCATGTAAATTGTCTTTGTTTGTTATAATATGCCATATATTTTTATGTGCTTTATACATTTGTAGTCTCTTATAATTCTGTATAGAATGGCTATTTTATGTTGTATTATGTTGTACCATGTATAGATGAGACTTTAAAGGGACTCCACTGAAGTTTTTTTTATATGATAAGACTGGAAATAATTTTAATAATCACTAACTTGTGTGCAAAATTTTAGATCATTTGCTCTCGCGGTTTATCCAGGATAGTAATTCAAATTTGTAACAAGAACTGTCGGAGGACAGTATTGGCTCGACTATTCAAAAAATTGTCACAAGGGTGTTTTTATTAAGTATAATAATGCTAATTACCTATGAATACATAAAATTGACCTAAAAGGTACAAAGGCTTGTTATTAAGATGTTTTATCGAGTAAATCACTGCTTTATTATCATGAATGCATAAAAATGTCACAAAAAAGGCACAAACTCTTCAGTAGTTATGGAGATAACAGCTTACAAGTAAAACTTTATCATGAATTTCTTAGTTGAAAAAGGGGAGAAAAATCACCCTAAATGCAAGATAGAATTATGGATCTTGGTCAGGGACCTACAAGTATGATTCTAAATGCATATGTGAAGTTTTAAATAAATATCTTTAATAGTTATTGAGATATGTAAAACTTGCATGTAAACATTAACCAAGAGACTAAGTAGAAAAGGGGAGATGAATCAGCCTAAATGCGAGTAGAGTTATGGAACTTGGTAAGTGACATACAATTATGACTCTCCAATTATGATCCTAAGTACATTAAAGTAAAAGTTTCAAGTAAATATCTTTGAAGACCTTTAACCTTTAACCAAAATTTCTAAGTTTCAAAGGGACAAATAATTCTGCAAATATTGCAGGCAGAGTTATGCAATTTGCAAATTGATGTACATTGTTACTATAAAAAAAGTATTGTAAATTTCAATTGAATATCTCAAGCAATAATTGAGATATTTGACTTTACAAAAAAACTTTAACCAAAATTTCTAAGTTATAAAGGGGCATAATTCTGTAAATATCATAGGCAGAGTTATCCAACTTGTCAATCTGATGTACATTGTTACTATACACTAGATATCACTAAATGTGATAAATACCCCCACAAGACTGCTTCGGAAATGAGGATGTTACTAGTAACAGAATACCTTGTAAAAGAATTGAAATATAGAGTTTATAATGGTTGTGGGCAATGAAAGATAGTTGTGGTTCTTATAATTGTTGCATTTCCATTCAATGTGGTTGGCCATTGATGAAGTTTAATTGAATTACTCTGTAATAAGTCCAGAAAGACAAAGAAAATGAACAAAGGGCAATAACTCTATAAATACTGAAGATGGAGTTATAGTTCTTGTGCACTGCACTTCCTCTTATTGTGCCTGACCATTGTATGAAGTTGTTTTGAATTCCAACCAGTACGTTTTAAGTTACATGTATGCTCCTGGCAAGAAAAAGTATCAAAGGGCAGTAACTCTGTATTTTGTCAAAATGGAGTTATGGCTCTTGTGCACTGCACTTCCTTTTAATGTCCTTGACAACTGTATGAAGTTGTATTGAATTCCAAACAGTAGTTTTCAAGTTATGCTCTGGACAAGGAAAAGTAACAAAGGGCAATAACTCTGTAATTAGTAAAGATGGAGTTATGGTTCTTGTGCACTGCACTTTCTCTAAATGTGCTTGACCATTGTATGAAGTTATATTGAATTCCAACCATTAGTCTTCAAGTTATGGTCCGGACAAAAAAGGCAATGGAAAAGAAACAAAGGGCAGTTACTCTGTAATTACTTTAAATAGAGTTATGGTTCTTGTGCACTGCACTTCCCCTTATTGTGTTTGACAATTGTATGAAGTTGTTTTGAATTCCAACCAGTAGTTTTCAAGTTATGCCCCGGACAAGGAAAAGTAACAAAGGGCAATAACTCTGTAATTAGTAAAGATAGAGTTATGGTGCTTATGCACTGCACTTCCTCTCAATGTGCTTGACCACTGTATGTAGTTATATTGAATTCCAACCATTAGTCTTTAAGTTATGGTTCGGGCAAAAAAATCAATGGAAAAGTAACAAGCAAATTCGTTGAATTTATATCCCCCGCCGAGAACTGGTTATTATTAACACAACAACTGAAGACATAAGGTTTTATTTATATATTAATCATGGCATAAACAGTAATATTCTTTGAACTTGATAAATATTCAGGGCAATAACAGAGCCATAACTTTGTGTTAAATAGTAAAAAATCTGGAAATGCAAATGAGATGTATGCATACTACATAACTAATCAAGGGCCATAAATCTGAGTTATAAATATCTGACTGGAACAAGGCGACTATATGCATACCTCCTCTTAGTATCCCATAAAGTTTCATTGAATTCCAGCCAGTAGTAGCAGAGAAGTAGCGAGGAAAAAAATATTTTTCTATATGGATACTGCCTAACAAATCAAGGGCCATAACTCTGAGTTAAAGTGTCTGACCAGAACAAGCCGACGATATGCGCATCTCCTCTTGGTATTGAAGGTTCCCATAAAGTTTCGTTGAATTCCAGCCAGTAGACCACTTTGTAGAGAAAGTAGTGCGGAAACGATTTTTACTCTATATGCATACTACATAACTAATCAAAGGCCATAACTCTGAGTTAAAGGGTCTGACCGGAACAAGCCGAGGATATGCGCATCTCCTCTTGATATTGATGATTCCCATAAAAAAGTTTAGTTGAATTCCAGCCAGTAGTTGCAGAGAAGTAGCGCGGAAAACGATTTTTACTCCATATGCATACTGCATAACTAATGAAGGGCCATAACTCTGAGTTAAAAGGTCGGACCAAAACAAGCCGACAATATGCGCATCTCCTCTTGATATTGATGATTCCCATAAAGTTTCGTTGAATTCCAGCCAGTAGTTGCAGAGAACTACTCCGGAAACGAAATTGGGACGGACGGATGGACGGACGGACACACGGACAATGCCAAAACTATAACCCCCATCCAGATTCCATCGGCGGGGGAAAACAAAGGGCAATAACTCTGTAATTACTTTAGAAAGAGTTATGGTTCTTGTGCACTGCACTTCCCCTTATTGTGTTTGACAATTGTATGAATTTGTTTTGAATTCCAAACAGTAGTTTTCAAGTTATGCTCTGGACAAGGAAAAGTAACAAAGGGCAATAACTCAGTAATTAGTCAAGATGGAGTTATGGTTCTTGTGCACTGCACTTTCTCTCAATGTGCTTGACCATTGTATGAAGTTATATTGAATTCCAACCATTAGTCTTCAAGTTATGGTCCGGACAAAAAAGGCAATGGAAAAGTAACAAAGGGCAGTAACTCTGTAATTACTTTAGATAGAGTTATGGTTCTTGTGCACTGCACTACCCCTTATTGTGTTTGACAATTGTATGAAAATGTTTCGAATTCCAACCAGTAGTTTTCAAGTTATGCCCCGGACAAGGAAAAGTAACAAAGGGCAATAACTCTGTAATTAGTCAAGATAGAGTTATGGTTCTTGTGCACGGCACTTCCTCTCAATGTGCTTGACCATTGTATGTAGTTATATTGGATTCCAACCATTAGTCTTCAAGTTATGCTCCGGACAAGGAAAATGCAACAGATGTCTGGACCGACCGACCTCCCGACAGACCAACTGACCGACTGACCACCGGGTGACTCCTATATACCCCCCCAAACTTCGTTTTTCGGGGTATAATAAGTATTGTAAGTTTCAATTGAATATCTCAAGCAATAATTGAGATATTTGAATTTACAAAAAACTTTAACCAACGCAGACGCTGACGCCAATGCCGGGGCGACTACAATAGCTCTCATATTCTTCGAATAGTCGAGCTAAAAAATGACCCAAAATTGAAAATCTCCAGCTGATCTGTGTAAAAATTTGAGTTTTATGATTTATGGCTTTTGAACCTCAGTGGAGTTCCTTTAATAATAAATCATATATAAATATTTCTTTTCAAGAAAAAGCTAACCATAGCCTGTTGCACCATCGAGTTCCTTCTCGTAGGAGAAAGCTTGACGCTGGCGTGAAGAGTCAACAGTGTCCACTTTGATGGCGGAATCTTCACTGGCGATGCTAGCGGTCTTCTTGGCTGACAACGTACTCTGCTTAAGGTTGTCTCGATAAAGCTGGTCCTTCCTATAAATAGTAACACTTCTTTGTTTACATAAAATTCTAACATTCTAATGGTGATACTCCGGTCAACCCCGCAAATGTTGGTTTTTTCCCATCTAATCGCTGCCAGGTACCAACAAACTTTTACAGTAATAATTTGCTAAATATGATAATTATAAGTCCTTTTGGGATAATCAGTTTATGAGTGTAAACAGTGGTTAACAATAAAGCTATTATTAAACATCATGTTCATGTAAGCAGATAAACACCTTTAATACATTTGTACTTGAATTAATATTTTTCTCACTAATATATGCAAAATATATATACATGTACTGAAAAGTCACTTAGATTGTCTGTTTACTTTACATATTTTCATATTCTGTTAATTTACTTTACATATTTTCATATTCTGTTAATTTACTTTACATATTTTCATATTCTGTTAATTTACACATACACTTATGTATTGAATAAATTATAACTGCAAAATGACTGCAGCTTTTGTTAAGAGAACTAAATATTGTAAAATTCAGGAATTGTCTAGAATTATACTGAATTTTCACATTATTTGCAATACATGTAGATTCTATTCCAAATATAAGCATAATTTTAAGTTTCTTTAATTTCTTAGCTAAAGCATTCATCTTTTTCATGGAACTCTTCAAAACATGTACAGACATGTACAGACAACAGGCACAGATATACAAGATGATCTTGGTCTGCACTGACTCATACATGTGAACTTTTTTTAATGATCAAGTAGGAGATTTTTCTTAAAAAAGAGGGAAATTTTTGAATTTGCAATAAACAAAGATCAAAAAGAGGGAGATTTCTTTAATTTGTGAAAATACCCTTTACTTTCAGAAAAATCTTTGAAATATGGCTGCAAAAAGTGGGAGTCTCCCGCTAAAAATGGGAGAGTTCACATGTATGCTGACTGCATGTGTAAATTCAATTGCCACCAACAGTTTAAAAGTTAACAGAAAATTCAAGTTTAAACCTGAACTTCCTGAAATCTTTATGTCCATTGTCATGATTGTTATTGTGTGTATTCTTTTATAATGAATGTATTATATAACAAGTGAATTTAATAGTCATTGTATTATTTATATGAAATTGAAGTTTATAATAGTGCAAATCATATTATTTATGTCCGTTTTTTTTAATTTGTGCATTTCCCCAAAAAAATTTAGGTATAACATAGCGAGACTTTAACCAGTGCACCAAAAAATCTTCATATCCAATATTACAAGTGATATTACAGTTTATAACACTACTGATGAATAATGGAACTTTACATTCAATTTACTATTGCTATTTGCCATGTTTGTAGTTCTGTTTCATTTTCTCAGGATTAAAAATTTGAAATTTTCTACATGTAGCGTATGAATATAAAATATTTATTTCAGATATTGTTTTTTTCTGTTATAATGTTATCAAGTTATCAAAACAAACAAGAAATAACACTGTTGACCATGTAATATTTGATTGGGCCCAAACATAGAAGTGAGGATAAATGATATATATTATCAGTGAACACGAAAAAAACCCTTCACATCCAAAATACATAAAAATGTATATCTGGTGCACATTGAAATATCTAAATCCGGTGCACATCTTACCGACTAGACAATGTGTCTCGACTAGTTGATGTATCCCGGTCAGTGTCACTAACATTACTGTAACTCATCACTACCCGGTCACTTTAACCATATCAAAATATCAATTTATAATGTTTTAAATTTAAAGAAGCATGCATCCAGTACCATAAAATTTTTTATGAAAATTTAAAATCAGTTTTCCTTGGCTGTTGATGATAAGAGAATCTACCCATGCAACCAATGCAAGACAGTGTGCTGTCTTAAGTCAAGGTCTGCACTTTATGCTTTTTCAGTCAGTACATATTTTGAAATATCCCTTTAAAATGACAAAATATAATGGCGGACAATTCTATTAATCAAATGTTTGGCATAGTTAATGATTCAAAGAAGCATTATACTGGCAGACATTGTTATATGTGTACATGTAAAACTATTTTATAAACACTACAAAAGCTTGCAGAAGACGATTTGCTCAATTTTCCAAAGATAGAGCAAGAAAATGGCCTCTCTAAGGCTGTATCACATTTACTCACCTATAAGAGAGACCATTTATATGACACGGATCAAACTTTTGTACTAAAGTCTTTAACTTTCAATATTTTGTCATGGACTGCAATGATTTGCTTATAGAATGAGACGATATGTTTTTTTCAAAATGAAAGAAGAGCCAAGAGAGTACACTTTCCCTCGGAAAGCTCTTATTTTGTGAAAATAAATGTGAAGAAAGCATTCATTTCAGAACTTTTTATCACTTTATGATAATATTTTTTGTAAGAGGTTTTGTTCCTCTTTTTTCTATTTACTATTCCTTTTGAGACAAGATCATGGAAATCATACAATCAGGCAACAAATTTGATTGGTTATTTCACAAACACAGACTTTAAAATGACCAATGATTTGACATCTACTTACTATCTAATTCTGTCAATAACATATTTCACCTAGTGAGTAGGAAAAAAAACAACACACACACATACCTTTTGGGTTTTTCCCGCTTGTCACTGTAAAATAATATTTTCATGAAAACCTAATATTTTCTAAAACCAGACTTTCTTAAAACTATAAAAATGGTAAAGGTGACATTTTCAAATGTTGCTGTTTTTGGACAATTACAATTTTAACCTTGTTAGTTTTAATTAATGTCATAAAATAGGAATTTTTATTATTCAAGCAAACTGCTTTATTGTTAACAAAGTGAAATATAAATCAAGACAGCGTGTACAATTAAGAATATCTAAAAGTATTTTCATCACTTCAAACAAATGCCTTAGCAAACAAGCGTGTTAAAATAGTACAGTTGTGGGGGAGGAAGTATTATCAAAAGATACAGGCAGGAAATCACATTATCTCGAGAAATGCTTTAAAAAAATGCTGTTATATAAATGACATCATTTAAGACATTAGATGAGCTTATTCATTGATGTAGTCACTTCTTTTGATAACTTGCTTAACAAATTGCCAAAGTGTAAACAAATATGAATAATTCTGTTTGAATTAAATTTTATCCTTAATTCTTTCATAGAATGAAGCTAGTGTTTTTAAGATATACTATGCTCAAATTTGATATTAGAAAATATTGATAATTAATACATAGTCTCTTTGTAAATATAAAATAAACATGTTTTGACTTCACACAGAGTAGATATGTTGTGTTTAAAACTCCAAACACTATAGGTGGTCACAATATGAATATATGTTTTAAAGAAAAGACCTACTTTACTTGACCTGTAGGGAATGCAACATAGTTTATTCTTTATATTATTCAAATTAGACACATTGAGTAAGAAATTCATAAATTTCAATAAATTTATGTGATTAAAATATTTTACTGAAGGATAAGCATAGTATATCTTTAAAAAAAAATAGCATGAAAATAGTTTTTTTTTATGTTGCAAGATAATATGACTTCACATGGCCAATAAAGCTGTTAAAATTCTTACAGTGACCCAGTTAGACCACTAGGTGGTACCGGTTTTCTTGGATCTACGTTATAGACAGGGGAATCTTTCTCCTTCTTAGACTTCTTTCTCTGCTCGATTATTTTCTTACGTCGTAATGACTCCTCCCTCTTCTTACTGTAATTATAGCAAAATTTATTGATCAGACAAAAATATGTTTGACATGTTTTGTAACTTTATCTGACTTTATACAAGTCGATTTTTTAGTGTGCCGGGCTGTCCCATAGAAACTGTCAATGTCTGAAAAATATAATGTCTAAGCCTAAAAAGATTTTGAATATGTGTATCTCAATCAATTTAAAGTAAAATAAGAATCTTTATTTCAAAATACTATGTTTACACTTAATATCAATATAAATATTAATACAAGCCTGATGTGTGCATGTCCAGCCCACACCAAAAACTGTTACTTTACCAACATAACACATGATCATTAAAACAGAGTTAGTGGCCAATAACATAATAAATCTGTATCATATAATGACTTTGACATTTACTGTATATCTGATGCTATGTATCAAATTTTCACAGAAATTGCAAGTCATAGTTATATTTTTTACTCTATAGTGATTATAATTATGAGCACAAATAAGATGGCGACGTTTGATATGATGCTGACGCAGCACAGCAGATGATTAATATTTTTGGCTTTTAGTGCTATATGACATCTATATCAGGCATGATTATGCATCTGAGTAAACCACTAACCTTTTGTTAGGTATCTGTATAGTTTCCAGTCATGAAAAACCCCAAAGTCACTGATAGAATTCAAACACTCAGTATTTATGTTAAGCCATTATTTTTGTAAAGCCTAAAAAAAGGTTTCCATTAAAGTGCCTGCAATCATTATGACTCTATGCCACTAATAGTATTAAACTAGGCCAGCCTTTACATCAAGCATGTATAGTCTGATAAAGCTAAATCTGCCTTATATTTAACATTTTGATATTCAAAGCCAAAATAATGAAAAATATATAACTGCATGCTATCTCAGATTTCAAGGAAGAGAAAGTGTTAAAACAAAAATGCATCATATTTAAAAGTATAAAAATAATAAATAACTTTTTCCTTACTTCCAGATGTTAAGAATGACGGTCAGGATGGCAAGACCAGAAACCACGGTAACGGCAATCGGAATAATGATCCTGTTAAGTTGAGTGGGTGGGGGGATACCATAAAATTCACCGTCGATATACGTAACCCATAAACCTGTTTCATCATGGATACCCTCTCTGGCTTCACCAATTATAGCTAGTGTTATACAAATATAATGTTTTATTACATACATTTCTGTGGTTTATAAAAATATATCAGTGAACTATAAAACTGATATTTTCACTGTTTGAAACAGTGAAAATATCAATTTGATATTTTTTGCTGTTGTGAATTTAAGCCCATTACATTGTTTAAATGAAATACCTTTGTGCATAGTGCTGGAAACCAACTTAATGACATAGTGTTGTAAATGACATAACATTGTATTATTAGTTGGTTCGCTTTTATTTAGTATTAGGTTGAGGTGTCTTTTTAAATGTTTCTTTGCATATAATAAAAAAAATTGTTGATAGAAATATAAACATGTCACCTTGTAAACACCAAAACTTAATATTTCACTTGTGGCTGTGCTTGTCAATCTTACACTGAACTAAACAGATATTCTCTATTACTTTAATAAGAAATATACCCAAACATTGGGGACAGGAAACTGTTACAAATATAATTTACATTATTTGGGACAGAAACAATGGGCTGTATTTCTCTAAAAAAGAATGATAAGATCACAGAATTTGACAATATGCCACAGGGCATTTCATTATGAAGTTGCTAATTTTTTTTTATTTCTTTACCCTCTTGTTTGGCTCGGATTTATTTCTCTATTTCTCACTGACATTTTTTATATTTTCACTCCTGTAAAATGCCTAAAAGGAAATCCCCTCTGTAACATGAAAACATCTGTTATATTACGTGAAAATATAGCATTAAATTCAGACTGCTTCTTATATATAGCCTTGGTTGTTGACTTTCTATTGATGTATGACTGACCAGAAGGCAGAGTTTCTTGTGCAAACAGAAATTGTACTTCAGATTTCACCACAACGAGGTTGCAGATTTGTATGATTATAAAACTCAATTTTGATTGTCTGGACACCAAAATAAGAACAGGAGTCAATACCAAACCCATTTTATTAACAACTTTTTTTGGCTATTTTCATTTTTATGAAATTTCTAAAATGCAGCTTTAAGCATTCCCAACAGCATCCAGTCTGCCCACATCTGTGCATTCTGTAATAGCTATATAACTGTTGGTCGTTTAATTTTTGTATTTTGTTAATTTGAAATACCTCAAAATTTAAATGGATGATTCTAAATCCAACGCAGAGTAAATCTATTTACACAAATTCAGGTAAAAAGTCAACTCATTGGTTCAAAAGCCACTTACTTTGTAACACAGATTTTCCCATCACACATGAGGGAGTGCCTGTGGAATTGAGGTCATATGGAAAATCCAAAGAAACTTTGAACAGTAAGTCCTTCAGAATGTTTTGTGGATATCCACTTGCTGCAACAACCATCGTTTCCTTGAAACTACAAATAACAATTAACATGTTCTAGTATAAACAAGAATTACTTATTACTTTAAAGTTACTTGTCTAAAAATGACAAATCATTTTCTTGGATGATTCCATTTTCAGTATTGGGTAATTTCTAAATATTTTGCTATGCCTTAATTCTTTTCAAAACTTGAAAAATATTTAACAACAGCACCACAAAGGAGGGACAATTATAATACCCCTGAACAAAAGCTTTGTTCAAGTAAAAAGAAAAAATCATTAAATTAGGAAAGAAACCCATTCAGAAAATTTCACCAATTTTTTTTTACACTAATTCATTGAATACTAAATAACCTCCAGGGGGAAGCAGCTTAAACCTATTGGTCATAAAACTTTTACACAGGTATTCTAGGCAATGCTAGATAACCAATATATATGAGTGACTGAATGTGAAAGGGCTTGACTAAATATCAAGGAGTGTGGCTGAATGTAAAGATAATGACTGAATATCAAAGGTTATAGTGGCTAAATCTCAATAAGAGTGGCTTAATGTAAAGATAGTGACTGAATATCAAAGGTTAAAGTGGCTAAATGTCAATAAGAGTGGCTTAATGTAAAGATAGTGGCTGAATATCAAAGGTTAAAGTTGCTAAAATGTCAATAAGAGTGGCTTAATGTAAAGATAGTGACTGAATATTCAAAGGTTAAAAGTTGCTAAATGTCAATAAGAGTGGCTTAATGTAAAGATAGTGACTGAAATATCAAAGGTTAAAGTGGTAAATGTCAATAAGAGTGGCTTAATGTAAAGATAGTGACTGAATATCAAAGGTTAAAGTGGCTAAATGTCAATAAGAGTGATTAATGTAAAGATAGTGACTGAATATCAAAGGTTAAAGTTGCTAAATGTCAATAAGAGTGGCTTAATGTAAAGATAGTGACTGAATATCAAAGGTTAAAGTGGCTAAATGTCAATAAGAGTGGCTTAATGTAAAGATAGTGACTGAATATCAAAGGTTAAAGTGGCTAAATGTCAATAAGAGTGGCTTAATGTAAAGATAGTGACTGAATAATCAAAGGTTAAAGTGGAATGTCAATAAGAATGGCTTAATGTAAAGATAGTGGCTGAATATCAAAGGTTAAAGTTGCTAAAATGTCAATAAGAGTGGCTTAATGTAAGATAGTGACTGAATATCAAAGGTTAAAGTTGCTAAATGTCAATAAGAGTGGCTTAATGTAAAGATAGTGGCTGAATATCAAAGGTTAAAGTTGCTAAATGTCAATAAGAGTGGCTTAATGTAAAGATAGTGACTGAATATCAAAGGTTAAAGTGGCTAAATGTCAATAAGAGTGGCTTAATGTAAAGATAGTGACATGAATATCAAGGTTAAAGTGCTAAATGTCAATAGAGTGGCTTAATGTTAAAGATAGTGGCTGAATATCAAAGGTTATAGTGGCTTAATGTCATAAGAGTGGCTTAATGGTAAAAGATAGTGGCTGAATATCAAAGGTTAAAGTGGCTAAATGTCATAAGAGTGGCTTAATGTAAAGATAGTGACTGAATATCAAAGGTTTAAAGTGGCTAAATGTCATAAGAGTGCTTAATGTAAAGATAGTGACTGAATATCCCAAAGGTTAAAGTGGCTAAATGTCAAATAGAGTGGATTAATGTAAAGATAGTGGCTGAATATCAAAGGTTATAGTGGCTTAAATGTCAATAAGAGTGGCTTAATGTAAAGGATAGTGCTGAAATATCAAAGGTTAAAGTGCTAAATGTCAATAAGAGTGGCTTAATGTAAAGATGGTGACTGAATATCAAAGGTTAAAGTGGCTAAATGTCAATAAGAGTGGCTTAATGTAAAGATGGTGACTGAATATCAAAGGTTATAGTGGCTAAAATGTCAATAAGAGTGATTAATGTAAAGATAGTGAGTGAATATTCAAAGTTAAAGTTGCTAAATGTCAATAGAGTGGCTTAATGTAAAGATAGTGACTGAATATCAAAGGTTAAAGTGGCTAAATGTCAATAAGAGTGGCTTAATGTAAAGATAGTGACTGAATATCAAAGGTTAAAAGTGGGCTAAATGTCAATAAGAGTGGCTTAATGTAAAGATAGGGACTGAATATCAAAGGTTTAAGTTTGCCTAAATGTCAATAAGAGTGGCTAATGTAAAGATAGTGACTGAATATAAAGGTTAAAGTGGCTAAATGTTCAATAAAGAGTGCTTAATGTAAAGATTATGTGATGAATATCAAAGTTATAGTGGCTAAATGTCAATAAGAGTGGCTTAATGTAAAGATAGTGACTGAATTATCAAAGGTTAAAGTGGCTAAATGTCAATAAGAGTGGCTGAATGTAAAGATAGTGACTGAATATCAAAGGTTAAAGTGGCTAAATGTCAATAAGAGTGGCTGAATGTAAAAATAGTGACTGAATATCAAAGGTTAAAGTGGCTTAATGTCAATAAGAGTGGCTGAATGTAAAGATAGTGACTGAATATCAAAGGTTAAAGAGGCTAAATGTCAATAAGAGTGGCTGAATGTAAAGATAGTGACTGAATATCAAAGGTTAAAGTTGGCTAAATGTCAATAAGAGAGACTGAATGTTAAAGATAGTGACTGAATATCCAGTGTTCAATCTAGAACAAATTTCAGGGGGACCTTCGGGCCATAAACTTTTCAAAAAGGGGGTCATTTGAGAAAAAAGGGGGCCAACACGTTAATATGAACATCAAATTCAAATAAGGTACTTGTAGCATCTTTTTAAGATTAACTTGTTCACGTACCATATATAATTGACCAAAAACGGTTGCAAAATTCCATAACAGATCAGTCTCAACTAAAAAAATGACATTATTTGGATCTTTTTTCGAGAGTTCTGTTAGCGTTTGATGCAGGCTCAATTTTAAGAACTGATTGGTAAAGAAACAATGATAATGGTTCGAGGGAGAAGCAAATAATTAAATCTTATTTGGACAGGACCTGTTACTAGAGATATTTTGATAACAGTGTTCCATACAAGTTATTAACAGATCAAACGTAGACAGCGCCCCGGAGTATATAAAGGAAAATCATATTTTGCAATTAGCTTATATAAACTTACAATAGTCGCTAAAAAAAAATTTAGCTCATATAGTCCAAGCTAAAAAAAAAGTGTCAACACGACAGCTTAAGAACATTGTACCACAATAAATACCAGGTATTTCAGCTTCTGTTGACCTTGTTAGCTTTGTGATATCACTTTTTGTAGGTGAAGGTGCTTAACGGGGTACGCCTGTATTGGAGTGTGATAAGGCTATCAAGTATTTAGACGGCCCGACCAGACCAAAAATCATTTACTTAATTAGTTATAAACAATCGTGTTTGATTAGAAGCCTCTCAAGCTTAAATGACATTATTATAATGTAACAAGGCGTGTTCGTAATATGTCTAATCCCATCCTTATATATCGGGCGCATGATATAACTAACTGTCACACCACTCTTTGCACTAAATATAATATGCGTCTTAGTTATATTCATTAATTATACCAGACTTACAGATGTTATTGCATATTATGTTTTGACCGTTAAAAAACTATAACTAATACGCACGTTTGGATATATCGTGTGGACGATTTGTTGTTGTTACTAAAAATGTGACTCAAAAGTAATAATAGTCTGAACGGTACAAAGAATGGTCGTGCTAGTCTAGTAATTTATAGCCGGTACTCCGAGAAGCTTAGGTTAAAAGGGTTACCCAGCCACAGTGTCTGCGGTACATCCGTCGCATCCATACTCATCCTTTTTCATTTCTTGACATTTAAAGCCCATTTAACCTTTGATATTGTCACTATCTTTAACATTCAGCCACTTACTCGGACAACTTAATGGCCCTCTCTAATCCGTGTTTTCTTTGTAGTTCACCTTATATTTACCTCCAAATTCAGCTTATATTTGAATTGCAGTATTTATTCAGAATCTCCTATTCACACAAATAACCCTTTTGCTATATTGTCGTACTTTGTCAGGTTTAACTGCATTCATTCATTCAATGCCGACCTTTACATTGTCCTAGTCTTTTCTATCGAGTTAATCGGCTGCCCATGAACGACCTTCCACCTAGTTGATATTGAGTACTCTACTATTCTTGTACTATTCAGCATTTATTGATTCGCCATTTTATTGATATTCAGTTCTACCTTATCGCTTCCGGCTACATTTAGAGGTCCCACATCTATTACATTTTGTCCAGACGGTATAGGACTTGATATTCAGTCCCTTTCGTTTGCAACAATAGGTTCAAGCACGCTGCTCCTTCATTTGAACAGATTGATAGGCCACAATCTTAACCTGAAATCTTTGTAATTCATCATTTCACTATACAGTTTACAATTTTAAGGCCACTCTATAATTAGACATTTAAGCACTAACTTTGATACGAGTCCTATCTTACGTAAGCACGTCTTATTGGATACAATTTATATTTACCTTTGGATATGTTTCCCGTAAACTTATTTAACATTAAGCCACTGCACTTGTAGACGAGCATTTTCAGGAACTTCGAATTACTATAGAGACCGTCCTACTAATCGTTGTGGACTGTTACAATCCTTATACTATTGTCAGAGTTGTTTATAACATTATATTATGACTTGCTTCGTTATTTCAATATTAATTATATTCACGTCTTATGACATTAGGTCCACATACACCTTTAATATATCAGAAAGAGTTCGACGCCATCTTTTCATTAAGGTAAACCAACGCATCTTTATTAGACATGTTTAGGCGCTACGTTAACCTTTGAAAATTCAGTTTTCATCAACATCAGGTTTTAAACAATGTGGCTATAATGTCAATAAGAGTGCCAACTTAACTCGTTAATTAGATGGATAGTACTGAACATATTAAGGTCAAAGCCAGTTATAAGTGTTAAACGCTATATGGTTATGAGCCCTATCTCTTACACACTAACCCTCACTTGAAAGACATGTTTTGCCACTAATAGCTTCTGTAATTAATATCTAGCGTACAGCTGGTCGTAATGTCTGTTAATATTCACAAAATATTTAGATGTAAAGTGGCCTAACAACTATGTTCAGTAACAAGATTAGTATGGACATTTTTAAAATGTATAAGTTGAGTGAATGACTGAACATAATCAAAGGTTAAAGTTGGCTAAATGTCCAACTCAAGATGAATTGTGCTTAATGTAAAGTTATAAGTCAGTATTCCGCAATGATTACTTTAAATCAATTTGAGCGCCTTTAAAGCTCTTGGTCAACTACATTTATGTTTGCAATAAAGTTCAAAGCTGGTCAATAATCTCGTTACCGACTAGATGGACTGAACATAAACGCGTTAAAGTGGCTTAAACCCGTGCCATCAAACTAAAGACGTGCCTGTAATGCTCACAAGTATAGGGGACTGAAACTTTTATCAAGGCCTCTCTTCAAGTCATGCCCATAAATGATTACCTTCAATTAACTCATTCGAGCACGCCTGGCTTCCTTTTTATATACACCTACTGTCTATACACACTTAAAGGGCACCCTTATTCGTGAGGCCTGTAATTGATACCCTTTAACAACTTTGGGGACTTTTCATTACTACGTGGCTCACATCACTCGTTCGTCCAATTAACGACCAAGTGCACCCTTACCTTAGTCCACCCAGGACAGTCACACCATAAGAGTGGCTGGGAATGTAAAATAGTGACTGTGATAACATGTTATCCAATTAAGATCGGCTCGACACTGCTGAGTGATGATCTTTCAATCTGGTTAAGAGTGGCTGTAATGTTCAAATTAACTGTCAAAACGTGGCTTAATGTCATAAGAGTGTGCTGAATGTAAAGATAGTGATGAATATCAAAGGTTAAAGAGGCTAAATGTCAATAAGAGTGGCTGAATGTAAAGATAGTGACTGAATATCAAAGGTTAAAGTGGCTAAATGTCAATAAGAGAGACTGAATGTTAAAGATAGTGACTGAATATCCAGTGTTCAATCTAGAACAAATTTCCAGGGGGACCTTCGGGCCCATAAACTTTTCAAAAGGGGGTCATTTGAGAAAAAAGGGGGCCAACACTTAATATGAACATCAAATTCAAATAAGGTATTGTATCTTTTTAAGTTACTTGTTCACGTACCATATATAGACCAAAAACGGTTGCAAAATTCCATAACAATCAACTCAACTAAAAAAATGACATTATTTGGATCTTTTTCGAGAGTTCTGTTAGCGTTGATGCAGGCTCAATTTTAAGAACTGATTGGTAAAGAAACAATGATAATGTTCGAAGAAGCATATTAATCTTATTTAAATGTTACTAGAGATATTTGATAACAGTGTTCAGTTATTTAATCAGCGCCCGATATATAAAGGAAAATCATATTTTGCAATTAGCTTATAAACTTACAATAGTCGCTAAAAACATTTACCCTTCTCAATATATCCAAGCTAAAAACAAAGTGTCAACAGAAGCTAAGACAATGTATATTGACATACCGGTACCTTTGATCTTTTGTCAGGGCAGCAGTTCTTACGTCACGCTTAAAATGTCTGTATTGATTAATGATATGCACAATGTTTTAGCGCCGACCAGCCAAAGACCAATCAAAGTTTATTTACTTAATTGTCAGACACTCCCTAGCCAATCGTGTTTGATTAGCTCCAGCTTTAAGACTTTTTTAATTGGTTCAAGGCGTGTTCGTAATAATATGCACACCTCTATAATAAACTCACACTTTTTCACAAATATATATGGTTTTGTTTTTCCTCCGATGTTATTGCATATTAATTTGTTTTGACCGTTAAAAAACTATAACTAAACGCACGTATTGGATTATCTGTGACGATTTGTTTTGTTTATAAAAACTGTGACTCAAAAGTAAGTAATAGTTACGGTACAAAGAACAGGTCTGCATAGTAAGTATTTACAGACCCGGACCGAGAAAGCGTAGGTTTTAAAAGGGTTACCAAGTGCGGTAACTATCTTACCAACATGCTCGTGTTTTTCTATACAAACTTCAGATTTGAATTCAGTATTTATCAATATTATTCACACAAAACTTTTTATGTACTTTGTCAGGTTTAAGATCATTTATGGCATTTTCTATGAGTGCGCCCGTCGGGCCCACAGTTGAATTTGTTTTGCGCCGGCTGTCTTTTCAGGGGGTCAATGGCACAATGGCGCGCTCTAGATTGAACACTGAATATCAAAGGTTAAAGTGGCTAAATGTCAATAAGAGAGACTGAATGTTAAAGATAGTGGCTGAATATCAAAGGTTAAAGTTGCTAAATGTCAATAAGAGTGGCTTAATGTAAAGATAGTGACTGAATATCAAAGGTTAAAGTGGCTAAATGTCAATAAGAGTGGCTTAATGTAAAGATAGTGACTGAATATCAAAGGTTAAAGTTGCTAAATGTCAATAAGAGTGGCTTAATGTAAAGATAGTGACTGAATATCAAAGGTTAAAAGTTGCTAAATGTCAATAAGAGTGGCTTAATGTAAAGATAGTGACTGAATATCAAAGGTTAAAGTTGCTAAATGTCAATAAGAGTGGCTTAATGTAAAGATAGTGACTGAATATCAAAGGTTAAAGTGGCTAAATGTCAATAAGAGTGGCTTAATGTAAAGATAGTGACTGAATATCAAAAGGTTAAAAGTTGCTAAAATGTCAATAAGAGTGGCTTAATGTAAAGATAGTGACTGAATATCAAAGGTTAAAGTCGCTAAATGTCAATAAGAGTGGCTTAATGTAAAGATAGTGACTGAATATCAAAGGTTAAAGTGGCTAAATGTCAATAAGAGTGGCTTAATGTAAAGATAGTGACTGAATATCAAAGGTTAAAGTGGCTAAATGTCAATAAGAGTGGCTTAATGTAAAGATAGTGACTGAATATCAAAGGTTAAAGTTGCTAAATGTCAATAAGAGTGGCTTAATGTAAAGATAGTGACTGAATATCAAAGGTTAAAAGTTGCTAAATGTCAATAAGAGTGGCTTAATGTAAAGATAGTGACTGAATATCAAAGGTTAAAGTGGCTAAATGTCAATAAGAGTGGCTTAATGTAAAGATAGTGACTGAATATCAAAGGTTAAAGTGGCTAAATGTCAATAAGAGTGGCTTAATGTAAAGATAGTGACTGAATATCAAAGGTTAAAGTGGCTAAATGTCAATAAGAGTGGCTGAATGTAAAAATAGTGACTGAATATCAAAGGTTAAAGTGGCTTAATGTCAATAAGAGTGGCTTAATGTAAAGATAGTGACTGAATATCAAAGGTTATAGTGGCTAAATGTCAATAAGAGAGACTGAATGTTAAAGATAGTGACTGAATATCAAAAACTAAAGTGGCTCAATGTCAAAGGCTGTGGAAAAATAGCTAAAGTTGTTGTGCAGGGCATGACTGGAAAATTAATTTTTGTAGGAATTTGGTTATGATATTTTTTTAAATAAATTTGAAATATAAAGCAATATAATTTAAGTGCCGCTGTTTGATTTATACAGGATTCATAAATGAAACACTTACTTGTTGTTATCACAACAGGATGTTAGACCACATGCATTTGGACTACTCCCACAGTAGGAATTGGCATGACTTATAATCACTGCTGTAACCTTGCTTGTTAAACCATCGTTCACCCACTGTATGAGAAGAGAATCAATCAGAAACAAATATGACAATCATAGGTGGTATTCAAAAGGCAATTCTAAATTAATTAATTAAATAAAATTTGCAAAATTTTATTTCAAATGGCTTGCAGATAACCAATTACAAAATTTCTTTCAAACTACTCTTCAGTGTTGTTTCCCCTCCTTTGGTACTGGACAGATTGGGGAAAAAATCCATTGGTTTAACTCAAATTGGGAATTTACATAAGATGCAAACTATTCTTTGGGAATTTCTTTTATTCAGGACAACATGAAAATTATGCACAATTAACAATTTAAAACCATATATTATTTACTTTAATGATTATTTTTGCTTCTTGAGGTTGAAAAAAAAAAGATAATCATAACAATTGTACCTAAATAATGTTAAGGTGTGAAACACTAAAAGTAGTACGAATATCACTCATGTGGTTATACTTGGTTTTTATTGCATATCACTTATACATGGCATTTCTGTTTTTGTTTACCTTTAAATTTGCCGAATTTTTTGAGGACATTTTCAGTGTTAATTTGGGAATTTATCAGTCATGAATTGGGAAATTTGTTGTCTAGTTTCTATTGGGAATGGTGTTGTTTTTCGGTATCAGTTATATAAGGAAAAAAAAAACACTACTCTTCTATGTACATGTACTTTATTTTCATTTCTGTTGAGAGTTCTTGCCTTTCTTGCTTTTTAAGTTTTACGGCATTAAGTTTGAAACTTTGAAATAAATTCTAAAACCGCTTTTCATATACATGTCATGTGACATCAGATAATGACAAAAAAAAGAGTAAATTACTTAATGTACTTGAATGATTATCGATGGTTCTTTTTTTTCTATTTAAATAAGGATAATAAAAGAATTGAAACTCATATAATAACAACCTCTGCAAAACAAAACGCTTTTGGGAGACAAAGATTTTGTTTGATGTGCAGAGATATCTAGTGTATTTAAATAAAATCAAGGCTTATAAACAATTTAAATTGGCTCAAGAAAAATTTTAATCTATTTCCTATAATTTATAAAATTAAATTATTTTTACCTCACTGGTCTGTACTCTATAAAACTTCATCTCTACACCATTGGATGATCTTTCACCTGCAAATTAAGTCACAATTAATAAACCTTATAACATTAAAGCAGCCTATAATCTCCAGACAAGTAAAATAAATCTTCAAAAACACAAACATAATAAAAATATATTCTTATATTAGGAAATGTATAATCATTTCAAAATCAAGGTGGAGCTTTCGTTGCTTTTGTTTTTAACATATTTCTATTCAAAATATATACATATAAATAATGAATGCAATTTAAAGCAGAAAGGAACTTGACCGAGGGCTGCATTAGCTCATAGTTGTCCTCTCCTATAACAAAACATACAATACACCGCAAATATTGTAATTATAATCACTTTCTATATCTATAAAAGGGAAAAATATTTATGAGTCAAAAGTATAATTTTGCAAATAATATTATGTAAACATAGAAAAATATAGAGGAGGATAGAGAAAAGAGTAAAAGATATTCAAAAAAAATTTGAATGGCTGCAAAAATAGAAATGTAAGAATTACAGAAAACTTATTTGCAGTCTCATCATGTCAAAAAACATCAGTGGAGTCATGTGTACCTTAGACATATTGAAGCAAATTTAGGAATATATAAATTGTATATATAACACTATTGAAATTTTCAAAATCTTACTTGTGAATGTTGCTGCATCAGTGATAAGATTACATGCAGATGATACTAAATTGATATAACTGCCAACAAGCAGGAAAAGTATAAACACCCTCTCCATCTTTACAAGGTTGTCGTGACAACAAGCACCTGAAATATTAGTTTAATTATTTTATAGATATGTTTGTATTATCTTTACATATATGATATGATCTGTTCAGGATATGCAGGCACAGATTTTAATCATCATCTCAGATTTAATAGGGGCACTGTTATGATATGTGTTATGATATGGGAGATAACTCTGTCATGTTTACTTGTACACATGTGAGTAACTGTTACTGGCTCTAAAATATATATATATGAGCCGCGTCATGACAAAACCAACATAATGGGTTTGCGGCCAGCATGGATCCAGACCAGCCTGCTCATCTGAGCAGTCTGATCAGCATCCATGCTGTTCGCTATCAGTTTCTTTACTTGTAGCGAACAGCATGGATCCTGATCAGACTGCGCGGATGTTGGTTTTGTCGTGACGCGGCTCAATTATATATACCTGCATGCAGCCCTTCAGAAATAAACATCTTAAGACTAAACCAATTTATTGACTGTTATACCTTATAATACTAAAACAGACACTATCCCCAACTGTGCTAAAATTAAGAAAAAATATATGCATGGATTTCAAGATAATGTTAAGACAGATTAAACTTTAAAGGCATACTGTGGTATGATTGACCGCATAATTTTAATTACCATAACAGAATATAAAGGCTCAAATACATTTATGAAAACATATCTTGAATTTATACAAATATATATTATTTCATCCTTGCCAGTCGTGAACAACATTCTGAACTTCAAAATCACACCGGTAAAATCCGGCAACATCAAAATGATAGTTTTGAATAGGGAACTTAATTTATTACATTGATTGCCTTGTTTAAAGCACGTTGTGTGACATCGCACTGTTGCATCAAAAACAATCTCCCCTAAGGCCGCGAGTTACAATACTAAATTATTCATTGATATGAATATTTATTGATAATATGTCAAGATTTGGACACTGGATTATTGGGTTAACAAAAGTATGGTAGGGGGACTTTTTACTTTGATATTAAGGCAGTGTGGTGCTGATTGGGTGAGCGTGGTAAAGATTAAAAAGGGCAGGGTGACGTGCCCCACTATTCCATGCTAGATACAACACTAGAGTAATTACAATACAGAAGAGCAGTACTGGTATTTTTTGTATAAATACTTAACTTTCACATGAGTTTTTAAATATTTGTATCAAATCATGTAGATATATGTGATTTAGACAAAATCTATGAGTCAGTTCGGCAGTAGGTACAATAATATTTCATTTTAAATCACTTGACCATGTAAACACTGGGGATTCATCCTTGCAAGATGCAGAAATACTGCCATATAAAGCCTGTTACGTGCAATTTCAACGATTATAAATGAAAAATAGGACTGATATAATGTGTAACAATCTTTCTTATGGAGTGTGAGCATTAAATAATATTTTTTATGAATTGGGAGTGAAACGTCTTTGTGTGAACTGTCTCAATAGTGAAATGTCTGTCTACCCAAACTGTTCACGATGAAATATTTAGGCTTTATATTGAATCCGGGTCAGCTCGGCCCTAAAGCGTACTCGGCCCCCGAGTCAGCTCGGCCCGATTCCAACTCGGCACGGGTCAACTCGGCCCACTTTTTAATCAATAATATTTAGGTTTGTGTTATCACTTTTTATAGTCATTATTGTAATTATTGATAAAACACGGATTGACAGTTTTAGAACTACATGTAGCAGCAGACACGGGCTTTTCTTATCAATAGAATTGCGAGTAAAGATAATCGATGTGTATCTCACTGTTTTTCTGACACGTGGTAGGTTTAACCAGGTACGTATATAAACGTACCTGCGTAAATTTAAATACCTTCAGTGTCAAACAATGTGTTGAAATATATACTGAGAGGAAGCTACTAAGATCACCAGCTTTTATAATTAGCGTAAAAAATTTAAAAATCGGACATTTAATCGCACCAAACTAGCGATTTAAACACGGCTGAATTTGCATTCTTTTGCATTCGAAGGGAAACTAAGGGAAACAAGTCTTGCTTTTTCAGTCAATATACCTCGAACCTTATTTACGTAGTTTGACAGAGAGAGTTTTTAAATATAAGACAGATAACTAAAAAAAATCTAAATATACTTTATTTCGACCGAAGTACAATGTATAACTATATAATAATAAGATATTTCTTATTATTCTTACTTTAACAACATACAAAGCAAAGTTAATACGTTATATATATATTTGTAAAGTGGGCCGAGTTGACCCGTGCCGAGTTGGTATAGGGCCGAGTTGACTCTTTTCCTTTATATTTAACACGGAGGCACACAGATGAAATTTTAACCACACAGAATGGTGTTTCATAATAAGGCTATGACTTAAGCTCAGTTATAAAATAAAAAAAATAATGAATCCATTAGTGATAAATTTCCATCCGAATATCTTATTATCCGAAAATAGATTACATATAGCGGTACCACTAAAATACGCAACGGAGATTTTTTGGCGCAACGGACGCAACGGAGATATTATTTTTAGAAAAACCGGCACAACGCCTTTTTTAAAAGTCAATGTGCTATATTTAAGCATCTAAAATGATTGTTTATAACTATTTAGTAAGTAAGTTTTAAAATATTTCATAAATTGTATATGTTTAATTGCACTGAAGGGTCATATGCCTGGCGAAATGGAAATTTCATGGCGCAACGGAGATATTTTTTTCAGAAAAACCGACACAATGCCTTTTTTAAGTCAATATGCTGTATTTGTGCATCTAAAATGATTGTTTAGCACTATAAAGTAAGTATGATTTCAAATGTTTCATAAATTGTATACACTGAAGGATTATAATATGCCTGGTGAAATGGATATATATTTCATGGCGCAACGGAGATAATTTGGGAAAATCGGCACAACGTTTGTACTATTGTACTATTATATGAAATTAATTAACACCAATGTTATTTGAATAAATAAATTAAAAAAAAAAGATTTAAAAACCTTAATCGTATATCAATTAATCAAAGAGCTGCAATGTTGATGTTGTAAAGGATTGTGTGCCGCCGAAATGGACATTTTGTCTGCGCAACGGAGATTTTTTTGTTTTGGCTCAACGGAATCAATGTTAGTCCGAATTAAGTAGTTATATGAAGAAGTAAATCATTAAAGATATTAACTGAATTACTGAAGTGGTGTAATAAATGTCTGTTTTATTAATTTAGAAATGGAATTAAATACGGTTTTATCGTTATGGCTGACACTGAAAGACATGTATGGATTTTACAATCTGTTTCATTTTTTCCCGTTCAATTCGTTATTTTTACGAAAAGTACCGTAATAGCTTTTCTATACATAATTTTCAGAATTTTACTTGAAGAATACGAAAAGTCCGTAAAGCATACGCTGTTGACTTTCTAATGTAATCTTAACAATAAATTACCAAATTTCAACAAAACGTTCATTAATGGCTTTATTGATGCACAAAGAAATACGATTTATTTCCGTCATGGCTGATATTCGAATGATTGTAATATTTTATGCATTTTTAAAATTAAAAAATAGTAAACTATACAACATATTTATTGTTTTGACGTAATTATTAAAATAGTAAAACGACATGCCTGTAGAATTTGCTTAGACTTTCCATTTTAAAACATAAGATAATTAAATTGAACGTTACTTATAACAATTCCTTCCCAATCAGAAAACCCCGTTAATCAAAAGCATTTTGGTGATTGGCAGAATGTTTATCACGGGTCTTAAGTACCGATAATTAAATTACATGTGGTTGATGTTTATTGGACAAGCGTTTTCACACCATTTAGATAATGTGATTAAGAGGAACATGTATTGACTTTAAGGTATTACATATTTTTTATAACTTATTATTGTCGAAAATATTGCTTTTGAAGCTTATTATGCCATATTTCACTCAAACTATGAGAAAAATTGTGTATATGAAATGTGAAACGTAATAAAACATTTTGGAGCCTGAATCCGCCACTGATAACGGTCAAGTTTTCTTTTACAAGTGTTAAAATTATTAAACACCCGTGCCATACTCGTGCACGATACGTTGCTAATTGCTTACAATTCTCGCGTTATTGATTACCGTTTGTCAATATAACAATTATGAAATATTTTGATTGCTTTTGATGAAATATACAATTTATACGCAACAAACAATTATTGAAAAGGTACACAATGATTAATGAAAGATAATAAAATAATATAATATGATAAAACTGTTATGATAATCCTCGTTGTGCCGAAATGTCCATTTCGCCGTAATTTAAATATCTTTTACAATATCCTATTTTCAACATTTTCTAAAATAAAGGAAAGTAAATCATTTTTAAAAGACTGTTACTTATTATTCTCAAATTCTTAAGTTATGTTTACATAAGAACTACCCGTTATGCAAATCTTCATTTTCCATTGCGCCAAAATTATGTCCATTTCGCCGTCCATTTAGAATCTGATATATTCAGTATTCTACCTAATAAAATCAAACTTATACAGTATATGTAAAAAATATGTATAAAATATCAACAATACCAACTAATATGATTATTTTATGTTTTAGACATAAAAAAACAGTACACAGTTTTGAAAATAAAATCTCCGTTTCGCAATAATCCATCGGCGCAACGGAGTTTATGAAAGGTATAACAAAAATACAATGAATGTTTATAATAAAAAAATTACTGAACATTGATTCTGTAATATCAACATATTCCTTTATTTAGTTAACTAATGCAAATTCAATTAAAAATTATGTATAGAAAAGCTATTACAGTACTTTTCGTAAAAATAACGAATTGAACGGGGAAAAATGAAACAGATAGTAAAATCTATACTTGTCTTCCAGTGTCAGCCATAACGATAAAAACGTATTTCATTCTATTTTTAAATGAATAAAACAGACATTTATAACACCACTTCAGTAATTCAGTTAATATCTTCAATGATTTACTTCTTCATATTACTACTTAACTCGGACAAACATTGTTTTCTTTTTAAATTCCGTTGCGCGAAAAAAAAATCTCCGTTGCGTAGACAAAATGTCCATTTCGCCAACACACAATCCTTTATGTACAACATCAACATTGCAGCTCTTTGATTATTTGATATACGATTAAGGTTTTTAAATCTGTTTTTAAAATTTATTTATTCAAATAACATTGGTGTTAATTAATTTCATATAATAGTACAATAGTACAAACGTTGTGCCGATTTTCCCAAATTATCTCCGTTGCGCCATGAAATTTCCATTTCGCCAGGCATATTATAATCCTTAAGTGTATACATATACAATTTATGAAACATTTGAAATCAAACTTACTTTATAGTGCTAAACAATCATTTTAGATGCTCAAATACAGCATATTGACTTTAAAAAAAGGCGTAGTGTCGGTTTTTCTGAAAAAAAAATATCTCCGTTGCGCCATGAAATTTCCATTTCACCAGGCATATGACCTTTCAGTGCAATTAAACATATACAATTTATGAAATATTTTAAAACTTACTTACTAATTAGTTATAAACAATCATTTTAGATGCTTAAATAGCACATTGACTTTAAAAAAAAGGCGTTGTGCCGGTTTTTCTAAAAAAAATATCTCCGTTGCGCCCGTTGCGCCAAAAAATCTCCGTTGCGTATTTTAGTGGTACCCTACATATAGCTTTAACTTGGATGAAAAAAGGGTTTTCCCATATTTTAGTGCAAAAATGAATAGAAATCAATGCAAAGGATAATTAATAAATACTATCAGACATAGTAGTAGTAATACAATAAGATAATTCACAAATATCTAATCCCTCACCTGTAACAAATGTAAACAACTTCGTTGCTATTTTTCGTAGTCGATCACGTGGGTGTGGTTTCAGGACACTAATAGTCCTAGGCACCACTAAATGTTTCAGATTTGTCACACCTGATGTACATTTTTGTATATTAAAGTTACTTGAAAATTTCATGTTATGTGATTATGTACGTGCTATGTGATATGCAAACTGGATCTCCCATGTACATGTAATATATAAAAATAAAATGTTTCTGTTTAGATCTTATTTGTCCATTTATTTTTTAAATGACAAGGTGCATGTAGCACTAATTAATAGAAATGTAGGAATCTTCCTTATTCTTAGATTTTTTAAGGAAATTATCATAAAATCTACGTAAACAGTATGACCTAGAATATTTTTTTCTCAAATAATTTTGATGAGCAGTATGCATCTTATACAAATTTGCCAGTACTGATTGAATGTGATATTGATGACATTTCCACCCCATTTCCAAACGTTTACGTAAACGATGTGCACAAGTTGTAAAAAAAAGATATATACAAGCACCCAGTCAGTTAAATAAACACCTATCAATAAACAACATGATTGATTTCTACGACAGGCATTGTTACATAATATTAAAATATGAAAATGAACATGGTTGTAATTAATTTACGTGGCACCAACACTATAATACTGAGTGAAATAGAATCCCTAAAGAAAGTCCAAATCGCCAAAATTGAAAATGTTACAGGCTCGGCTTTACTGACAGGACTGGGAAGTGCAAGTTACTGTCCACGCCCTTCAACATCGGCTCAATCAAAGGATCGAGTCTGCAACATTTTCATATTGTCGTTTTGTGCGTTCTTTATGGATTCTTTATTTCTACCTACATAATAAATTATGTATCTGATCGCCACATTATATAGGCATTTTTTGTGCCGTGTGGAGGCCGTAAAAAGTCGCCCTGTACAACCAATTAAGGGATGTTAAATTTCCGATCCTTAAAGATCGTTCAGCACTACATTATTGTGGCATATGCTAGTGGTATATTTTAGTTCTTTGTATTCGGCTATTTTCTAGTTGGGTGGTTCAAGTATTCATCACTTTGAATACCGTTTAATCACCCTTATATGGTGTCTGATTTGTGCCATTCGTGTATTCGCCCCGCGACACCGCCAAGCGAAAAGTCGAAAATTAACAGCTTAAAATGGCGTGGCGCGGGCGAAAACACGCTAATTAGCGAGAGCGCGGGGCGTGATTTAAGAAATAAAACGACGGGGTTGCGGAGCGAAAACACGCTAATTAGCGCCCCCGCTTATTAGCGTGTTTTTGCTTCGCGCCCCGCCAAGTTAACTTGTTAATTATCGACGTTTCGCTTTGCGGATCGCGTGACGAAAACACGCTAATTTGCGGGGGCGCGGGGCGAAGTTTTATAAATAAAACTTCATCGCAAGCCCCCGCTAATTAGCGAGTTTTTGTCCCGCGACCCAGCCCTTTTATTTCTTAAATCTCGCCCCACGCCTCCGCGGAGCGAAGTTTTATTTATTAAACTCGCCCCGCGCCCTCGCTAATTAGCGTGTTTCGCTCCGCGCCGCCGCCTTTTATACTTGTTAATTCTCGACTTTTCGCTTGGCGGGGTCGCGGGGCGAAAACACGAATGGCACAAATCAGCAACCATACCCTTTGAATATGTGGTGTACTTTTTAACTTTGTCTTTCGACATCTTTTTTTGTGATATGCAGGCTGCATATAACTTCTGACCCCTTTCAAAATTCCATTTTACCACATACCCGTGCCGCTTTTGCGACTCCGTAAAAATGGTATTGCACGGCTGTGCATATATTTTGATGTGACGTCATTTTCTTTATAATTTATAAACAAAGCGTTAAGACACGCTAAATGTTAACGTTATACTAAAGGCGCCCCAATGAAAAATGGTTCTTTAATTTTCACTTCAAACGGTCTGTATTTTTGGTATGTGGTAAAGAGGACATTTAATGAGTGACATGTAAGTTTAATACTTAATTTATTGAACTCGTTGACTAAAAATAATATAATGCTCGCCAGAGGCTCGCATAATTTTATTCAACTCGTTCAATATAAATTCAGAATTAAACTTGCACTCATTCAATATCCTCTATATATTTAGTTCCGCCCATTATTTTCTCGTTTAGGACGCACGCATTCATTTATTTGGGGACCAGGGCTGGGAATCAAAACTGCGTCGATCGTATCCTACAAAATGTAAACAAGCGCCGCCATCTTGGAACGAAAAACATATGTTTTTGTTTATAACTTTTTTTTGTTGGAAATGACTGAAAACCAGATATATGTATTAACACGCTACACTATTTTCCGCTTCGTTCGGTATATGTTGCTTGCACAACTACACTTAACAAAAGTTCTAACCGATCACTTTTTAAATTTTGATTATTTTATAACCGGTCAATAGATCCTTATAAAATTTTGCAGAGGTGATTTTTGTGTCATTTTCTACCGATTTGTGGAAAGAAAAATAATTTAATACGGTTCCATGCACTCACGCGGGGAGAGAGAGCGCGGTTTACACATTTTGGCACGAAATGTTCGTGCAGAGCGTGGTGAGTATTAAATTTTACATTGCATAAATCCTTGTTAACTTTATAAGTGAAAAAACATGACACGAATGTCGATGCAGGGTCGTGCCGTAGCAGTTGGAATGTTGAATGCTGGAGCCTCTTTCAGACAGGTGAGTGGCTGTTCATAATTTTTTTTTTTTAATATCGATAAAGTATTTAATAGAAAAATGTTATAATTTTATTATTCTCAATGTGTTCATTCTCTTCGAAATAAAATAAAAGTCGGATCTATTGGTATTATTCTTTTTCATATATAAGCGAAAACTCAGGGTGATCGGTTAGAACTTTTGTTCAGTGTATTTTGTAAAACAAAAGTTATAGCGAACTTGCAACTCGAAGCGGGAGAGAATTTTTATGAAATTGTGTGGATACGACGCAGTTCATGGGTGTATTTTTTGTCTTTTCAACAGGGATAATTTTGGCAATATATTTCTATTTTATGGAATAATCACTTGCCCTAGATAACAATTAAAACCCAAATCATTTGCGGTGTATAGCAATGTTATGTTGCTTTTGATTATTTAGAATACATTGTGTCATGTCTAATATAACATTTAATTTGAAAGTTTACATTGCGGAAGCTACTTTTTAGTTAAACATGAACATGTAACAGAATTAAGAAATAATATATCCCAAACAGTGATTTTATCGCTCAATAACATCACTGTTCGGAGTTCGGATGCGAGGAATTATATCACGAGGGCGTAGCCCGAGTGATATAATGATGCGCATCCGAACGACAAAAGGTCCGTAGACCTTTCCTCATCGGCGATAAAGAAATGCAATACAACAAAATCAGCGGTAAAGTTCCGCGGCGCTGAACATAAAATGACTAAACGGAACGCATAACCTACTTGCAAAAATATATTGTAATATAATTTTAAAAATTCAATGTTCAGTTTCAAATAATAAAGCTCATCTGTTCTCACCGATTATTAAGAAAATGAATACAATAAAATCGGTACGTAAAAGACATAAGTAATAACGGAATTGACGGAAATTGTTGCTATTACAAGTAACAAAGGTAGGCATGCAATTTGCGCATAGCTCTCTTCCGATAGCACTGAGACCTTTTCAAAATTTGTAATTCTTTCTCTTTTTTTTAAAAAAAAAAAGGTCATTCCTGATTAATACAGGGTCCAGGAGAGGTTACACTGGAATATTGAATTTTGAATCACTCCCATTTCGAACTAATGGGAACAATTTTAGAAGCATGCTTAGGCAACACTGGAACACGTTGTCATATGGAAGTGCGATCACGTGTTTCAATGTATAATTGCATTTGAGACAGCTTTTCGGAATTTGTAGATGCTTATGATAGGTACTAAAATGCGACCGAAAAATGTAGCCTTAATAGAATTGCATAACATTTTCATTTTTATGGAACCAATGAGTGACCTCTCTGCTTTTGACTTAACTTGTAAACAAGAAATGTTGTTGGACGTTATTAGCAAACCTAGCAAATAATTTAAATAGTTTAACTAATATGCAGCCTGCAATGAAAATACAACTGCGTCGTATCATATTTTATTTTCAACTGCGTCGTATCATTTCGTAAAAATCATTATTGTCTTGGAAAATAAACATCTCTTTTTGATGAAAGTTTAGTAAATGACGCAAAATTATGTTTTGAAGTTTATGGTGAACTCTGAAAATGAGTACATGTATATAACTTTTGTTTAACAAAATAGTTGTGCAAGCAACATATACCAAACGAAGCGGAAAATAGTGTAGCGTGTTAATACATATATCTAGTTTTCAGTCATTTCCAACAAAAAGAGTTATAAACTAAAACATACATGTTTCGTTCCAAGATGGCGGCGTTTGTTTACATTTTGTAGGATACGACGCAGTTTTGATTCCCAGCCCTGGGGACCATACGCGGCTATTCATGGAATGGCACGAAAGTGTCACATTGAAGGTTCCATGATAACCGCCGTATGAACACATTTGCGGATGTTTCTAAATTGAAATTTCACCATGATAAGATTGTTGAATTCTGTTTAAGCCGGTGCTTAGAGGTACGGGGCGTGGACGGTAACTTGCACTTTCCATTACCGTCCATGAAGAATCTCAGTCAAACCGAGCCTACAACATTTTCAATTTTGTCGTTTTGCGCGTTCTTGAGGGATACTTTATTTCTCTCTTTTTTAAGCAGAATTCAACATCTAATCGTAGTAAAAGTGAAATTTGAATTTAAAAAAAGAAAAGGTCAGGGTCTGTAAAGGTCATATAGCGACTTTCCAGCTTTACTGATAAAGCAGTACCATTCCATGCACTATTTCAGACACGAGCGGGTACCTATAATTATAAGTAGAACCGCCAACGTTCCGTTAGCTAGCTGGGTAGCTTTCTTACATGCAAGAACTCGTATATAGACTATTTCATTGAAGGAAATTTAAAGTTCTCCAGAGACTGTTTAATGTGTCGCAAAAGAAAAGGTTTGAACTTATACACGCTTCTGAAGAACAAAATAAAAGATGGATTATATTTACCAAGACTAGACCTTTTTACACTACGATTCTTCCATATAGTAACCAATGTTGCATTTCGCGCATGCGCATTCTGCGTAGGGCAAAAACGCAGTAATATAAAAAACAGTGTATGATACTTTTAGGCTTTAATAGTCGTGATTCCATGTTATGTCAACCAGAAAACAGTAATTTTTGGATGACTTAAAGCGGTTAAGTACTTAAAACGTTAATTGATATTTATAACAGATATAATAAATATGCGGGACTATAATAATCCAATGGTCAAAAGGCACACACAAAAGTCGTATCATTAGACGACGTTTTCATCTGTTATTTAAATTTTTAACAGCAGATTAAAGATAAAATTAGAGTGACATTATGCTCATCCAAATGTAAATGAAGTGAACAGGTAAAAATCAAAATAAGTCACACTTTGCCATGGTATTCATTTTATAATGTAAGTCATTTTTATTTAAAATTTGAAAGGGTTGCAATGCTTTTCACTCAAAAGGGTCTAAGCCTCACACAAAATTCGATTTCAATTTATTTCTGAGTATATTTCATAGTTATCTTTTGTATATCTCCATGTTTTATGTGTCCCGGTTGGTCTACTTGTATGAATTTCAAATTTTATATACTTGGGCTTTTGAACCTCAGTGGAGTTCCTTTAACAATATTTATTCAATTTTATTATGTTTTGCACTGATGAAGGCATATAGCCGGAATGTATGCAATAAATAAATACTGAATGTTCATGTTTGTGTGGCTTGTCTGTATATTTTAACAATATTTAAGTAGACATTTTTTGGGTACTAACAGAATCTCAGGGGAGATAACTATAATCATATTTTGATACTTACCGGTAAACAATGCCAAGAAAGGTAACAAGAGTAATATTTTACCATTTAACACAATGTCAGGAGAGACCGCTAGTCGTATTTTTAGGACTTACAAGATGTTATGAGAGGTCTTGAGTCTTATTTTAGGACAAAAATAATGTTAGGGCAGGTAATTAGTGATATTTTGGAATTTACTTTTTTTTATCTATTACACAGTTTACTGACAGACAGTTAATTACTGATTGCTTTATGCAGTAGATGTTCAAAATTAAAAAATAGAAAATTAAAAAGTGTACGAGATTGGTGACAAATTATTCATATAAATCACTAAGGGTGCAAAAATTAGTTGAAATCTGTATTACAGTATATTGCTGTACCAACAACCTGTATTGCTAAACATATTGCAATACATTGATGATTATAATAAAAAACAATAAAAAAGTAAAACTACTATTTTTTTATTTTAGAAATCATGAAAAGCTCAACAAATTATAAATAGCTGTTTTTATTCATATAATGAAATCATGTTAAGAATGCTTAACCTAGTATTTGTCAAATAATCAAACAAATAAAACATTAAAGCCAGCATTTTGATCAGGTAATGTGACATAAGGTAGACTGACACCATCATTGGCAAAATCTCTCAACAGTATGGTGACTTATTTTTCAGCATTTAACTAATTGCTTATTTAAATTTGATTTCCTTTTCTAAATGAAAGGTATACCAAACTACCCTTTTGACCTTTGTAACGATATTTATCAAATCAACCACCCAACCTGGTTATTTATGTTAAACTACATGTATAAGAATGCAAATATAAACAATGATACTTAAATTAACTATTTACCTTTAAAAGAAATAAACATGTGTTACAATGGCTAAGTTCTATTGGCCTCATGAATTCAAAGAAAAGTTTTTGTATGCAGTTTCAAATACAAATGCATCAGTAATATAAAAAACTTCAAGTCAGTATTGCAGGGAATATAATGGTACATCTGTTCTGTACCTGTTCCATATGAGATAATATTGCTTGATGCTGCGTTGTCATATACCGGTATATTGCCATTATGTTTCACCAGTCTATACTGTATACTATTGAGAAAAGGATAAGAAAACAAGGAATACCCCCAAAAAAACAAATTAAAACAAAAACAAAAAGCAGGAAAAACATGGCACATGCTAAACAACATAACAGCAGCTTCAATACAATGTTGGCACAATTAATTATGTTACAATACATCAATACATATCCTAATATCTGTCTGTGTAAAATAAAATTACAGAATATATGGTTTCTGTTCAGTTATATTTGAATAAATGTTTAGGCAATAAAGGCCAAAACCATAACAAGATCTGTTACAGGGAGTGCACATTGGACCTTTTTTCATTGTTTGACAGCAAAAAAAAAAAAATCCAGAGGATTGGAATCTATGCTTCAGTCATAGACCCTTATTAATGACCTATGATGATGACCACAGAACTTTTGTGAAGTTTCTATATGTTAATACCTTCATTGGTTGATGAGAAATGGTTACAAAATTTTAATGTTTAACCACAATTTTTTTTGAAATTACAAAGGGAAATAATTCTGTACAAATTTATGCTAGAGTTATGGATCTTGTTTACTAACATAAAGATATGGCCCTTAATATACATGCATGGAGTTTTGAATGTTTGGATGTTTTTAACCCTTAATCTGCTGGAACCAGATTCACTATTATATCAGACTAGTCTGCCCGAGTCACTGCAGCCTAACCTGGCTATAGTTTATTTTGTAGACTGGTCAACTTTAAATTTTATACTGATAATCCCTAAAATTTGAAAGTGGAAACTTCCAAAATGGGAGCTGAACAAGACTATTTAAATAAAGAAATTCAACAGGTTATTGGACAATAGCTGATGAAAAAATATGTAACAACAATTGTTACAACCTGATGCAAGTATAATAATTACGCTATTTAGCTACAATAGCAATAACTTGGTAAGCATTAAAATATATACATATCATTTTTATAACAACAAAATAACACAAATTTGATTCATTTCTAAAAACAATGCTCTTTTTTTTTCTGTTTAAAATATAAATAAAACATGTGTGTATAGCAGTAAAATGTTTTAGCGTATTTTCATGTATTCCAACATGTAAATAAAAATTCATTAAAAGTGATGATTACATGGTACTGTATTTCTCCTCTACCACTTTTTCATTTGGTGAGGCCAGATGTCAACCTATCTTAGCTTTATAGAAATTTGTTAGGTATTTTAAGTTTATATCATACACTGTTGAACTTATATCTCTGAAAAGCATTTGTTTTAGAGATAAATGCACTGTGGGGTTTGGCCAGAATGTAAAAATTTGCCTGCTTAAGGTACAATGTCTCAAGAATAACAGGAACAATTTTATCCAATCATGGCCGGCACTCGGCAGTGATTACATGTTCTCAGCCCGAGCCACAACAAAATTACATTATAAACGTTTACGTGACACTTTTCAGCATGTAACTGAAATAACCTGTAATGTATTGCTATTTATAGTAACAAGGTTATATGTAACTAAAAGTTTTTTTTATCTCATTCAATCTATGAGGAAGAATTCTTCATCAAGGTACGTCCCGTGAGCTTTCTCGTCGTCCGAATAAACTTCAGTCTCCACATCTTCTGTAGGTTTGGAAGACGTGTTGTAAAAACTTGATGGAAATGATTTTGATCGTGCCCTGTAAAACGGTCAGTGAAAAATATTTTACAGTATATTTCCTTAAAATTTGAATGCATGTATATTTACACAGTCAATACAGTACTTTTAAGGATATACCTGAATAAAGCTACAATATTAATTTTTGTAAATGCCTGAAACTTTATGACCATTCTTCTCTAAATAAGAATGCCTATGGGTATTTATAGGAAAATTATATTGACTAACATTTCTACTTGTATAATGACACATAAGCTTCATTGTATTTGTCAGCATGAAAATTGAAGTTTGGCTGCATTTAATCTAATCATATGTCTTTTTTTAAAATTTAATCTTACATCACACTAGCACAGTTAAGATCATATGGCACCATGCAAGCTTTACTGGTAGAGGAAGGCACATATGAGCACCTGAGTAGAACCACTGCTGTTCTGTAAGCTAGCTAGCTTCCTTACATAACAGAATCCAAAGTTGGTCGGAACTCATGCCCTCTGAACCACTCAGCCATGGGTGCTCTAATTAAAAAGCAATAATTTATCTGCACAATTATACAGATATTTAAGATTATAATATTTTTTGGTATTTACCAAAAAGCAAATAATAATGCTCTTTTTAATAAGAGGATATTTTTTCGTTTTAGTGAAATATGGAATATATTTTCACGAAACATGATAAAATGCCACATATTTTCACAAACTGGGACGACGAGTGAAAATGTGTGGCATTTTATCATGTTGAGTGAAAATATTACCATATTTCATAAAAAACAAACAAATAACCTTTTTATTTAATTTCATTGTCAACAAAAAAAAATGGTTATGAATTCCTTGCTTGCTACGCAAATGCAATTGTAGGCCTACAGCGTGCAGTAATATATTGATGCGTCTTGTTTTTGCTTGTATTTGCATGCACTGTTTGGCGCTACATTGTGACGACACGTAAACAACTCTTTAAACGTCTGTACAGTGTTAATGACTGCATGAAAGATATTGGTGTTTGGATTTATTTTCTTAGTTAAACCATTTTCTATCATTCTAGATAGTTTTCAAAACAAAATTCAACAAAAAATGGTTTTATTTATCAGATCAGATTTTTTAAACAAAATGGCAAAAGAAGTCCCCTAAAATAAATATGAGTTTTTACTCCGCCTACTTTCATATTTATATTTCATATTTATTTTTCACAAACATGACATATATTTGACTGATATAGAATCTAGCACCATATTTCATGGGTAAAATTAAATAAATATATATAATTTATATATATAATTTATAATCATGCAAATTTCATTACAATTTACACATACTCAGAATGTTTATGTCATGTTTATCCATACCTTATTTGTGTCTGGTTTGGCCAGTAGATATGTTTATCACTAAAGCTGAAGTTCTCGTCCCCAATCAGCTGTTTTGCCCAATACTGATTATTGTACGGAGGTTGAGTGCCTCCAAGCTCTGCCGGTAGTGCCTCTTTATGGATCTCATTATGTAATGTACCAAGGTTTATTCCATGAAAATGAATCTGTACAAAAAATATGAAGAATATTCTTTTTCATCAAAGTCTTACATGAACATGACCCTTAAGCTGACATAATATTCATATGTTCAAAAAAAAACAAGACAAATCATTTCTTTATTAAGTTACTTAAGAAACAAGCATTGGAAGGGTATGAGAACAATTTGATTACATCATTCACCACTTTTGAAATATAAAAATTGGTTTAAATTGGTCAGTTGTGTTTATCTCGATTTCACATCTGAATTTCGACACATTTTTGGTCATATCTAACAATGGTTGGTCTACCTAATACCAACTCTCCTGGATAACAAACCAGTAAATGCCATTTTCTCTGCAAGTATTACTGACTACATGTATATTTCTGACTATTTTATTCTTCATGCTTCCTGAATCAGTGTTGAGGGACAATTGACCATTAGATTCAATTGACCATTAGATTCGATGACCAAGATCAATTGTTATGGTGATATTTCACCTCGTTCAGGGATTGAAGCAGCCACTCCTGGATTACAATTCTGATGCTTCCCTTACAATAAAAAGCATTTTTTTTGTCCAGTTATAACTTAATACCCTTGCAAATGCATTTAAGGGAGGGAGAGGCAGATCTGGCTTTCAACCATAACATTGGTAGAATATAGATTTTTTTAAGATTGTGTAACTCTTAAAAGATAAATATAGAAATTTAAATGTTTAAGTGCTAAAATATTTTTTTTTAACTGCAAATATAAAAACATTCTGTACCAGAAATTTATAGACAATGCACCTTCAAGCTGCACGCCTACAGATGAGCCAAAATATTTCAAGAAATTCAATCTTGAGAAAAATTCATAAGTAAATAGGTTCAATATTTAATTAATTATTTACATGTTATTTGCGATTAATGAATGATTTTGCAGTATCAATCACTATAATTCTACTGCATGTATATTTTGACATCTTTTTTGTTTGGTAATTAACCTGGATTGTAAGTGCCATTTGCAATGTGTAAATTACTTTCTTTGTTCACAGTATTTTACTTTTAAATGCATTTGAAAATTAGCATGAATCTGGAGGCATGCTGCTTTAAATGTGGAAATATAATAAATACTACTCTTTATTCAATATTTTAAAGTGCAAGTGGACAAAGACAAAACTGCTACAATTTATTTAAATATCTTCTTATAATCATTTAAAATGGTACATTGAGCATAAGTACTGGCAGATTTGAGAAGTGAGGAATAATCTGTCTCCATAACAATACTGACTTGAAATAAATAATGTTGAAACTAAATCGATGCACTTGCAAAACAAGAGCAAAACAAGAGCACCACTAGGTGGAGCATTATATGCCCGAAAGTGATTTTTTTTTTTAGTAAAGATGAAGCATTTGTAAGACATGGGAATTAAATAAAGTATAATTTACCTCCTTCAAATAACAATCCTCCTTTGAAGTTTCAATATTGTGGTCCAAATGGAACTTAAGTTATGCCACAGAAACTGTTTTCAATTCTAAGGTAATAGTGACCTTGACCTTTGACCTTGTGACCCCAAAATCATTAGGGATCCTCTACCCAATATGGACAATCATACTATGAAGTTTAAACACAGTAGGCCAAATGCTACTTAAGTTATGTTCGGCAAACTGTTTTCAGTTTTAAGGTCATAGTGACCTTGACCTTGTGATCCCAAAAACAATAGGGGTCTTCTACCCAATATGGACAATCATCCTATGAAGTTTGAATATTGTGGGCTAAATGGAACTTAAGTTATGCTCAAGAAACTATTTTCAATTTCTAAGTAATATTGACCTTGACCTTTGACCTTGTGACCCCAAAATCAATAGGGGTCTTCTACCGAATAAGGACAATCATCCTATAAAGTTTCAACACTGTGGGCCAAATAGAACTTTAGTTATGCTCCGCAAATTGTTTTAGTTTTAAGTTAATAGTGGCCTTGACCTTTGACCTTGTGACCCCAAAATCGATAGTGGTCTTCAACCCAATATGAACAATCATCCTATGAAGTTTGAACACTGTGGGCCAAATGAAACATAAGTTATACTCCGGAAACTGTTTTCAGTTCTAAGGTAATAGTGACCTTGACCTTTGACCTTGTGACCCCAAAATCAATAGGGGTCTTCTACCCAATATGGACAATCATCCTATGAAGTTTGAACACTGTGGGCCAAATAGAACTTAAGTTATGCTCCGGAAACTGTTTTCAGTTTTAAGGTCATAGTGACCTTGACCTTTGACATTGTGACCCCAAAATCAATAGGGGTCTTCTACCCAATATGGACAATCATCCTATAAAGTTTGAACACTGTAGGCCAAATGGAGCTTTAGTTATGCTCCGGAAACTGTTTTCAGTTTTAAGGTCATAGTGACCTTGACCGTATGACCCCAAAATCAATAGGGGTCTTCTCCCCAATATGGACAATCATCCTATGAAGTTTGAATATTGTGGGCCAAATGGAACTTAAGTTATGCTCCGGAAACCAAATTGCTAACGGACAGACGGACGCCAGGGGGTATAACATAATATGTCCGAAATTCTTTTGGGCATATAAAAAGGACACTAACCTTATTTTTGTTTTTCTCCTTCAAGAATGGTTTCAACATTTTAAACATTGCCTCTATATACCATGGCTGATTGACAAAATGAACAGCTGCAAATCTTGCTGGAAAACAATCCTTCAAATAAATACAGAAATGTTTTAATAACATAATTTATAAGTACATATTAAAGTCCGATATAATGTATAGGGGACAATAAAAGGGAGCAAGAAACAGGTCTTAGTACAACTGTATTGTTGTATTGCTTTGGAATATTTTAAATGATTAAACACTTAAGAGAAAATAATTAAGAGAAATTCTGGTAAGAATTATTCATTGGCTCTCTATATTTTTCAGAGATGACCTAGAATTAGAAAAATTTCCTGAAAGGCATGCTAATGGGCTCCAGACTCTCTGTAACTCATATATTATAGACCCTTGACAGGTATAAGGACACATTTTTTTGGTTGGGATTTACATGGTGCCAACATGGTAAAGATCAAAATTTATGGCCACTTCAGCTTTGCTGGTGGAAGAAGACTTAACATGTGTAAGGTGCCTCTCTGTGCAATATTTCAAGCATGACTGAACACCTGAGTAGAACCAGTATCGTTTGACCAGTATGTTAGTTGGATAGCTTTCTCAAATGACTAAAGCTAAAATTCCATTAAATAAATACCAAAGCTGAGATGAGGCACATGTTCATTGTAACATTTTATTAGTTAACAGTTAATTATTATTATATATTGATAAGACTATGAATTAACTTGGAAATGTATGACAAATTTATATAGATAAACAAGTTACCTGTAACCCCTCTATCATTTGTCTGAGGACATTTGGATTAAGCCAGGTTGATTGTCTAAATGTAAATTGACTCCAGTCCACAATAATCACAAATCCATTAATCTGGGATTCCTCTTCATCAATAAGTTTTTCTAAAGTTAATAATATAGCCCGATATATGGCGGCAAGACCATAGCGGGTATTGTCCCAGTTAGCAGAGTATAACACTATAATTCTACGACCAAAATGGTCAGAGTTCTCTAGTACAGCTGGGATACCGTCAAAGAGAGCTTCTTTAACGCCTTGTTCAGAAGTGTTGAAGTCTTTGAATATGTTTGGATAGTTTTGTCTGTATTCAAAATAGCGACCAAATAATTTGAAGGCTTCGAACGTGTCGAATTTTCTAGCACGAAGAAATCGTAATACAAATGCATCATCTGTTCTTAGAAAACCTGGAAGAGAAATGATTTGCAATAAATATGGAAGTTTTGTCATATCACAGGAGTGGCATATTGCATAGGTTGTCCCAAAGTTTGTACAGACAAGTTCAAATTTTCAAGAATTTTCTCTATAAATGTAATATTTATGGACAAGTTTAAAGAAGTGCTTCTGATATAAAACAGAGAGGTGTTAACGTCAAAACGAGATTTTGTTGGTCCTCACAGTATAGCATTTTTGGTTTCAACATTTTTACAGATTATAAATATGGCTTACTTAGTTTAAACAGATGTCAGATTTTTTTTCTTTTTATAGCAAGGGCCATTTACAGATATCTTCCATCTAGGAACATTCTATCAAATCAAGCAGCCTTTCTTTAAAAAATTCAATTTGCATCAAGTTTGTTCTTCCCTTTTGCAAAAACACAATGTTCTTTTTGCCTGAAATTGAATGAAAGGTCCCTTTTCCCCTTATGAATCTGTGACAAAAATGCTTAAAATCCTAGCTTGAATACAATTAACCAGGAAAACCAACAGAGCCATTAGTTAATGGTTATATTGCTAAGAACTGGACATGACCATATAACTGGTTAAAACTGTTTATTACAATGTTACACACAATTTCTTTCTTTGATAAATAACAATAAAGATTATTAAGAAAAATAATTCTTAAAAGTGTGTGTCATAATTTGAGTTTATATACTCCCCACCAGTTGCCCATATGGGTGAGTCCTCCAGAAGAGTAATAGTCATTTTATATTTTTCGAGACAGAAAGATGCCCCAATTCCAGAAGCTAAGTCTCCTGGTTCTTTAACATGCTGATTGTTTTAACCTTGATTTAAAGTCTCATCTGAAAGACCGATTAGTAATTCTAGTTGGCCAGCCTGGGAGTTGAACCCACAATGGTGAGTTTACTAGTCTCTCGCTCTAACTGATTGAGCTATGCGGGCTGTCTAAAATTCTTAAACTTGGATCATTCACTATTTAAAATACAAAGTCCCTGATGTTATTACAAATGTCCAAAGAAATGCAACATTAAAAAACTTGCAGTATGTATTACATGTATATCAGATCCTTTATTTCTTCAAACAATAGATTGATAAATCCCTAGTCTGACATTTTATTTGAATAACAATAGATTTAACCACAAACATTGACATGTGCTCAGTTTTCTTAACAAATATGTTCTGATGAAATTCTTATTGTAATCCACCAATCTGATAATAAGAATGTGTTTCCATTTAAGGAATTCAACAGATTAAATGTTAATTTGAACATTTTTATATCAAAATCTACAATTATGTTGGGCAAATTCAGAATTTAAAACAGAGCAAGCCAGTTATAGACATTTAGTATAGCAAGATCATCATGACTTTATTTAACCCTTAGCCAACTGGCTGCAACCGATTCTACCAATGCAACAAGGGCACACTTAAAGATCAGCTGGCACTTCTGTATCATCTTTCACTATCAGCACTGTTCCCATATAATTCAGTCAGTATTCATTTTGTAATTTTTCTCTAAAGATGATTAATAGTTTTGTCCAGATTGAAGCATGGACAAGTCAAGTCCATTTAAGATATTTAGGGTGGAAAAGGAAAATGTACATACTAATATCAGGCCTTGTATCAATCTGTTCACGAACAACATCAATGGCTTCTGCCGTGTATTCGGGGTTCTCATTCAGTTCTACAGAAGCTTTGTTCTTTAACTCACTGCTCAAACCCCAGCCATACTCTGCCATTTTGTCTACGCTTAGTCAGCAATCATCACCTGTTCATAAAAAAGTTATCAATTATTATTTACATTCAGTATAATTATCATTTTGTCTTTTGCTCTAAATTTCTGTTAGAATAAATGAAATTCAGTTACATTCTGAAGCAAAATGTGTTTATGCCACATTTTTCATTTAATTTATATCATATGAGCTGCAATATGACAAAACCAACATAATGGGTTTGCGACCAGCATGGATCCAGACCAGCCTGCAAATCCGCGCAGTCTGATCAGGATCCATGCTGTTCGCTATAAGTTTCTCTACTTGTAATAAAGTTGGTAAGCAAACAGCATGGATCCTGATCAGACTGCGTGGATGAGCAGACTGGTCTGGATCCATGCTGGTCCCAAACACACTATGTTGGTTTTGTCGTGACACGGCTCATATATAGTTTAAGTTTTTTGATACATGTATATAATTATATGTACATCAGTAAGTATAAACCCTTTCCCCACATGCAGGGCAGGGTCAGTGAAGATAATTGAGGAAATCAACTTCCACCTGGTGGATGTCTCGTAAATATTCAGGGCAGGGAGTATTTCCAACTCTTAGCATAAGTTCTTATTATAGAAATAATTTTACCATTAAGCTGTCCATGCAATGGTCAGGACTGGTTCTTAATTCAGGTCTGATTAACCAAAACACAAAGCCCTTGATATTCAAAGTCCCTGCTATTTGAAATTCAAAATACCTGCTATTCAAAGTCCCAGTGATACATAATGTCTTTGCTACTCAATTAAGTCCCTGCTATTTAAAGCCCCTGCTATTCAAGTTTAAATCCCTGCTATTTAAAGTCCCTGTTATTTAAAGTCCCTGTTATTTAAAGTACCTGTTATTCAAAGTCCCTGCTATAGAAAATATTTGCTATACTAAGCCCCTCATGCTGTTCAAATTTGAGTCCCTGCTACATATTCAAAATCCCTGCTATTCAATGTTCCTGCTTTTCATATTAAAGTCCCTGCTATACAAAGCTATTATCTGCTATTCAAATGCAATGCCTGCTATACAACATTTTGCTATACTTAATGTTCTGACTATTCGACAAAATCCCTGCTTATACCTGAGTTACAACTAACTCCTGTGCACAGCTGAGAGACATAATGCCGCTTTAATGCGCCAGCACAAACATTGTATTTTTGGAATACAATTATAACAACATTCAATAAGTCTTACAGTATACCTTTATCACACATAATGTGCATTTAACACAAATCAAGTTTCATGGGATTTTAAGTGTAATAAATGCTATATACATTGTATATATATTTTTTTTATTATTAAAAATTGAATTAAATCAAAAAGACTTTAAAAAAAGATAATCAGATATATATAATTATAAGTGCTAGATGAAAACACCTTCTTCTCTACTGAATTGTGGCAATTCTATCTGACTTTCAAATCACAATTTTACAAATTTATAAGAAACTAAATTTCTATTGATTATTCAAGAAAAAATGTTAATATTCATCTATCAAAAAATGTCCTCCCTTTTACCTTTCCCAATCTCAGACTTAAAAATTCAATTAATTGTAAACCTGGGGAATGGCAGGGAATTATTATGTCTATTAAATGGATTTTCAAACACTCTGGTCCCAGAGGTGACTCTAACCCTCAGCTGTAACACTCATTCTGTACAAATGGCAAAAATCGTCTCTTAATGTGCTATATATTATACAATCTTCTGAGGGCTAATGAGCGGTCCAGGAATTACCAACTGACTTTTAAAGGGGCAATTTAAGAATGTATAAATACATTCTACAAAGGTCCATATGGTCATAAAATGATAAAGGTCCTTAAAATTTATTCGTCAAAGTATCATTTTTTGATAAAGGTCCTTAAATATTCGTCAAAGTATCATTTTTGATAAAGGTCCTTAAATATTTGTCAAAGTATTATTTTTTGATAAAGGTCCTTAAATATTCGTCAAAGTATCATTTTTTTTATCACACTTAGTTAGCTATATGAAGATAAAATCTAACTCCATGACAGGCCTCGACACTAACTTTTTTAGCAGGTGGTACGCCGGACCACTAGATTTGAAAGTTAGGTGGTCCTTCCAGAAGTCAGGTGGTCAGTTATCATTATTATATCTTTTTACTGCAAATGTAGAAAAAAAATGTTTAAACTTTATGACAAAGATTTATTATTAATCTTTAAAGAAAACAGATATTTTTAGATATATATTTTTCATCTAATCAGAAAAGGGAGAGCAAGTCAGTAGGTATTTTATCGTAGAGTTATTTGTGTATTTGTTTTTATCTCAGTCAAAAATACACAACAGAGCTTTTATTTATGTTAACTTTTATATTAAAGTGATTTCTCTCTCAACTCAAGTTAGGAAATATTGAAGCCATTTGTGTCTGTTATTTTCTTACTGTTATTCAAATATTCATTGCTGATACGCGGTACGTCTTATAATCATGATAATAACATAGCATCTTTTACAGATTAACATTTTTAATGGAACTAATAAATTATCTTATTTTTGTCTTTGAAAACAAGGAAATATCTATATTATTTAAATAATGACAACGTTATTATTTACTATATAACTTATCTTATTTTTCTCACAGATTTATGATACAGAATTTTACCTCCCTGTTGCTTGTTGGTTGATATTCATTTTTGACATTGGGTATTTTTAACCTTTTTAAATAATTTTAACTCTAGAAGAAACGGATCTCTTATCGTTAAACAGTTAAAATAAACCCTTAGGAAAAGGAAAGGCATTTAACTTGTAGTTATATTGCAGTTATTTAGCAGTTTTTTCAAATAAATGCCTTTTTTACAATTTTTTGCCCTTCATCTTAATTTGTAGGATTCCATTTAAACAGCAGTTCTTAAAAAACTGGTAAAAACTTGTTGTTAAAAAACTTGTGTCCAGCATTTTTTACCAGTTTTTCAACATTTAAAAATAAATGGTGATGTTAAACAATACTTACATTACCATTTTTTACAAGTTATTTTCTTGAACCATTTTTTTAAGCTAAAAGATTGTGACAGAAGCTGCAGTTTTTACAAGTTTTATTTAAATGCCTTTAGGAAAATATAATTCATGCACACTAATATTCACTTAATACCTTGTAGTGCATCATAGCAATATTGTATGTGTACAACTCACCGGTGTGGGGTGTAAATTTACTTTCAAACTGAGTCATGCCGTCCAGAGGCAGCAAAAGAAATCACATGAACAAACCCTGTCGTCTTCTCTTTTTTTTTTTTAAAACTCATGAGCCAGATAGTTTGTCTGTACAATGTGAAGGTTGTAGTTTACAATGCCTGCGACAGAGTTGAAACTCAGACACTAGCTGTTGTATTTTATAAATTATACTGCTTGCGGTAACGTAATTTCAAACCAAAACAAAATTTCTACAGCATTCTTTTCTTCAATTTTCTTTCAAAAGGAAGCTTTGCAAAATACTATACAATAGTATATAACTTTGATTTCAAAATTACTGTTAGCTGTTTTAGTACCGCGAAAATAGGAACTTTCACTGTAAATGAAAGAAAGCATGTTTGACAGACAAGTTAAATGGTATGAAAAGACATTATGAAGTCCTACATATTATTATTATTATTGTAAAACAAATTTTTTTTTTTTTATTGTGTCTTGAGAGTGACTCACTCTTTCCAAAAAAACAATAGGGAGTAAAGACACTAGCTCTAAAATTTATCTGTTGCTCTATAGTAAATCTAGTCAGCATTAGACATCAGCATGTATTAATATAAAATTTCTGATATTTGGAGGATCAGATTGAGAATAGATATCTTATTTATGGCAATTGTTCAAAAATAATTATGTCCCCTCATTTTCTCATTATGTACACTTAAAACGATTCTTTATAGCTGACATATGCATGAATCACTTATGTCCACTTTTAACAGTTCTTGTATATCTTGTTTTTTTTTGTTTTGTTTAAGCTAGACTTTAAAGCCCCATGTATTTCTTAAGAATTCTGTATCGAAAGGGTTTTACCTCTTGACACCAAATGTCAAAATATTTAGCCTTTGTATATTGTTTTTTACTAATAAACCCCAGTCGTTTCTGTATCGTTAGTACCTTCAGTACTTTGATTATGGAAATTTGATAGTCTGCAATATAACGTAAATGATGTACACTAGACAGCTAGGCCTTTAGAATATAAAAGATATCACCATCAAAGAAGAAATAAAATAACTTTTTTAAAATGTTATCCAATCTTTTAATGCTTTTAAAATGTAAGCACTATTTGGTGTAACGTCTTGTAGGCGTTACAAGAATTATGTGGTGTTTTTCAACATTTTGACCATTTTAGAAGAGAAATACTATGATTTCTTTTTCGTTTTTGTTCATAACAATGTCATTGGATAAGATTTTTGTACTTAACATTTTTGCTCATTACAAACGCATATATGGCCTTTAATCTCAAAGTTCAAAAGATCCAGAGGCTTATTGTGAGATTTTTGACAGTTCAATATGTCTGTTGTTCGTCTTAACAATTTCTAATGTTAAATACATTAAAAAGTGTCCAAAACTTTAAGTCCACACAGTAATCAAACTGGTTGCCTAATGAAACTAAAAGGGCAATGCTTTTGAGTTCATGAAAAGTTAGGGGATTTGGTGATTTGTAAGAAATCTATGTACATACATATGTGTCAATGTAATAGAAATTCCATGTACATGTACAATTATTTTCAGATGTGAACAGTTGTTAACAGTATTATATTAGCTCAAATAAATGCAACAGTTTTTTGAAAGTTTTTTTGCAGTTATTTATGAGGTCATATAAAGGCTTCAGTAGTTTTTTGAAAGTTTTTTAATGATGTCATATAAATGGTTGAAAATGCAAACACAATTTTTTGGCAGTTATTTATGAGGTCATATAAATGGTTGGAAATGCTATCTCCATATTTGGAGGCAGTTTTATGATGTCATCTCATTTACATATTTCGGCTGATTTCAATGCTTTTTCAATGCTAAATAACTGCATTTTAAATGCATTTTAACTGCATTTTAAATGCTTTCTACATAATCACATTTGTCAAGGAAAACTGCTTAATAAATGGTTAAAACTGGTCAGAAAAACAATGCTAAATAACTGCAAGTTAAATGCCTTTCCTTTTCCTAAGGGAAGATAAATAGCATAGAATTACTTGATGTTTTTCTTTCCAGTTCCTTTCGTTTGCTGCCGTTATTCAAGTATCTGAAATTTAAGTTTATCCGATATCATATAATTACCATCATCGTATACTCACGGTTGATTAATATGTAACATAACATAAATGTCAATGGTTCCGCCGTGGTTATCAGACGATGCATAATTACTAGCACTATTTGAATGAATTTTGTACCTAAATTTATATCACAAACTCTTAACTCTTTTAACTTGCATAAACAAAATTTTAGCGACTTATAATGAAAGTTATTGATGACTTAAGAACTTCTTTAACTAATCAGAGATTAATGAACCATATACATGTACATCGGACATAGATTTTAAACAAAATTATATAACATGTTTTTGACCAAATCGCCATTCTCCCAAATGAGCCTTGCATCAACCAGAAAATTCAAGTGGTCGGACGGACCAGTGGCTTTTAAAATTAGGTGGTCCTTGCCAAAATCAAGTGGTCTCGGACCAACGGACCACCGCTAATGTCGAGGCCTGCATGAAGCCCCGTTTTTAATAAACCCTGCAATACCTGTATATTTAATATATATTATTTAAGCTGAAATTTTGACTGCAAAAAAGTTTAACTATTATGTCCTTAGAAGTACTAATTAATAGATCATTCATTCTGTTTTAGATTGAGATAATTGTCATCATTTATAATTAACAAATGAGCCGATTTTCTATATTTTTTATGTCCCATTATTAAAGCTGCATGCCTCCAGATGAGCCAAAAATATTTCAAGAAAATCAAACTTAAAGAAAAATGGATTAAATTTTATGAAAATTAAGAAAATTTAAGATATGACAATTATAGATCTACTTGTGTTTAATATTATTACCTGATTTTACTGAGTTTATTGCAATATTTTCACTACACGAAAAAACCAGTAATTTAGGGGTATTTCTCTAACATATAATGTCACCTCTTCTTGAAAGTTTCTGTGAACTGTAAGCTCGGTTTGCAATTAGTAATTTAAATAACTTTCTCAGATCTTTGCATTTTAGATTTTTTATGAAAATATAGCATCAATCTGGAGGCATGCTGCTTTAAGTACCTGAGGGTCAATGTATCATAATATTAGCGATTAATCACGCAATAATCTCAAACATACCTGAAAACACAATAAAGAAGCATTAACCCTTTTTAACAAGCATTTAATTTTTCATAAAGCAAATTATTACTTACAAGCTACACATAAAAGATAAAATGCCCAGCCTAATGGCTTATCAGACTTAAATCCAACATTATCATGTAATGTAAATATGTTTCCATCACTTTAAGATTCGATTCACACATATCATCACACGCTTAAGTTAATTTATTGATCGATATTCAGTTATTACTATTCTACTCACAGCATGCTGTGGAATTTCAGGAGCTATTTAGCTGCCTCTCAGAGAAATCAATAAATTATGCAGAACATCAATAGATGTGCTTTGTTTCTATAGAAAGTTGTTTTTCAGGAAAAGGAACATCTGCCAGATAAATAATCTCAAGAAAAGTGGTGGTGCTTTTTAAGTACTTATGCATGTTAATTTCTATTGGAAAATAATTTGGTTTACTGACTTTGTGACTTTCACAGCAACACTATTCTCATGGAGTCACAAAATGTCAGCCTCCATGATTTTTTAAAATCAAATTGGGTTTCTTTTCACTTTTGATGCTGTTTGATAAATAATAATCCTTTAAATTGACTTTGGGTACAAAAATTTACATTCTTGTTCATTCAAATACAGGAAGTACATATTTCAGAACAGAAGTAAGATACAATATTACTTATCGTCATGTGTTTTCGCGATATTAATTTCATCACAAAATGTCAAATTACAAATTTCAGCTATTTAAGAGTTTCTGTTCTGTCGATTTAAGTTTTAACATATCAGTTTTGTTACTTAAAAGGCTTTAATTTGCTTTGTAAAACCTTGTTAAACCAATGGCGTGGAGTAAATTTTATTATAAGTTTTATTTGTTCAGCATACTATAGACTTTACATGTAGTGCAACCTTACTTGAATTTACTGACAGCTTACAAAGTTATACAGTTTTGCTAGTGCTACCTACATGTAAGTCCCAACTTATCAAAGAGACATCAAGATTGTTTTGAATGGGCAATGTTTTTTTCCAACACCAACCATGAACTACTTTTTTCTACACGGACACTGTCCAATTAGCAGTTGGTGGGAGTGGTAACTAGCAATGAAAGGAAAAAAATGGTCCACTTTACCTGATAAATATCTGTTTTTTTAAACAAATTCCCAAGATTTCATTTTCCAATAAAGAATAAAAACACATGATCCCACTTAATTTCTCTCTCAATTATAATCAAGTTTTAAATCCATCATCTTTATTCTTTAATAGTAACTGGTACATATGTAAACATTACCCTTCTAAATTTCCGATCTCAATTCTCTGCACCTCGTGACCTACAAATTGACTGGGGAACAGCTACACATATTTGATTTATCAATCTTTCTCATTTGAATTGTTCAGTGAAAGATAAATTTTACAGTCTATATATTGTCTCTAGATAGTATTTGCCTATCTCTTGAGATAATTCATTTCAGTTATCACACAATTGATTTTTTTTTAAATAATGTCTTAACCCATTACCCCATGAGCATTCTGTGAAAAATGGCTGTTTTCATTGAAATGTCTCCCGTTACAAGTTCAAGTTGCTATAAAACTGCTTCAATACTAATCAAACTTGGCACAAATGTTGACTGGACCATTGCCTTTCTAACAACATGCTCAGTCTTAAATTTCCTGTTACCATGGCAACTAGGGGACATCTCAAAATTGCCAAAAATCACTATTTTGCGTTGATTTTTTCCATCAAAATTGATTTCAAAGTGCTGCCACTTCTAAATGGATTGAGATAGAGTCAAAGGCTTTTCAGCATTGGTTACACGTAACTGTCGTTACCTTATGATTGACCTGGGGTCATTTTTAGCCTCTCACAAGTCCAAAATTTTCTTGGCATTGAGGGGACTCCGCCCCACTTCAAACCCCCCAAACAGAAGGGGGCACATCCCCCTTCTGGCAACCCCCTGATGTATCTTTTGGATGGGGGACGGTGCCGAAAAAGTGGTCAATTTTTTAAACAACATTTCTCAAACAAAAACAAGTGTTTGAAGGCCTAAATAAGGTAATTTTTCACCATTTGAGAAAGCAAAAAATGGGGGGGGTGGGGTGGAAAAGGCGTAGAAAGGCGTATATATCTGGTAATGGGTTAATGGTTAATATGTCCAGGGAAAAAATAGTTTACAATAAAAATTTAAAATAAATTGCTGGTAATTGTGTTTAGAGAGCCGCCATTGAATAAATTTTTGATTGAGATATGTAACAAAATATAATTATATTTTATTGATTTTTTGAAGAACTAACAGATGTTTTCTGATTTTAAATTGATTCAAACTAGCAACAGTGTTGCTGATAAATTTCCGTGTGTAAAAATAACAGTTAAAATTACATGTAGGCTTAATGCATTGACAGATGAAAAAAACAGTAAGTTAAATGGGTCAAACCATTCACGCTTAATTAAGCTTCTTGTTACAGTACCTATGATGCCGAAAGCTGTTTTCGATTAAGTTATAAGCTTGCTTGTTATATACAATACGCTCGTGCATGTCCACCCACTTAGCATTTATTTTGATTGTTTTCTAGGGACAGCTTGTTCCGATTCTCAGTCAAGGCTAAATTAGTCTGTAAGTGACTAACAGTTGATCATTTATTGATATTCATTGAGTCTTGTGGTAATTTGTTCCTCACTATTGATTTATAAATCATGTTGATGTGGATCACTAGTTGTAGTTGGTCACTTTGAGAGAATAGATATGAATAGATATGACCCAAACATGTTTAAATTTGAAATGCATTCATATTAATAAAATCATATAATACAATATAAAATTTATGATTCTTTTTTTTTAAAGCTCACCAGAACAGAAGGTTCAGGGTGAGCTTAGTTAGTATCAAAGGGAGATGCTCCGGTGTCTGTTGTCATGCGTTAACACAATCGTCTTCTTCTCTGAAGCTGGTGGGCAGATTTACTTCAAAATTGGTCTGTAGCATCATTGTCATGACAGTCACACTTGAATTTGCTCATGCCATTTCAATTGGCCCCTTTTAGGGGTCAACAGAGCTAAAAATAGAAAAACCTTTAAACATCTTTTACTATAGAACTAATTGATGGATGATCACCAATTTTTGTTTGTAGCATTCTTGGGTAGTCTTTTATCAAGTTTGCTCATATGAATTTGATTGGCCCTTTTTAGGGGTCTCTAGGGCTAAAAATAGAAATACCTTTAAACATCTTCTACAGAACTAATGGATGGATGATCACCAAACTTTGTCTGTTGCATCCTTAGGTAGTCTTTTATCAAGTTTGCTCATATTAATTTGATTCGCCCCATTTTAACTAAAGCTTAAATGCGCTGGTCATGTCATTTCTTCAAAGTATTCTTTAAACATTCTATGCTCAAATCAAATATTAGAAAATATTGACAATGGATAATTTCCAACACTGAAAAGCAGTTGTTTCTGGTGAGTGACTCAGGGCCATTATGGCCCTCTTGTCTTTTTTTACAATCACAGAACATTATGAGACCAGCTCAGATTTGAACAAAGTTATTTTTATACATGAAATTAAAAATGATAAAAGCGAAATTAAAATATATTAATTGAATGATATTCTACCAGAGGCTGAGAGCTGTCTGCAAACTCTCATCCCTTAAATCAGTTGATATATTTATTTAGAAAATTAGTCAGATAATTCAATTTACATTTGAAATTAATCTTTTTTATTTATCATAGATTTATTTCTGTATTTCAGGGAAAAAAAGGAAGTTTTAAAGTTAAATATGAGTGCAAATAAAACCCAATTAAGTCAACATAGAAAAAAGAAATATGTGTTTAAAGAACGAGAATCACCATTTCCTGTACCAATAGCATCTATAACAAGAGAGGATCCAAACCAGAACTACTGGTTCCATTACACTGGGCAAATACAAGGAGACTATGTGATCGTCACTCACTCTGGTGATATTTCATATCTTCAGAGAATGGTAAGTAGTGCTTATACAGGGAAGTCAAAGGCTTTGGCTTGCCCAGCTATAGACTACACTTGTATATTTAAAAGAAAATCAAATAGAATACAATTAAAGAATATAATTATAGAATTCTATACCTATCAATGAAATTTTCAGTGTCAGTTCTAGTCAGGCGCTGCCATTTTCAATGTAATTCAATGATAATAGGCAGAGTATTCTAATAGCGAACAATCACAACTTTTCAGATTAATAATAATCATCCAGCATTCCAAGTGAAAATGGAAGCAGTGCATAAAATACAGAATGACACCTTTAAAACGAAAAAATGAACTATTTTTTTAACTAACTTCCCTGTTCTAAGCTTTGCCAAATTTCATATTAGTAAACCAGTAGAAGGACTGGGTATTGCAAAGAACAATCATATTGCAATATTTATAGACATATTGCGATACATTGTGATATACATGTATTGTGAACTATCTAAAATGCTTGAAAATCAAGGGTAAGACCTACAGATCCTTGACTTAATAGATTATAGCGTAATATATCCAAATTAATTGTACACAAAAAGTTCTTCATATGAAAAAATTGGCGTGATTGTGCTAAAAGCAATATTGTAAATGAAGGATTATGAAACTGTATGCAAATGCCATTTGAAGTTAAACTTGACAAACTCGTTTTTACTTCAATATAATTTTATGTTTTTTATTAAAACTTCATAGTTACCTCCAATATATTGCGATATCTGAAAACATTTTGAATATATTGCCAGATAAATATTGTGATATGGAATATGTTGCATTATATTGCTTTAATGCTTACCCCTTACCAGTAGTAAATACACATACATGTATATTGTGTATCAAATTTCCTAATAGTGTTAATACTTGTTCTAGAAAATTTTAAGCAATTGCTTTAAAATAACATCATTCATTCACTACTATAAGACAAGTGTGCTAAAAGACAATATTTGATTTGGTAATTTTCATTGGAACCATATTTAATACATGTATTTAATAAGGACTTTTGTCCCTCATAAATAGTTATCACACATAAATTAAAGCCTTCTTGAGTTGAATTTAGTGTTGTTTTTTTCCCAATTGCGAAGCAAATATTCACAATTTTCAATTTGTGATAATGTTGTTGAAATAATATCAAATTTCTTTGAAAAGATCAATTTATAAAACATTGCTTTATAGTATAGCTTTAGAAATATAATTTTGTATGTACAGGGCTTTTTTGGGAAAGGTTTGACGTCTAGAGGAGCACCTTCAACACATAGAGATCTGCCTTATGTACATTTACCATCAACAACAGATGGTGAACCTGATGTTGTTCATGTCATGAGAAGAAGAATGTAAGTTTCATTGTTTTTTATAAGCATTCGAAACAGATTGTTAGCTGCTTCTGAACCCTCCATAAGAGAGTGTTAACTTTTTTGTTGAACTCCATTTTTGTGGGCCTTCATTTTTTGTTGGCTTTCTTGAGTGAGAGATAACTTCCTGTGTGGATCTCCATGATTATTTTGTAATTTCTTTATAGGTTAAGTTACATGGTCATCAATGGCTGATTTGTTAAGTTTTTCGTCAGTCTCCATTTCATTGAGTTGAGTTTCTTTTTTTCCATTTTTCTTTGTGGGTACCAGTATTGCCAAAAGTTTAAGTTCCATACTTCTCACTGCTTTAAATTTTAATTTGATATTTTAATTTATTCATCTGAGCAACCTGTTTATTTACAAAGTAAAAAGGCTGGTGGTTCTACCCAGATGTTTGCATATACCCAAAATAATTCATGGAGTGGCTCAATGAATACAATGTGAAATTTGCCAAATGACTATAACAAAGTTCATATTATGTAAATCTGTGACCAACAAAAATAAACATAATTACATAAACTTTTTAATTTTAAGATGAAACATCCTGTTAGTTTTACATGTTAATATTTTTTTCCCTATTTGTATTGTAACAGGTATTTGAAACACATGAAGTGGAAAAAGTCACAAGATATAAGACTGGGTAATCAGGGTGAAGGTGATGCAGATAATGTGATAGATGATGCATTGGAAGATGAGGAGTTTGACAGTGATGTAGACTACACACAGACAGGTAAAACTAACATACAAACTTTAGCATACTGTGTGTTTTAAACTAAAGAAGTAAACGCTTATTTGAAACACAAACGACTGTAAAATGTAATCTTTTTTTTTTTATATATTAAAAATACATTGTTATCAGGGCATTTGATTCTAAAACCACTTCAAGTGTATAAAGCTATTTATTATACTTAAAAATGAATTATTGAGAAATATAAATAAAAAATGAAATAAAATGCATATTTTCATTTTCAGTATTTTAATTGTAAATATTTATTTTTCACTGCAGTGAAACATATTTTCCATATTTTCATTGGTGCATTGCTAGACTACTTTCTTCTTTATTCAGCCAATATACAAAATTTAAGGGGAAGTAGGAATAGGTGGTGCAACTTCCAGATGCAATTAAAACAATGCGCTAAAATAGGCATTGATAGAAAAACATTTAAACAACATAAAAATCAGCATTTCGTCATGACAAATCATATTATAACATCCTTTGGCAACAAGCTAAATTATGGCATCAATATTTGCTGTACATATTTGATTAAATTAATCAAACAAAGTACATAAACCCTTTCACTGCCAAAGGGACGGCATATGCCATTCCTATTGTTTTCGGCGTATTTGCCATATGGACGGCTTTTGCCATTTCTATAATAATAGATAATAATTATAACGATAATAATTATAATGATAATAATAATAATAAATATGTATAGATAATTATACCACCAACAATAATTATTGTTATACTAGCAGATTTGGAAACATATTTAATTATTATAATACTAATAACAAATAATAATAATCATATTAATTAATAATATAGTAATTTCTTAGAAAACCTTCTGGCAAATTGGTGATCAATAAAACATTAACCCTCTGGCAGCGAAAGGGTAAATTTAACATGTTAATGAAATGTATATGTAATAAAAATATTTTCAATAGTTATATATTTTCATTGTAGGAAATGAGCATGATTGCCTCGATTCATGTATGCCACAGTCTAACCCAGGGTGTACTTTAAACACTAATTCTGTGATTGAAAATATGCCTTTAAACACCACTAATGCCACCAGTGTTGCTGAGCAACAGAGTTTAACCAATAGAAACACTTCAACTTGGTCATGGAATGAAGAATGTTCAAAACAGGAAGTCAAAGGTGAATCATGGGAAAATGAAACTGCCAATGAAAATGCAGGTGCTGATTCATGGGATAACATGGAGGCAGACGAAGACTTTTGGGCAACTGAAGAAAAAACAAGTGAAAACAACAAAAGCCAAGAAAACATAAGTGAAACGGTATTAAAAAATTATGATAATAGTGACATTCAAGTAACTGACAAGAAAAGAATACAGGATAATGATTTGTTTCACATTCCAAATAAGAAAATGAAATTTTCCAAGGATAGCGCCACACTTGGAAATGCTGATGTTATAACTAATACTTCAAAATGTAAGTTTGCTGAACCAGATTTGAACAATGGACAAAATAATAAACAACATACAGACAAGTGTAATAGTGAGATAAATGAACTGGGCACTACACAAGAAGATAAGGTGTTTGTTAAACATGATCAGGGCATAAAGGGAATTAAAGAAAGAACTAAATCTGAAGTAGACACAGAGGAAACAAAATGCAATGTTGAAATGGAAATAAGTAATGGTATTGAGAAACCAGACTGTTGTGATAGTGGTGATAAGTTAAATGATTCACATACTGACAATAGAGAAGTAGAAGCCATTCAACCAGAACCATTACCAGTACATCCCTATTGTAGAGATGATGATGATGATAATGGTGATGATAATGGGGACTTGGAAGATGATGAAAATGATAAGACTGCAGTCACCGAATATCTTGTCATAGATGACTCAGACGTTGATGACAGTACCTATGTTGTGCAAAGGAAGGAAAAATACACCTGGTTACCTGTCAAAAAGAAAGAAATATTTAATTTCAATGAACCATTGTTGTTAAGCCTTGAAGAGGTAGAAATAGGTTTGATTTCATCTTTTTGCAATATAGCAATTATTTTTGTCTGTACTGAGAGCTTTTCAAAGGATTGATGATAGATTGTGAGCTTTTATCAGATTATATTTACAAATATAACCTGAACTGAAAACAAATACTTATTAATGATAAATGATTTCCAAGTTTATTTGTATTTACTGTACATCTGCAAAATATATATATGTACTGTTTAGATGTAATTTCTGCCTCTCAAAAAGTGCTGTGAATTTTACACCATGCATATATAATATTATGCATACTAAAAGGATTTGAATAATGAAAAATTATGAAGTAACAAACACATTTTGTTAAGTTTTGAAAAAAATCACAGATAGTGAGACCAGTGTTGCAGAAGGTGTTGGCAAGTTTATATTGATGATAATTTTGAGAGAGATCTATTATACCACTATCAGTTAAAGAGTTTTAGAGATTTGTTTTATGAAAGAAGTCTTGAGAAATGTAAATATACACTAAGTGATTTATTCAGTAATATGGTTTACTCACTGCAATGGGTCCATGGCTGTGTGGGTAAGGTTGTTGACTTAAAACCACTCTCCCTTTAGCGCTGTGGGTTTGAATTATGTATTTCATGTGAGGTAGCTATCTAGCTAACTTATGGAATGTTGGTGATTCTACTCAGGTGCCCATTTGTGCCTTACGTCTTTCTCTACCAGTAAAGCTGGAAAGTCGCCATATGACCTATACTGTTTTGATGCGACAAAAAAAACTTACTGCAATACCTAAAGACTAATTATATTTAGTTGATACACTTTGATAAGCGTTTAATTTTCTAGAAAATTCACATTTATTTTGAGAATTGGTTGTAGATCCCTTTCATAAGACCAATAGTTATCTGCATGACCCTTGTTTTAAAACCAAACTGACAGAAAAGTCATTTGTCCTAATCATGTGACCTTATGTGTTTTAACTTTATTTCAGGCCTATTTTCTAACATATGGACTCGGCTGTCTTACTGTTCAAGATGAGAATCGTACCAACCTTTCATTAACTGATCTCTGGTGTAGATTTTGTCACAAGAAGCAGTTTCTTCCACGTTATGTAGCATATCATTACTTCAGGAGTAAAGGATGGGTGCCGAAACCTTCTATCTTGTTTGGTACAGACTTTCGTAAGTATTTATATATATTTGATTGGATTGATCTAGAGTAAAAATTATATTTTTCTATATGACTATTATGCCCGATTGCTTATCATACTTGTTAACTGGCTAGTTGTCAAAAGGTTAATGAATTATACCCATACAATTGATATAAGATGATTTGGTATAATGTTCTCTCTGTATTTTGACATGTGGCATTAAGGTAATGCTTCCCCCCAAAAAATTTCTAACATGGGCATATATTGTAATAAATCAATCTTTTTCAGAAAGTTATTTTTCACAATCTTCAGTATTCAATAATTTTTTAGCTCACCTGTCACAAAGTGACAGGGTGAGCTTTTGTGATCGCTTTTCGTCCGGCGTCCGTCCGTCCGACGTCCGTCCGTCCGGCGTCCGTAAACTTTTACTTTAAATGACATCTCCTCATAAACCACTAGGCCAATTTCATCCAAACTTCACAGGAATGTTCCTTTGGTGGTCACCTTTAAAAATTGTTCAAAGAATTTAATTCCATGCAGAACTCTGGTTGCCATGGCAACCGAAAGAAAAAACTTTAAATATCTTCTTTTAAAAAACCCTAAGAGCTAGAGCTTAGATATTTGGCATGAAACATCTTCTAGTGAGTGTCTACCAAGTTTGTTCAAATAAAAGCCCTGGGGTCAAAATTGGCCCCGCCCCAGGGGGTCATTGATTTTCCCTATATGCATATAGTAAAAACTTAAAAAATCTTCTTTTAAAGAACCCAAAGAGCTAGAGCTAAGATATTTAGCATGAAATATGTTCTTATGAGTGTCTACCAAGTTTGTTCAAATAAAAGCCCTGGGGTCAAAATTGGCCCCGCCCCAGGGGGTCATTGATTTTCCCTATATGCATATAGTAAAAACTTAAAAAATCTTCTTTTAAAGAACTCAAAGAGCTAGAGCTAAGATATTTGGCATCAAACATGTTATAATAGGTGTCTACCAAGTTTGTTCAAATAAAAGCCCTGGGGTCAAAATTGGCCCCGCCCTGGGGGTCATTGATTTTCCTTATATGTGTATAGCAAAAACTTAAAAAATCTTCTTTGAAGAAACCCAAATAGCTAGAGTTAAGATATTAAGCATGAAGCATCTTCTAGTGAGTGTCTTCAAAGTTTGTTCAAATAAAAGACCTGGGGTCAAAATTGGCCCCGCCCCGGGGGTCATTGATTTTCCTTATATGTGTATAGCAAATACTTAAAATCTTCTTTGAAAAAACCCAAAAAAACTAGAGTTTAGATATTAAGCATGAAACATCTTCTAGTAAGTGTCTACAAAGTTTGTTCAAATAAAAGCCCTGGGGTCAAAACTGGCCCCGCTCCAGGGGTGTCATTGTTTTTAACTATATGTGTATAGTAAACACTTAAAAAAATCTTCTTTAAAAAAGCCCAATGAGCTAGAGCTTAGATGTTTAAGATGAAACATCTTCTTATGGGTGTCTTCCAAGTTTGTTCAAATAAAAGCCCTGGGGTCAAAATTAGCCCTGCCCCAGGGGGTCATTGATTTTCCTTATATGCATATAGTAAAAACTTAAAAAATCTTCTTTTAAAGAGCTAGAGCTAAGATTTTTAGCATCAAACATGTTCTAATAGGTGTTTACCAAGTTTGTTCAAATAAAAGCCCTGGGGTCAAAATTGGCCCCTCCCCGGGGGTCATTGATTTTCCTTATATGTGTATAGCAAAAACTTAAAAAAAAATTCTTTGAAAAAAACCAAATAGCTAGAGTTTAGATATTAAGCATGAAACATCTTCTAGCAAGTGTCTTCAAAGTTTGTTCAAATAAAAGCCCTGGGGTCAAAACTGGCCCCGTCCCAGGGGTGTCATGTTTTTAACTAGATGTGTATTATAAGTAAAAACTTAAAATATCTTCTTTTAAAAAGCCCAATGAGCCTGAGCTTAGATGTTTAGCATGAAACATCTTCTTAATTGGCTATATACAGGTGAGCGACCTCAGGGCCATCATGGCCCTCTTGTTACTGTTTACAACTGGAATTAAGTACATAGCAATAAAGGATGAGTGATTGTAAATAATCCTATGCCCTAGATTTTGAAGAAAAAAAGTTCTGGAATAACCAGGTTTGTACGCTATTGGCTGATGTTAGAATTTTTTGGCGGGAAAGCATTACAGTTTGACTACCATTAAGTAGCATGCCTGCAGATTTGTTTTAATTTTCAATTTTTTGTGTAAACTTTAAAACAGTCCTAGTGACTTAATTTGTTGACAAGTGTCTGAATTATATGATTTAACATAGCCTTAGGCAATAAAAATCCATGAAAATAACCAAAATAATGTGAAAATATGCAAAAATTCTCTTTAACTGTAAATGCATGAGCAGAATTTTGCTGATAAAAGTAGAAATGTATGGCCTCTTTTACGTTCAAAATTTCACCTGCGTAGTGAATATTTATACATTTCTTATACTTAAAACCTGACAAGAGTAAAACTCAAAACTTACAGACTGCCTTGTTGCTTTAAAATCATCAACATTGGAAATTATTAACACAAATTTTATAATTATTTCAGTTGTGTATAAAGTTGGTCCTGAATTTTACCATGCCTCGTATTCTGTGATAGTGAAGACTGTATATGACGGTAAGCTTATTATTATTTCATTGGTGTTCATGTCATGTTAAGGCTTTAACGCCAGAATTATGCGTTTGATCACTTCTGGGGGGGGGGGGGGGGGGGGGTGGAATTTGGCAGGGGTCACTGTTATGATTCTTCATATGATACCAGTGAAGGTTAGCTTCAGGAAGCAGTTTGAAAAGTTTTGAAAAAAAAAAACCCTGGTTACATACAAAATTTAGAGAGGCGAAGAATAACTAATACTGTGGTTTCTTAATTATGTGACAAAGGACATTTTGTTGGATTACTGTCCTGTTACAATTTCTGACAGGATACTTATTTAGCCCTATGTTCTTTTGTGTTTTGATAATTCTTTCAGTTACAGTAATGGCTGGGTATTTTGCATGGCAGTAAAATTCCACTTTGTTTACATTTTGCTACACATTATATCACACTCAGTGCTACTCCTTCTTCTTATTATAAACATTGAATATGCTTTAAATTCATTATTCAATCATTACTTAAAGGCACATTTTGCCTAACAAAACAAATAAGTTTTTCCTTCTTTAAAAAGAGAAAACATGAGTTTTGTTGTTTAAATGATGGTTTATGAGCATGATAAATGTTTTTTTGCATGAAGAAAGTAGCACTGAATGTGACATAATTTGTCATAAAAGTAGCAAAATTGTAAACAAAGCAGTATTTTCACTTCCATAAATACTGAATCACTTAATATGTACTATATTCCAAAAGGCGAAATGGGCAGAAGATGGTTTTGGTCATAAGCCAATGAGTAATCTTTGACAATTGATAACAGGACATTAAAAATTATAAGTGTTTTAGAAATAAAAATAAATGCTTTTCTGAGGCATAATGGGCCTTTAACAGACGTTTGCAGCTTATATAGAAGAATAAAGTCATTAATTAGTGTGGTATAATGTGTCTTCAACACTTTTAGATAGTCGGGGTATGAAATAGATATCACGATACAATTAACATACATGTATAATTGATTTATAAACAGTTGTTTATATATGATTTCTATTTTGTTTATTGGTATAGGTACATTTGAAGAAGTTGAAGATTACAACAATGGTAGGGTTACTTGGACCAGTTTCTTTGGTATTAACAGGGTCACTGAGCAAGTTGCCAAGGTAACACATTTTTAGTTTGACTATACGAAGTATATCGAGAGCTGTCCTACTCGCCTAGGTGTCCGCGTCCAGATTTCAGATTAAAGTTTTGGTGCAGTAAAGTATTTTTATATAATTTTGTCATTTCTTAAGGTATCATTTTCAAACTTCAAATATATGTTCCTTAGCATCAACCACATCTTATGTGACAAGGTTCATAACTCTAGCACCAATATTTTCAGATTTATCTCCCCTTGAACTTAGAATTTTCCTTAAATTTTTTTTTTACTGTTACTTCTTTATTTCTTAAGGGATCAACCTCATACTTCGAATATATGAACCTAATCATCATCCCCATCCTATGTGACAAGGTTCATAACTCTAGCACCAATATTGCAAGACTTATCTCCCCTTGAACTTAGAATTTTCCTTAAAAATTTATTATTTTTTACTGTAACTTATTTATTTATAAAGGGATTAAATTCATACTTCAAATATATGTACCTTATCATCATCCACATCTTTTGTGACAAGGTTCATAACTCAAGCACCAATATTGCAAGACTTATCTCCCCTTGAACTTAGAATTTTCCTTAAAAATATTATTTTTTACTGTAACTTATTTATTTATAAAGGGATTAAATTCATACTTCAAATATATGTACCTTATCATCATCCACATCTTTTGTGACAAGGTTCATAACTCTAGCACCAATATTGCAAGACTTATCTGCCCATAAACTTAGATTATTTTACTAGAAAAATGTTATTTTTTACTACAACTTTTTTAGTTTTAAAGGTATCTACCTCAAACTTCAAATACTTATTCCTTATCATCAATTACATTTTATGTGACAATGTTCATAACTCAGCAATATTTACAGATTTATCTCTCTTTGAACTTAGGATTTTCTTTCAGAAATATTATAACTTCTTTACTTTTTAAGGTATCTACTTCAAACTTCAAATATATATTTCTTATTATTACACACATGTTGTGTGACAAGGTTCATAACTCTAGCGTGACTATTTCTAGAATTGTTCCCCTTGATCTTGGAATTAATGTTAACAAATGTTACTTTTTTACTATAACTTTATACATAATTATACATAATTGATTTTTCTTCATAGTTTTATCCTCCTTACTGCGTCCAGTATTTTATTAGTCGAGCTTCGCTGTCTCCTGTGACAGCTCTTGTTATCTTTAGTGTTGTCTTAACAGTTTTATTTACTGTTCTGATTTACAAATGATCTGGATAATAATTCTTAAGTTCAGTTTTGCTTCAGAGCAATCTTTTCTGTGTTTTATTTTGTTATTTATATATTTCTTTTTTATTTGGTTGGGTTTTAAGTGACACTGACATAGTTAAGGTCATATGGCAACTTTTCAGCTTTACTGATGGGGGTAGACTTTTGGTACCCCTTTGTACATAATTTCAGGCACAAAAAGGCACCTGAGTAGAACCACCATCATTCAGTTAGCTAGCTTGATAGCTTTCTTACATAAAAAATCCAAAGTTCATGTCGTGCTTTGTGTTGACAGCTGTAAGAGGCTATTAGTTTTAAGTCAGTGACTAATACCAGTCAGTCATGGATGGCCCTCATGTGAGTGACTGTAACCGCTCAGTCATGGGGGACTGTCATGTTATTTTTCTTCAGGAAATAAAAGTTGAGCTTTTCCTCAGAGTTTTTTTATTTCTCTAGTAGGTAACTTTAGTTGAGTATTATGCCTGTTTCCTTTTTAGCTCACCTGTCACAAAGTGACAGGGTGAGCTTTTGTGATCGCTTTTCGTCCGGCGTCCGGCGTCCGTCTGTCCGTAAACTTTTACTTTAAATGACATCTCCTCATAAACCACTAAGCCAATTTCATCCAAACTTCACAGGAATGTTCCTTTGGTGGTCACCTTTAAAAATTGTTCAAAGAATTTAATTCCATGCAGAACTCTGGTTGCCATGGCAACCGAAAGAAAAAACTTTAAATATCTTCTTTTAAAAAACCCTAAGAGCTAGAGCTTAGATATTTGGCATGAAACATCTTCTAGTGAGTGTCTACCAAGTTTGTTCAAATAAAAGCCCTGGGGTCAAAATTGGCCCCGCCCCAGGGGGCCATTGATTTTCCCTATATGCATATAGAAAAAACTTAAAAATTCTTCTTTTAACTCATTCGACCCGTACGCCGAGTATAGTCGTCGTCTTTATCTGTTAGCGTGTACCGCGCGCCGAGTATAGTCGTCGTATAAAATTTATCGGCTATCCCGCATGACGAGAGTAGTCGTCGCGTATTGAACTACTACTGTATACCGCGTGACGAGTTATGTCGGCGCATTTCATTGGTTGTTTCGACGGGTTATATTTAGATTTGAGGTATTTTGACCAATCAGAAAACGCGTTATATGTATAGTATAAAGGTTTACCTATACGAAAGTGAAAATTTTATCGAAATATCTCTATCTGAAAAAAAGTTATATTGCGTTAAATAAATGGAAAATCGGAAGAATTTATTTGACATTATGTTTGATACGGACACGGAAAATGGCGCAAATTCAGATTGTGACATTAGTCTCGATAGTGAAAGTGAGATAGAATCAATCTGATAGATCGAGTGACAGTCAAAGTGAAAATAATAGTGCGTACGAAAATGTGAAATATTCTCAGTGGAAGACAAACGATCGGTCAGAATTGCCTAAGAGACATTCGCAGGCCCAAATCCAGATCTTGATTCGGATTCAAATGAATTTGATTTCTTTGAACTGTTCTTTTCTGTGTTTCTGATTGAGCTACTTTGTAGACAGTAATTTTGATTTTGTTTACAAAAATATTTAGTCTAACTGATGACCTTTTTTTCATTCCTTTTTATCAAGAAAAGTAACATAATTGAAAGCGCTAGAAAATAAGAGTAACTGTTCTAATGTAAGAAATACAAAAATGTAAATACCTTACAGTTTTTGTATTTATTTTGTAATTATTTTTAAATTATTATATATATAATTTTTATAATTATTAGATCTACTGGTCGGAGACCATCAACCGGACACTTTTGGAACTTTTTTCTGTACAAATTTCATAATTTTTATGCCCCCACAATGTGGGAGCATATAGTGTTGCACTTGTCCGTCCGTCCGTCCGTCCGTCCGTCAGTCCGTCAATACGTCAGTCCGTCCGTCCGTACGTCCCGAAATCTTGTGAACGCAACTCCTCTAAAACCGGATGGCAGATTTTGCTTAAACTTACAGGGATGAACAACCTTAATGTGTAGATGGTAGTAAAGGAAGGAATTTTCGCTGTGACCAAATTTAACAGAATTATGGCCCTTTGTTGATTTTTTTCCTAGATACTATGTAGAAATTTTGTGAACGCAACTCCTCTTAAACCGGATGGCAGATTTTGCTTAAACTTACAGGGATGAACAACCTTAATGTGTAGATGGTAGTAAAGGAAGGAATTTTTGCTGCGACCAAATTTAACAGAATTATGGCCCTTTGTTGATTTTTTCACTATATACTATGTAGAAATTTTGTGAACGCAACTCCTCTTAAACCGGATGGCAGATTTTGCTTAAACTTACAGGGATGAACAACCTTAAGGTGTAGATGGTAGTAAAGGAAGGAATTTTCGCTGCGACCAAATTTTACAGAATTATGGCCCTTTGTTGATTTTTTCACTATATACTATGTAGAAATTTTGTGAACGCAACTCCTCTTAAACCGGATGGCAGATTTTGCTTAAACTTCCAGGGATTAACAACCTTAATGTGTAGATTGTAGTAATGGAAGGAATTTTTGCTGCGACCAAATTTAACAGAATTATGGCCCTTTGTTGATTTTTAGTTTTCAACTTGTGGCACATGTAGTCCAAAAAATATTTGACCTAGAGTCATAAGATTGACAGAACTGTGGCGTGTGGGGGCATCCGTGTCCTATGGACACATTTCTAGTTAACCTAGAGACCACAAAATTTGACACAGTTCAGCTAGGTTCTTCTCCTAGCTAACAAACTAGTTTGTTTATTTCTGATTGTATTGACACTTATATCTGAGGCTCGACAAGGAGGGTATCAAAATAACCTAAATTGTCTACATTACAGTACCATGTGGCCGGACAGATATGTACATGATGTGATTTAATTCAGATAAAAGTTTGGGTGTTTTGATTTTATATTTGTAACATGATATACAATATGTCAGCAACAAATTCTGAAGTTTTGGATATTCTATTATTCACTCTGCAAATGATTATAGCTGGTATATGAGGTCAGGCATTGCTTTTTTGACCCCCGAATTTCAACGTCAACATTCTTGAAATAGACATTAAAATATTACCATTTACGGAGGTTGAAATAAACTTATTTACTTAATTTTAAAAGAAACATGCACTTATTGTTGATAAAAAAGTGACTGACAAGTTCACCGAACAAAGAAAATACTAAATTAAGCATTTTCGGGGCCGTCCGGGTTTGGTGGTTGTCCGGTTTTGGTGGTCCCCAACCAGTATATATAATTTTGAAATTATCTAAAATTAATCCACACATATAACAATTTTCATTCATATTTCATATATGGATTATTTTTTCCGGCTAATATTTTCTTACTTTTAGACACAGTAGTAAAGATAAATTATTTATTGTTTTCTTTGAAATTTTCTTTAAAAAAACAACAGGAAAATAAAAGTTTTTTTTTAATGAATATGAATTTCTGATGTATATACACCTCTGCACCATAAATGTTACATTTCTTGTCTGTTTTTATGAGCTCCATAACATAATACTTATATTTGCTCATTAGTCATTACTATACTTATTTATTTGCATAATGCTTCCAAAGTATTCATTTCTAATTTGTAAATTAGCAGTAAATTTCTCAATATATTTTTTTAAATTATTATATTATGGAGAAGAATGTTTTAATAGAAATTTATACAATAAATAAAGTTCTTTTATTACAAATAAACAGATTTTATGTTGAAAATCTTCTTTATTTTATTGATAATAAGTCAGTCCAACATGTTGCCATAGTGATGGAAGTTACACCAGTGATTAGGTAATTTTATTGCCAACACTTGTGTGTCATTTCAGCTTGATTGGATTAAAAATGAGATTGCCAGAGGCAAATTACATAATGCACCCCCTATTATATTATGACCTGTCAATAAAACAGTGCAATATCCCTCAGGGAGACAGTTTAGATAAAATCAATAAGGTACCTAGGAGTTGGCTTATCAGTTATCAGTAGGGTTTAAGTGGTAGACAGTGTACAGGGTTGAATGAGTTAAAGAACCCAAAGAGCTAGAGCTAAGATATTCAGCATGAAACATCTTCTAATGAGTGTGTACCAAGTTTGTTCAAATAAAAGCCCTGGGGTCAAAATTGGCCCCGCCCCAGGGGGTCATTGATTTTCCCTATATGCATATAGTAAAAACTTACAAAATCTTCTTTGAAAGAACTCAAAGAGCTAGAGCTAAGATATTCAGCATGAAACATCTTCTAATGGGTGTCTACCAAGTTTGTTCAAATAAAAGCCCTGGGGTCAAAATTGGCCCCGCCCCGGGGGTCATTGATTTTCCTTATATGTGTATAGCAAAAACTTAAATAATCTTCTTTGAAAAAACCCAAATAGCTAGAGTTTAGATATTAAGCATGAAACATCTTCTAGTGAGTGTCTACAAAGTTTGTTCAAATAAAAGCCCTGGGGTCAAAATTGGCCCCGCCCCGGGGGGTCTTGATTTTCCCTATATGCATATAGTAAAAACTTAAAAAATCTTCTTTGAAAAAACCTAAATAGCTAGAGTTTAGATATTCAGCATGAAACATCTTCTAGTGAGTGTCTACCAAGTTTGTTCAAATAAAATCCCTGGGGTCAAAATTGGCCCCGCCCCAGGGGATCATTTATTTTCCCTATATGCATATAGTAAAAACTTACAAAATCTTCTTTGAAAGAACTCAAAGAGCTAGAGCTAAGATATTCAGCATGAAACATCTTCTAATGGGTGTCTACCAAGTTTGTTCAAATAAAAGCCCTGGGGTCAAAATTGGCCCCGCCCCGGGGGTCATTGATTTTCCTTATATGTGTATAGCAAAAACTTAAATAATCTTCTTTGAAAAAACCCAAATAGCTAGAGTTTAGATATTAAGCATGAAACATCTTCTAGTGAGTGTCTACAAAGTTTGTTCAAATAAAAGCCCTGGGGTCAAAATTGGCCCCGCCCCGGGGGGTCTTGATTTTCCCTATATGCATATAGTAAAAACTTAAAAAATCTTCTTTGAAAAAACCTAAATAGCTAGAGTTTAGATATTAAGCATGAAACATCTTCTAGTAAACGTCTACAAAGTTTGTTCAAATAAAAGCCCTGGGGTCAAAACTGGCCCCGCCCCAGGGGTGTCATTGTTTTTAACTATATGTGTGTAGTTAAACCTTAAAAATCTTCTTTTAAAAAACCCAATGAGCTAGAGTTAGATGTTTAGCATGAAATATCTTCTTATGGATTTCTACAAAGTTTGTTCAAATAAAAGCCCTTGGGTGAAAATTGGCCCTGCTGGGGGGGGGGGGTGGAGGAAGCAGGGAGGAGGACGGGGGCTGGTGAGATCATTGTTTTCATTACATGTGTGTAGTAAAAACTTAACATTGTGAAACATCTTCTCATGATTGTCTTCCAAGTTTGTTCAAATAAAAGCCCTGGGGTTTCAAACTGGCCCGCTCCGGGGGCCTATATACAGGTGAGCGACCTCAGGGCCATCATGGCCCTCTTGTTTAATTTTCAAGCAAATATAAGGTCAACTTTAACAAAGAAAGTTTTCTTATTTTTTTTATTGAAACATTGATCAGCCTTGATAAAGGAAAATATACAACATGATAGTGTGATACAGTACTGATATTATAATGATTTTTACTATCTTTACTATTTCAGACTCTTGTTTATTGTTATGTTATTATGCCAAAAGACTTGAGTGAGGAACAAAAGAAATCTCCAGATTGTATAGCAAGATTTAAAGTCAGGGTATGTGTTGATTTATACTTAATGTATGTAGGTTAGAAATTATGACTCAGTATAATTTGTTTTCTAAGTGATATCTTACATTTGTAACCTTTTTTCCTTCAGTTTTCAATGATTTTACTTAAAGGAACTCCACTGAGGTTCATAAGCCTAAAAAATAAAATTTTAATTTCTCACACATCAACTAAAGCATCTAAATTAAAAATATATACAAAAAGATAATTAAGAAATTTACCCAGAAATACACTGAAAATCGTATGTTTGTGTTATGCTTAGTCCGATTTGAGTGAAAAGCGTTGCAATGCTTTTCAATTTTCGGTCATTTTTTACAATAAGAACAATTATTCTGGAAAAACAAAGCAAGTTAATGATCTGAAATTTTGCATGCAAATTGTTGGTAAAGACCTACATTATAATATATTATATCCATATTATGGAGTAATAATCTCACAAAGTTATTTCCAGTCCCGTCATGTCAAAAGACCTTGGTGGGATCTCTTTAAAGGCTTTAAAGCTATATCACGACCAATTCCCCAAAAGGATGTAACCTAGAAAGTCTCTGTTATTTAAAACACACAAGAATTGTATGTTAACAGAATAAAATGTTCCAGTAGATATATATAGCTTTATACACTTTCAAGGAGAAAACTTGGTTTTAGTTAAATCAACCATGGTGAATGCATTTTACAAAAGCCTTAAAGGCACATTATGCTTCAGAAATCCATAGTTTTATAATTCTTTAGAAAAACATGTTTTTGATAATGTTTTAATAATGGATTAAGAGCATGTTAGATATTCAGCAACGAAAGAAAAATGTGCTGAAGTTGAAAACCATAAAGTAATTTGTCTTAAAGGTGGCAAAATGTAAACAAGTTAGTATTTTGATTTCCATACAATATACTTATTCCTTGAATACTAGTACACCATTTGCAAACATAGTAAAATTAGCAAAAGATAATATATGTATATGACAAATGCGTATTCTTTTTGGTAACTGTGACAGGATAAACAAGATAGAAAGTTTTTATGAAATAGAATTTATAGCATTTTATACGACAAAATGGGTCTTTAAAGTTTGTATATGAACTGAACATACATTAGGACATTTTGAGATATTCAATAATTTATGTTATAGATAAATTTGTTTTGTGTTTTGCAGATTCATGCAAATTGATATATTATAAAGAACTTTTTATTAAATTTTTTTAGTTTAAAACAGTCTTACTTAGCGGTGACATTTATTTGTATTACCCTTGAAACTCTTGAACCCTCATTATGTTTTTTATGACATTATTGATATAGAGTTAGTTGATACATAGATATTTTTTTGCATTATTTATACAAAGATTTGATGCATTATTTATTTAAAGGCCCATAATGCTCTAGAAATGATTTTTATTTTACTTCTCAAAAACTTATTATGTTTGATGTCTTGTTATAAATTTCAAAAAGTTACTTATTGGCAAATTACTTGAAACATCTTTTGCTTCTGATGAGTTTTGGCATAAATACAATTATAGTCAGTTAGAATTTTGTACGGATTTCAAAATACTACTTTGTTTATATTTTACTTCTGTTATTTAACATTCAATGCCTTTTTATACGCCCGTTTGAAAAACGGGACGTATTATGGGAACGCCCCTGAGCGGGCGGCGGTCGGCGGGCGGGCGGGCGGGGGCGTCCAATTTTGTCCGGAGCATATCTCCTACATGTATGGAGGGATTTTAATGAAACTTCATATAAATGTTCACCACTATGAGGAGCAGTGTCGCGCACATGAACCAGGTCTCTAGGTCAAAGGTCAAGGTCACACGTAGAGCTCATTGAAAAATGCTTGTCCGGAGCAAAACTTCCACATGTATAGAGGGATTTCAATATTACTTGGCACAAATGTTCACCATTGTGAGGCGGAGTGTCGCGTGCAAGATTCAGGTCCTTGCGGCCAAGGTCAAGGTCACACATAGAGGTCAAAGTTCAGATAAAAATATGAAGATGTGTATATGGACCATTTAGTCATCATTTATTGAGGGATTGTAACACAAATGGTCATTATCAAGACTATGGCTGTGATACATATAATTTAGGTCAATATATACAAGGTCAAGGTCACTAAAGATGATGAAATATCCAGATTTTGTAAATAGAATTTAATCAAAGGGAGACAACAAAGTTATTACTTTGTTCATAATTGACTTACACAATTACTCCCCTTGATCTATTTTCACTTTCAATTCTTAAAAATAGAATTTAATCAAAGGGCATGAAATAATCCTCTTTCTGGACTTGAGTATGTTCTAAAGAATGTAACATTTATTTACACATGTTTCATTCATTGGTCAAGATTCTTAACTGTGATAACTATGGTGTTCTGTAGACTTGGTATTTGTTCATAAAGATCATACAGTAATTACCTTATCAAATGTAAATACTTTCTCATAGAAATTTAATTATATTTTAATTTTCAAGTAAATATCAGTTCAGCTCATTCAAAGATTAAGAATTGTAATGAAATGTATTTCCCTAGAATAAAATCTTAAATCAGAATTTTTTTTAGTTATTAAATTACATGTACTTTTATACGCCCGTTTAAAAAAAAAGATAAAAATATGAAGATGTGTATAGGGACGATTTAATCATCATTTATTGAGGGATTGTAACAACAAATGGTCATTATAATGACTACGGATGTGACACATGTACTTTAGGTCAATATATGCAAGGTCAAGGTCACTAAAGATGGTGAAATATCCAGATTTTGTCTGGAGCATATCTCCTACATGTATGGAAAGAATTTTTATAATACTTTATGGAAATGTTCACCACCATGATATGTATTGCTCCATGCATGATCCAGGTCTCCAGGTCAAAGGTCAAGGTCATACTTAGAGCTCATTGAAAAACGCTTGTCCGGAGCAAAAACTTCTACATTCATAGGGGGTTTTCAATATAACTTGGCACAAATGTTCACCATTGTGAGGCTGAGTGTTGCATGCAAAATTCAGATCCCTGCGACCAAAGTCAAGGTTACACATAGAGGTCAAAGTTCAGATAAAAATTTGAAGATGGTTATAGGGACCATTTAGTCATCATTTATTGATGGATTGTAGCACAAATGGTAACTATCATGACTACAGGTGTTACACATTTAATTTAGGTTAATATTTGCAAGGTCAAGGTCACTGGAGATGATTAAATATCCAGATGTTGTCCAGAGCATATTTTCTACATGCATGGAGGAATTTTAATGTTACTTTTATAGAATTGTTCACCACCATGAGACGTAGTGCCCTGCACATAAACCAAGTCTCTAGGTCAAAGGTGAAGGTCACAGTTAGAGCTCATAGAAAAACACTTGTCTGGAGCAAAACTTCTACATGCATAGAGGGATTTCAATATAATTTGGCACAAATGTTCATCATTGTGAGGCTGAGTGCCGTGCATAAAATTCAGGTCCCTGCGACCAAGGTCAAGGTCACACATTCTGTGCATATCTTCCCTATTGAATTGTTTTAAGGTTCATTTAACAACACAGTGCCAAGAATAAAAACTTGCTTGCTAGATAACACTTATCCATAATGCCCCCATCTCCATCTAAAGCTTTTTCGTAAACGGGCGTATTTTGTGACTATGGCACCCTTGTTCTCAGGTGGTAAGCATCAAACATGCTCTAAAACAATTGTTTAAATGTTTAAAAAAACAACATAATATTAATGTTGACCTTTCTAAAGAAGGAATTAAGCATAATGTGCCTTTTAAATATAAAAAGTGATGATTTTTTGCTATATTTCAGTTACAGACAGTACAAAGGTGGATCTCCTCTCAAGAAAGGGACAAGGAAAGAGTTATAGATGATCTACCAGACAGCTAGTGTGATTTGATTGTTTAAGTCTTAATAAATTTTTAAACATTTAATCTGACTTCATTTTTAGTTAGACTATACAAAGTATATGCAGAGCTGTCCTACTCGCTCCGGCATCCGCGTCCAGATTTCAGATTAAAGTTTTGGTGCAGTAAAATATTTTTCTTAAGGTATCAACTTCAAACTTCAAATATATTTTCCTTATCAACAACCACATCTTATGTGACAAGGTTCATAACTCTAGCACCAATATTTATTCAGATTTATCTCCCCTTGAATTTAGAATTTTCCTTAAAAATATTATTTTTTACTGTTACATCTTTATTTCTTAAGGGATCAACTTAATACTTCTTATATATGCACCTTATCATTAACCACATCTTATGTGACAAGGATTTATAACTCTAGTACCAATATATCAAGAATTATCTCCCCGTTAACTTTGATTTTTTTACCTGAAAAATTTTATTTTTGACAAGAACTTCTTTAGTTTTAAAGGTATCTACCTCAAACTTCAAATACTTATATCTTATCATCAACCAGATCTTATCTGACAAGGTTCTTGATCTTGAAGCAATTTTTTTAGATTTATCTCCCTTTGAACTTAGAAATTTCTTTAAGAAATATAATAACTTCTTTACTTTTTAAGGTATCTGCTTCAAACTTCAAATATATATTTCTTATCATTACACACATGTTGTGTTAAAAGGTCCATAACTCTAGTGTGACTATTTCCATAATCCCCCCCCCCCCTTGAACCTGGAATTTATGTTAACAGCAATAACTTTTTGTCATTAGAAGAAAAGAAATATATTTATATCATAATTAATTTTTCTTTCATAGTTTTGTCTTCCTTACTGCATCCAGTATTTAATTAGTCGAGCTTCGCTGTCTCCTGTGACAGCTCTTGTTGTTTTCCATTTGATTCAATGCACAGCTCAGGCACTACATAGATTTGTGTTTGAAACAAAACTGATTCCTCAGGAAATTGGATTGAAACAAAGTAATTGTCCCGTGTAGAGTCTTTAAATGTAATTTACCTTTTTTAAGATGGACTATTCAAATAATAATGGGACTATCCTACTCACCTGTGCATCAGGGTCTGTGTTTGCATAACATTGTGGCACAAGTTTTACTGCAACTTTTTGTATGTCATATCTTAACTCTAAATATATTTGCTTGTAAAGATACACTCATATGCGAAAATAATAGTCATAATCCAAGACCTGTAACTCTAGCATTGATTTAAACAAAATTGTGGCCCTGTGTGAACTTACAAAATATTTTGTTTTGTATGCAACACCAGTCTTCAGAACTATTGAAGGCAACCACTGAAAGTTCGTACAAATCTTCACGATGGTAATAGTCACATTCCAAAGCCAATCAAATTAAATTACCCTTTATGAACATACAAAATTTTATATCATATCCACAACTCATAACTATGTCATCATTTATTGGAATATAATCTTCATAATAGCTCATTCCTGCATTATCAACGCTCTTTTATACTATGCATATTAATTTAAATCATTTAACATTGGAAAGAAACTTTTATTGTGAATATCATGAGATAGAACTGTCCAGTAGTAGAGGATTAATTTGTAAGCTACTGGGTGGCTCTGCTGGTAGAGTTACAGAACAGTATTCTAAGGCTCCTTGGTTAAAGTCTTGTTGCATATTTTTTCTCACTTTGATTATGTGACAGAAGTTTGACCTTGTTAGCATTGACTGTCTTGTTATTATATTACACACCAAAACTGGAGATAGTTCACCTAATTATGTTATACTTAAGCTGGCAGTGTCATAGATCACAATAAAAAAGGGGTTATCCCTAATGTGACTTCACTCCGTACCGATGTATTTTCCTTTTACCTAGCGCGAGGGATGTTGCATATTTTAATTATACCTCATGTACAGGCTCAAACCGAGACTTGCAATTTTCATGTAATTTGGTTGTGATTAATGCTTCCGAGGAATCACTCTCCTTCCAAATTTTTATACTTTACAACAGCAGGTGTCAGGTGCCGTGTGGAAGCAGGGAAAGATGCCCTGTACTTCACTTCATATTTATTTGCTAGTCCTTCGAGATCATTGATTCTTACACTTTTAAGTGAAAATTGAGTACCGTTCAAGCCGGTGCTAGGGGTCGGAGGGGTGTTATATTTTATCATTATTCTTCATGTACAGACTCAAATCAAACCTAGTCTGCATTTGTCATGCAATTTTGCTTCCGAACGATCACCCTTCTTTCAGATTTTAATATGAATACTAACAAGAAAAAAAAAGAGAACGCCGAAAAACACAAAATTGAAGATGTTACAGGCTTGGTTCGTTTGAGCCTGTTATGTACGGTACTTGTAAACTGGTAAATGCAAGTTACCGCCAATGACCCCAGCACCAACTTTAGCAGTTTTCAATATTTTAAACATGAAATGGTGAACTTTTTAAGTGTCATTCAATGAAAAGCGACGTAAGTGCCCTAAATGTGAAAACAATGGGCGGGAACATAGGTTATGAAGTCTGTATATGAAAATAAAAAAAAACATTACTAGGACTTACTTCTTACAGACGAATAATCATAATTTAAAACTCATTGGCTGGAGAGCACATACCTAAATGAGGTATAAGAAAAACAACATTGTTTTATAGATCATTTATTTCGAAAAGAAGAAACTCACAGTAAGTATAAACAGCTACAAAAATACGATACAAAAGCTCTAAGATGAATTTGCCCCTCTAGCAATATAAGTTTGGTTTGGTTTAAACATATTCATTTAAGCTCGATTGCGAAACAAGTTCTTGCAACTTATACTAATAACTTTCCGAGTCCACTTCCTGGAACCAACCAGTACTGGTGGTGGCATATAAAGAAAAATGGTCATGACCCAGGTAGGGCTCAAATCCATGATCTTGAGAGACAGACAGCTTAACTACTAGGCCACCGCTCCCCTTTAAAAGTAAATGTTCGTTTAATAATTTAAAATATTGTATAAGCAATTTTTTTATAAGAACATTCGTTTATCTTGAATTCATCTGAACTAAATATCTTGGATATAACCTTTCAATGTCAATTGAAATAATAAATAAAACATATATAGCTGCATAATGATCTATGATGGTTGTATATACAGGAACTAGGGAGTTCGAAACATGTTTTACATGGAACTTGGAAGACAGACTTGTCCTCTGAGTCAATACGGAGAAGCAAAGATTTTATTTATGTAATATAAAAAAATAACTTTATGATGAAAAAAGTCCATGATTTCAAAAAGAAAATCAGTATTAACAAAGGATTTCAGATTTAAATGGAATGATTGCATTATTTATGGATAAACATTATATGAAATATATTTAAAAAAAAAAACCTACGACGATGCTGACGTTATAAGATGTTGCTGGTTTTCCTGCTCTCTCTTCGATCGCATGTTTTAATTGCTCGAACATGTGCTCTCTGTACCGAACAAGACAGCCCTACGCCGTAAATGGCGTAATATGTATTGTTATTATAAACAGATGCGTTAACAAAGCCAACGAATATAAAGATAAAAATATAAAAATTAAAACTGTATCCTAGAAATGTCATTTCTGGAAAAAAATATTTGTATGGTATAAAAAGCAACACTCGAGAATAGAGAATAATTATCAAAACGAGATGAAAAAAGCAACAACTGTTTTTGCGTAAATTTATAATCCTTCTATGTACACTTCTTAAAAAACTTCCAAATTGAGTAATCTGTCCCTGCCATTGAGGTGGCCAACACTTTAATCCATCTGTAAAAAACAAGGTTTATGAAATAGTTAAAGTTGGTCTAAAAAGCCAGTGAAAATTTAAAACGCTTAAATTGCGAAATACAATACTAGTATTGTTTTTGCTACAGTCAGGGACTTGAGTTTCTGTCGTGTAAAGAATCTATTTAGCTAGCTTGCAGAACTTCGAAGGTTTTACTAAGGGGGCTGTTAACAACAAGGAAGCTAGAAAGTCGCCATTTATACCCTTAGAACTTATTGTGCGACGTAAAACACAACCGACCCATACCAAAAAAAATAAAAAAGCGTAATAATAATAATAATGACATTTAAAAAAGGACAGGGAATGATGAAGAAATGTTGCTATTTCGACAAACCTATTACGTAATAAAAAATGACAAACATATTAGATAAATACAACATCTAGTCTCGTTTTGATAGCAATAAAAGTACATACGTGCGTAATCGGTGTAGATTTCAACTAACTGTAAAAGACATCTATGGGTCAACACGACCACCACTTGCCTTTAACAGAAAAACAAAACAAAAATTCCCGTCATTTACAACTTTTGTCTGTACAAGAACACATTACGCTATCTAAATATCTATTACTATTAATTTGCATGAGTTATAAGTCCATTACATCTAGCTTACCTTTGTATATTTGCTAAGGTGCACACTTGTTAGGCAAAGTCATGCCTACCAAATTTCGAAGTAAATGTTTTTGTCTGTCTCTTGTTAACTTAAAGCTATATCAAATAGCATTTTTTTAAATAAAATTTATACATGATAGAATTGTGTTTTTTTCCATATCCATTAATTCTCGAAAGAGGAGAGACATAGTTTGACTCTTTTGTTTAACATAAAAAATGTATGTAAACAAAATAAAATGTTCAGGAACAAATTGTTATAATGCTATTCTGTAAAGGATTATAACTGCTCAGATATAATTTCATGCATACTTTATTCGCTCAAAAGGAAATACACCAACACATTTCTTTCATACAGAGTTTTGGAGTTATTGTTTTTCAAATTCAAATTAAAAGTAAATAAAAAAAAATTTAAAAAATGATTGTTCATGTAACGAAGATGTAGCTTTATACACTTAATCAATTAAAAGTGTGTCAAAATACGTTTTCAATCAAGATAACGCATGAAATCTTAATTTTATTATCAATATTATTTTGATGAATACAATGTTTAGTGGTTATATCAATTGTAAGTAAGACTGTAATGAATGCATACATACCATTTGTACAGAGCCAGTGTCTGTGGCCCTTTTTGGCAGATTCCTCCGGCCTAGGTAAGGCAGTGCAACATTTTCTTCTATCCAAGAAATAAAGCCAACATAAATCTTTCATTTATTGAGTTATTATAATTTAATTACATACAAATTATTTATTTGCCGCAGTGTATTTTCATCGTACAATATTGATATTACGTTATTAACTTTATTAGATTTGAGTACTTACAAGTCTTGCAAGGTATAGTTTTGAAATTGAAAAATAAATAACCTAAATGCAACCTGTCGTAACGTAAGCAATAGTGAAAGTACGTTTGAATCAAATTAATGTTGGCAGAAAGCTTTCAAAATTGTGGGTAGGCTAGATATGCAAACGGTTATTATCCAACAATATTGACCTGACACTTCATTAACTTTCGTCAAGGTCATTTGAATAAACACTGACCAGTAGCTATCGAATATATCGATATATTTGCTAACTTCACTCATTAGTGAGGTTTGGTGTATTGGTATAGATGTCGGACTACGAATCTGAAGGTCTCTGGTTCGATTCCTTACCATCACCAAGTTGTGATATATTTTCTTTTATTTACTTTGAAATCGTTTAACTACGCCTGGTTTTAGAATACATGTACCTTCTTATTATGTGGTGTTTTTTTATATTTTATTACAGTATCTTTCAACGGTTCTCTTTAAGACATTATGCAATCGTATACGAAATTTTGATGGACAATACCATTACTATTATTGATGTGATAATAAAATGTATAAATATTGTCTCACTAACCCGATTTACGAGAGGATTTTCTTCTGTTTGGTGTCCTGCAATTGTATTCAAATTTGAAATGCTTTTATAACCTAATGTCAGAATGTATTAAATAAAATGCGAGTGTACATTTTCCACTATAGAAACGATAAAAATATACAAAATATACGACAATTTAGTTCTGTTTGATTTTGTTTGTGTGTGTGTGTGTGTGTGTGTGTGTGTGTGTGTGTGTGTGTGTGTGTGTGTGTTTACACAAATTTTAGTACATTTTCGGTCATACCTCGACCCCCCGTACCGGCATTCCTGGATAACTTATCAGTAGTTACGACTTCCTCCTAAAGTGGCGGACTGCTAATTTCATATGATTTCTGATTCAGCGTTTAGAAATAGTTGACAAATATTTAGATCAATTGCCAACCTCGCCCGATGTTCAAGCTAGCGACCACTGGATTACTGATACAACCTTAAGGTTATAAAACTTTTTTCTGAGTTCTCTCTAAAATCTCAGGATTTTCATTGGTCAGTGTACATACATTCTGACCAATCAAAATACCCGAGATCTGTGGTTGAGCTTTGATTATATTTTTATAACCTTGGCCCTTGTATATTGAGCTTCACGAGCGGAATTCATTAAGTTAGGAAAGATAATATGACATGTAAACGTTTTAAGGAATTTCTTTAATGTTAATATCTATGCAAAAATGATGACATGTGAAGTGTCATCATCGTTTGATGAGCATAAAGACAATATTTACCAATGAATTTGGTCTAGTGATTTTTTAACATGACAATGACTACCTTTAACACACACCACGCTAAATATCTTACGATAACTTGCCCAGCTTTCAATCTGGACACACCCATTCATTGTTATTTATGAAAATTCTATATTATATACATGTATACTGACTACATAGCGAACGGTCCAGACCATGACTTATCGGCACGAATGTGCCGGCTGATCTTGGAATACATTGTTAGAATCGATTGTGGACAGCAGGCTGAAGGTGGACAAGTGCTATGACAATCGCAGTACTGTATATAAGAATAAATAATATGATATATGTATAAGGGTTGCATGGAAATAACTTATTTTGCAAGTATTTCCATTGGTCAAGTTGTATAAGAGACAATGTTTTGTAAAGAAAAAGTTTACGGGCGTAGTACTCACGAAGACTAACACAAATATAGTTTAACTGACGCCTGGTCCCATTGAATTTACTTACCATTTTTTATAGTTTCTTTTCCTTAACACACAAACTATCAACAATATCACTGTCACTAAGAAAACAACAACTCCAAATACCAGCCCAACAATGGTAAGATAATTCTCCTCTGCAATAAAAATCACGAAGTATTGTATGATATTGATCAATAGAAACCATCTGTATAATTCTTCGAAAGATAAAATATCCTCCTGAACATTTTCTGATCAAAACTCAAGAAAAAAAAACTATCTGAACTCAAAGATAAGTGAATATTGAAAGAAACACAATAGCTAATATTTTGTAGTTAGATAAGGTCGACATTTTATTCACAATTTTATTCACAAATTTCTTAATTCATGTCATTCCACAAGCAAAATGCAAAATGAATAACAAAATGTATATAAAGAAAATTTAAAACGGTATTACCGTCGACGTTTTCTATGTTGTTTTTTGCTTCCCTAAAAATATAAAAAATGAAAAATTAAATAAAATATTTTTATGTTTTTAGTGTAAAACATAACATAAAGTGAACAGAAATGATACAACAAGTCATTATAATTTAAGCCAGATTTGATATGAAACTTGACACACTTTTATTTTAATAATTACAATCTGTGCTCATACCGACAAACTGGTTTGTTGCTTACAACTTGACAAACTGTGTTATTATCACACTGTCCTGCTAGAAGTTCCCGTAGTTCACATGGACCAGCACTTGCTGGAAATACTGAAAAAAATAATGTGTGATAGATATATAAATAGATGATATATGAAGTAAGTATGATTTAATTGGATTGCGAAATGTACGATCATGTATATAGTATATGTTTAGAAAGGGATTGGTTTGGAAAGTCAAAGTTGAACAAATAAAACAATAAATGATTAAAGATGGTTCTTGTTTTGTATTTGGCATGATTGTAGATTAAAAGTTTGAAGATTTGATGAAGTAAATAAAATGTATGTAGTTTGACAGACACATGATTTGATTGTAATAAATTAGTTATAGATGATATAATAAAAACGCTTCCTTTGACATAAACAGTTTCCGTTTGTCAAAAGTTAAATTTCAATTTTGACACGGACCGGATCGATGGTCAAACGTTAGACGAATAGAATGGATTAATTTCAATATTTTGCTTAAATTGCTATAATTTAAGGATAAGATAATGTCATAGAAACTACTTGGTTTCACAGGAACAGGTTTGCCATCAATGACCAGGATTCCACCTTCCTCTAAATCCATAATCGTCTGAACAACTGTATCAGCTACATTAGTCTGATTTTCCTTGTCATCAATAACGACAGTGTAATCTACAATAATACTTCCGGCTCTGTAAGTACAAATGATTAATACGTTCATCTAATCAGAACATAATTTACTTCTTTCGATTTCAACAATAAAGATAAAGTTGAACATTGATAACGTTATCTATTAAAGGTAAGTAAGTTCAAGTTGAAGCGTATTTTCGTTAGAAAAATAAATGATTTAGTGACTAAACAGTCGTGTTTAAGTTAAGCAACTTATGACATATATTAGTTATGTTTCCTGCCATTCTTTTTTATTCGGCCAAAGCTAAATGTATTGTTTTAACAAATACTTTATTATCAACAAGAACATTCAGTATAGTACCTGTCATCTACTGTATAAAAATGTTATGGTTGCAGTCTTATTAGAATATAATCTGGCTGCATTATACAAAACGGTACATCTGTTCATTTAAAAGTTATATATAGGTTACTATCACACCCATTACTTTATGTTCGTTTTTTCTCTCTTTTCTTTTATTTATTTATTTAAATATTTATTTATTTATTTTATTATATATTTGTAACTCAAAGTTCCCTTATCGTAATATATTTTACTTACCTTATAGTGTGGACAAAAACGAAAACTAAATTTTTTAACGTTTCTCTGAAGTAACTCTGCAACTGCAGCAAGATATATAACATTAAGCAATTGCATAGAACAGTATTCAAATAAAACAAAAGATTTATTGACAAGTATATCAGAGTTTCATACTACTATTGTGATATATATCAAAAGATTTAAAAAAACACATACACAATACATATCTTTGGTATATTTTTCTAGCCTCTAATGTCTATTTCACTTAAAATCAAGCAAAATACATAATATTATGTTAATTAAATATATATGAAACATTTTTAAAAAATATTAAAGAAAGCGATGATAAATAATTACTGCATTCATGATTTCTGTAAACAAGGTGTAGTTTCTTAAAGCTGTTTCACTGTCTATAGATAGATGTATAGTTGATGATACCACTGTACCAGAAACATCTGTAAAGGAACGATACATACAATTAAATAAATGCTGTTTCAGCAAGTTTTCAACTACTTTTTTAATTTTCAAATATTTTAAGGTTCAATAGGAAAATTAATTTTGCGTCCATAAATTGCATCATAAAATGAAAAGCCTTGTTGCTTCAAGTAAATAAAATCGGATTCATCTATTCCATAACAAAAAAAGCATATTATTTTGTTAGCATTATTGACTTTTTTTCATAAATGAAATAATCTGCACTATATACAATAGTACACAATTACCTCTTGTGATACAATACATTTCTAATTTGATATATTGTGATACATCAAAAAGTCAATCAACAAATATAATATTTCATTTGATTTGAAATGTTAAATATTTCTTAAAAAAATTCGTTCATACCTTTACAAGTTAAGCCGTCTTCATTCAGAAGTCGTTTCTGTTGGCAATTACAAATGTACGTTCCATCAAAGTTGATACATATTTCTTCACATTGACCATTATTCTCTTCACATTCGTTTCTATCAAGACAAGAAAAAGAACCCATGTCGAGTTGGTACCCTTCATTACACATGCATTTGAAAGATCCGTCTTGATTTTCGCATTTTTGGTTGCAACCGCCATTGTTATAAAGACATTCATCGATGTCTACGCATGATTTTCTGTTTGCATGTAGGAAATATCCATCTCTGCATAGACAACTGTACGAGCCGTTTGTGTTGTTGCAAATGTGACTGCAACCACCGTTATAAGATAAGCATTCGTCAATATCGACACATGTTCTCCTATCGTCTTGCAAACTGTATCCACTGTTGCAAGAACATGTGAATAAACCATCCAGATTGCTACATGTGTGATCACAACCACCATTTGCATTCAAGCATTCGTTAATATCGATGCATGTTCTCATATCTTCTTGCAAGCTATATCCGCCGTTGCAAGAGCATGTGAATGAACCATCCAGATCGCTACATGTGTGATCACAACCACCATTTGCATTCAGGCATTCGTTTATATCGATGCATGTTTTCATATCTTCTTGCAAGCTATATCTGCTGTTGCAAGAGCATGTGAACGAACCATCTAGGTCGCTACATGTGTGATCACAATCACCGTTGTTGACAAGGCATTCATCAATATCGACACATGTTTTGTTGTCATCTTGTAAACTATATCCTTCATTACAGGTACAAATGAATGAGCCAACAATGTTGTTGCATATGCTATGGCAACCGCCGTTGTTGTCCAGACATTCGTTAAAATCGACACATGTTCTCATATCTTCTTGTAGTGTATATCCATCTTTACAAGAACAAGCGTATGAACCTACTTGGTTATTACAGATATGATCGCACACAAAGACGCTCGTTTCTGTATTGCACTCATCGATATCTGTTTTACATGTGATAAGAAATGAAAAGAATGTATTAAAAATTGAAATATATCTTATCTTTGCTATATTATCTACTCATTGTTATAATTTCCATAATGTACCGACACATGTTTAATTTATAGTTTTCATGTCATAAAACTCGAATTTATTTTCTCAATATTTATCTACCAAAAGCTTAATGATTTGAAAAGCTTTGAAATTGATAAAGTAGGGACTTTTATTACGAGCGCAAAGTGTGTGTGTGTGCTTAAACGCTAGTCAATATCAACCACATTACAAACTGCCATGGTGACTTGAAATACATTGTACATGTATTGTCTAAAGATAATAGTGTATTGGGAATGTTTGGATTAACAATTTTCCACTTTTTTTTACAAAGTTTTGAATTAGTTATTTGTAAACATAACGCAACATGTATTTACCTTGTAGTACAACACTTATATAAGCATCAGAAGAGGTGATATTAGTAACTATATTCCCAGCAATACAATTGTACTTGTCGTAAGAATCAATTTCTGTAACGTTTAAAACGATCAGCACATTGGAACGTTCTTCTCGGATAATTGTTTCATTTCTTAGCCAATAAAACTCAGGTTTTGGATCACCTGTAGCATTGCAGAAGAATGTAACATCGCTGCCGTATATAACCGTCTTGTTGTCAAGCTGTTTAACAAATTTCGGAGCCTCTGAACAAAATAAATTCATGCTGACAAGTCTGTTAATGTGATAGAGAACAGAATCAAACGCCGATGCTGTCTCCACTATAGTGGAAGATTCGTTCTGAAATGTTTCAATCAGTAAATTTTCAAGGTCAAGAATGTACTGTTTTATGTTGGATATGTTTGGAACATTCTCTGATTCATAAATGACATACAAGTTGGAAATAGCGTGAAATATACAATCTTGGAAGTCTTCACATTCTGACTCATTGAAATAATGCTTTGTGATATTTTTCATCAAAGTGAACCAAGCAGATTGAAAATCAATCGTTTCAACAGATTCTATTTCATCGTCAACAATTTTACGTGAAACACTGACCGCCGACTGAATTTCAATAAACAATGGATCTTCAGATGCTGCCGATTTTGCATCATTAATCGCTTTGTCAATGTCATTCTCTGTCATATTATAATCCATAGCAGCATGTTCTCTACTTATCCCGGCGCTGGCACTCGTCAAATTTGAAGATGTTACATTTATACTGCTAAACTGTTGAAGCTGCCTATTTACGTTGTCAATTACTCCAATATAGGCTTTTGATTCATTTACAACCTTTTGCAAATATTTAAAAGCGTCTTGCATAAAGTCCTGTATCAATGTTATTGTTATACATTTTTCCCTATATAATTCTACTCTATTCTCAGAATCGCTTTTCTCTGATCCGCGAAAACCACTAATATTTTTACTCAAATCAATCGTTTCATTCAGTAAAGTATTGTCAATATCGTCTGCTTCCCGAATTTTACGAAGCAACACATGCATTCTTGATGAGGCATCGAACTCTATATCTCTACGTTTACGACCAGAAAATATTCCGCCAAAAGTATCAATTATAGCTTGAATTGTTGCCCGTGCTGCCTGCCAAATACTCTGCAATATGTTTTTAAAATTTATTTTTAATTTAATTTCAGTCCAGCCTAGCTTAAAAGCATTCACTTCACATGAAACTTCAAACACAGGAAGATCTTTTGTTGACATTGTAATATCAAATCCACAGTTTCTTACATCTATAATATTTTTCAAGCCATACTCTATGACAAACTGAAGAACTTCAGCCGCGGCGCCGATTACAATTTTGACTGCTTCTAAAGCCATTTTTGCTGCCTCCATAATGTTTTTTGCTACCTCTAAGCCAATTTTAGCTAATTCTAAAATTCCATCTGCTACAACTAAAACAGCGCGAGATTTATCTACAACGAACTGTGCTACTGAAACAGCTGCTGAAGCTACGTCGTATGCAAGCATTGCAACCCTTACAAATATTTTTGCAGCTTCAAGTACAAGATAAGCTGCAGCTCGAATTACCGAACAAGCTATATTTGCCACCACGCAAAATAGATCTGGAAAACTGAGCATACAACTTGTGAATTCACAGCATGGATAAGGAAATAAAAAATTGAAGCAAACTTTACATTTAATGCCAGGTATGCAAATCATATTGCACGTCCTTATTCTACACAGATTATCGACGTTTCGTTGTGCCTTTTCTATTTTTTTTATTGCTTCATGCATAGGACCTTTTGCATCTTCAAGTTTTTGTTTGACTTCTTCAAGCTTTTCTACGGCCTGGTTGAAAAAAACATTGGCAGTCCTGACGTCATTTTGCTTTCTTTGTAACCAGTCTTGTGCCGTAGTGACACCTTTTTGTGCTGATGTTATCGCGTTTTGAACTTGAGTCAACCTATTTTGGGCCTCATTAGAAATCAGCAGAATTACATTTTTTAAGCCACCTAAATAACTATCTTGAAAGGAGGATCTTTCTGTTTGTAATTGTCGACGTATTCTTTTAAAATTCACTTTGTGGTGTTGCACTAATACAGTTTCAGAGATATATTCTCGGCGTTTTCTTTCTTTCGTTTCTTTTGCAATGAATCGTCCACGAAGATGAAACATCAGTTCATCCCAATCTTTTCCAACCTCCGCTGAAACATCTATTTGAGCTAAGAATATGTCCCAGATGTTTCCTTCTAAATAAAAATATATACCTTTCTTGCTTATTGATAGATCTGCTGTAACCATCATTCCTAGCATTTGTATGCGCGCCTGCAGTTGCAAGATGACATTAGAAGATGTTGTTGAGAATGCTATGCTTATATTAAATCCTTTAACATAGTTCAGAAAGAAACCTAATCTTTTATCTTCAGAAAACCTTCCAAGTATCCGTATAGCGTTTTCTCCATTCAGTAATTCATTCACTTTTTGAAATCGGCTACATCTATACAGATCCCACTCTGAATATATCATTTCCAAGTCTAATCCCAAAAACTTTAACCCCAAAAATGTCCACTCTGCAGTGAATTTTAATCCAAAGCCTGTATAGTTTCCTACAGTATATGCTATTGTTTCAGTTAATCTTGTAGTTATATTATTGATATTATCTCTAATGACATTGATTTGAATTCCTAGCAATCCTATGAACCCATTATTTGCTCCATTGATGACGAATTCAGTTTCATCCAGTAGTACGTTAAATATTGATCTGATACGTTCTATGTTTCGCCAAATGTCTTCAATATGTTTCATCAACTCTTTGACATTTCCGGAAAAGAAACCATTAAGATATACACCAATAGTAGCCTTGATAACACTTAAAGCATCTTTAATTTCTGCAACATTTTCTTTCAATGTGTTTGAAAGTGATACTTCAGTACTATTTATCGCTTCGTCAAGTATATTCGTGGTTACATCAAGAAAACTTATAAGTTCGAGTATATCGTTTGTAATATTGAACTGCATTCCGTTTACTTTATTAAATTTCGGATCAGTGCTCACGAACATATGTACCTGATTAATTGATGACAATAAGAAGTCTTCCAAAAAAGGTATTCCCTTAAATGGATTTAATTCAAGCATTACTGAGAGAAACAGTCCTTCTGGGTTGGAATCATCACCGCACCATTGGCGATTTGAACCTTTGAAATAGATACGTATTATATTCAACACTATATAGAAGAACATACTTCACTGAATTTGTTTGAAAGAGGAACAGACACCATGTTACGTAAAATAGATACTACGCTATTTTGTCACATTGTTTGATAATTTAAAGATTTTAAAACAAAAGGAAAATATATAAACACAATAAGAATGATAATACTGTGTGAATTTCTTGAAAAAGTTACCTCCGATAGAAATATATGCATCTACTTTAGATGAGAGCAACGGAAAATTCACCGTTCGCTCTTTTCCAAAAAGATTAAATCGCAATGTTGGTGACAGAGAAAGTTGGATATCGACAAATCCTGTCCATTCTTCGACAAACAGTGATGTCAGCATCTGAATGTTTCAAATATAAATTGTATGAGCAACATAATGTTATTTCAACAAAATATGGTGTTTTGAGGTAATTGTATTTAGATGTATACCTGAATTCATAAGTAAATGCATATTCGCAATATTAGTATTTTCTCAGTCATATGATTGCTTTAAAGGATATTTGATCATGATAATGCATTTAAGTTATACATTTAAAATATCAATATGTAAGCTTATATGATGGTATTAATATATTATTTCATTGAAAAGAAATCTTTCTTTAAGGATTTGATAATGAAAAAATGATCCGGTAAATAATTTACAAATCAGTTTTGTTTGCCGTTTAAAACAAATTACTATTATTATTATAACAAATTGTAGATGAAGGTATTATTTTACCAATCCATACAAATGTACGGTGTAATGAACTCAACAATAAATGAAAAATAAAATAAAGTTAAACTCACTGTTTCAACGTTTGGAACACCGATGAAAATTTCAGCGTTTCCGTGAACAGAAAAATATTTGTCATGCTTTCTCACACTACCACCTATCCAGACATTCACAGTAGGTTGGGATCTTCAAGATAATATTTTTGGATAATTAAAACAATACCAACAAAACATACGTTACAGAAGCAAACAACAAATAAATGTAGATGATAAGTGTGTAGCAAATGGAGTATTGATCAAAGATTTTAAAATTGTAACAATATAGAAATGGCATATGAGAATATATGAAAATAACAATGAATAGCTGTCGACTGGGCATTTAAGATGTAGAAAACATTTTTGAACTTAAGTAAGCCTTTTTATGTGATCTTGACCAATTAATTATCTATTTGCGAAGGAGGTTGTTTTTTATCGGTGAGTATAATTGCAAAGTGTAAGGAAAATCCATTACACATTGGCTAAACCATTGTCAATACATCGCTTTAGAAGGCTTTACGGACATAGTCCACTACCATTACTAAATTTAGGCGAAAAACATGAATGTACATTAAAATACCAATGGTATGCTTTTATTCTGAGACAAATAATGGTAATAGAGTCTTACTAGTGATTCAAGTTAGTAAAATGTAATAACATATGATTTCATGTGTATTCTATAAGTACAGCGTGGATAAATGTAAAATAATACATAGGTGAAGTATAGAAATGATATCAAACATACGGTGTGAACATGTTATTTCCATTCCAAAGTTGTCCATATAAAGTGTGGTAGCTTGCATTGATACCATTGGAATGTGAAATTCCGATTCCTTTTGGTTGAATATATAAATTCTGATTATTCTTTAGAGATTTAAACAAATCGATGTTTAGCAACATATCTCGGGATCCTTCTGGTATCATTAAAAATACTGTCCCGCCGTTATTTTGACATAGGTCGACAATCAGGCAAAATCGTCTCGCACTAGCAACAGGCATTTCTACTTCGTTGCCTAAAACACTGACATTAAACCCTGTGCTAAACTTAAATACTGTGTATAAATGATCTGATATAACTGGTGCACCCTCACACCACAAAACGTCATCCATGTCTCTACCATAAACCAGAATACTATTTGTATCTTCAATAGACAAAACTTCAGTTCCTGATCTTTCGAATCTCAACCAAGAAGGAATTGCTGGTTTGATGGAGAATAATAATGTTTTCATAAAGGAATCCATGTTTATAAAATCAAATAAATCACTTTCTATCAAGTCTAATGATTCACATGCATCTGCTTTTCCGCTTTCTGTTATTGTTCCTTGAATCAATTCGTGCAGAACTCGATAGTTTAATGCAAACTCGTTATTTTGTACAGTCACCTCAATTCCCGTCAGTGATATCGGAACAGACAAACTGTTTACGTTAACATAGACGACACCGAGTGTAAACATAACGCTCTTATCTGCAGTCAGTTTGTACCATTCCGAGGTAGAGCTAAGGTAGACAGTGATGTCATTTCCATCTATGCATTTGGCAAGCGTAGTAGTAAAACATGGTTTCGGTAGGAGCTGTCGAGGTATTTTGAGTCGTTCAAACACATTTTCTTTTTCTACGACCCCTGTGATAAAACATTTAACGTTATGACCTGAGTTTTAAAGTTTAAGTATCATACGTTCATATAGAATACGGCATTATAGTTAGTCATGACATAAACAGATTCCAGAGGAATGTTTAATTTATTGGTTAAAGTCAAGTATTGTTACATAGTACATTCTTCCATGTATGTTTTAGGATATGTGATCATCATCACTTTTGTACATTTCATTAGTTTTTAACGTTATATTAATTTAAAACATTCAAAATAGTCCTACCTTCAAATTAAATGAGTTTGTTTTCCCATTAAGTTAATACTAAACAATCAGCATTTTCAGTTTTTAGCAATGAAAAGTTTAGTCTCGACTTTTCTATTCAGTGCTCAATAAATTTCAGTGTTCTAAAAAATTTTACTCAAGGATCAGTATAGTATATTTTTAATTATATGGAAAATTATCTACATTCTAAGTAATGATTCTTTCAGTATCCAAAGCATTATCAATGGTTGTATCTGCTTACCCCCAGCACATGTAATACCATCGTCTTGTAATTGACGATTTCCTGAACAATTGCAGTTAAATGAGCCCTCTGTATTTGTACACAAATCTTGACATCCACCATTTAAAACTTCGCACTCGTCTATGTCTGAAAGTATATAAACTTATAATAAGTTATGATAAACAAAATCAACAAGGTTCAATGAACACTTCTTCTTTCAGAGAATGAATTAAAACATGTTTGCCATACAGAAATTTTCTTCGCGCTGGGTCGCGCGACTGGTTAAAAGAAAAACGCAATTTTAACAGGAAATTTCAAAATAGCAGATATGCCCCTCCCCTTCTTTACATTTGATGTGTACTAAAAATAAATGACCATTATGAAAGTTACAGAGAAACTGTTTATGTAATTGTATGTGTTTATAAATAAAGAAAACAAGTAGTAGTTTTACATCATTTTTAACAATGATATTCATTTCTAGTGCGCAATTATACAAAACTATATAATAAATAACATGTTTGACATTTAATTATCATATGCACCCATTTTGGTGTCTTTGTAATACATGTATATAACTTTATCTCTGCTTTTAACATGCTTTAAGTTAATATAACAACTGAACTAATTTCACTTTTATTCTGTGCAATTTGTGTATCTCTTTTAAGTTAGTGTCTTAATCAAAGAAGTTAAGCTGTCAATACTCCTAGTGCATATCAATAACTATGATAATTTTTTTTATCTATTCATTTTAATATTTCTTTTAAATTCAATTTTATCTTATGTTAGAAAGACACGGTTACATTTTACATTAAGCTCTCTCTATAAACTAACAAAGTATTATATTTTTGCCCGTGCTTAAGTTATTAAACGGAAACAGTTTTTTTCAATAAGCTAGGTTCGCTCATGCACTTGTGCCCAAAACAATAAGGTTTTTCTAATCAATGTGGGGGATCATCTTATGCTGTAAGAATGCTATGGGTATAGTTATTGAAGGCTGTGGGTCAAATTGTTATCTAGTTATTTAGCAGAAATGATGTTCACGTTCAAGGGCAATGATTGATACCGTGCATTTCGTTACTGATCTGATATAAATGTTATCTTAACCAGTTATATATATATCTGTACCAAAACATACACTTTCATATAAACGTTAAGACACATTTCATAGTAATATTAATCATTAACGCTCACTATGACACACTAAAACAGTTATAAATCGGAAATTTGTAGTGATGTAAAAAAATAGAAGGTACGTGTGACCGTTTCGTTTGTTATGCGGATCAGCACAGAAAAGAGACTGCGGTTGAACAAAAATGAACATATCGTCATGCATATGAATGTGAAATGCTTTTACTATGAATATGCATATAATTATGAATTACACGTCTTTAGCATGTACAGTATACTACATAGCGAGCAAGACAAAATGATACAACAACAAATCATTCACGTCTGTGAAGGAGAGTATCTGTACAATTTTCAACATAAGAACATATTTTTAACAACATTTAGCTTTTGTTTTCGAAAACATGGAGGGTTTTTATGCTACTGCTAAAGTAACAAGAGCCATGTCAACATGGCCATCCCCCGCCGAATTGGCATGCTCATTGGAAGAATGTATATGTAGTAGAGCTGAATAATTCTTTTGGTCTTTTGGTAATTATAACTAATCGCTGAAGTGATTACAGATTTGAAACCTATGTGAATACTGATGGCTGAAAATAACAAAGGGCAATAACTGAAAAATAATGCAGGGTAAGATATCATTCTTGTGTGCTGCACCCCTCCTCAGTAAAATCTATCCACCTATGAAGTTTTAAGTTGATACCTCAAATATTTTTTGAGATAAGCTCCGGACAAAATAGTATGAAAAAGAACAAGGGCAATAACTCAAAAATTATAAAGGGAAGAGTTATCATTCCTCCTCAATAAGATCTATCCACCTATGACATTTTATGTTGACATCTCAAACACTTTTGAGTTATGTTTCACTCAGGTGAAAAATTAAGTATGAAAAATAACATTGGGCAACAACTCAAAAAATATAAAAGGTACAGTTATCATTCCTGTGCATTGCACACCTCCTGAGTGAGATCTATGCACCTATGAAGTTTCATGTTGATATCTCAAAGGCTTTTTGAGTTATGCTCTGGACAAAAATGAATTTTGAAAAATAACAAAGGGCAATAACTCAAAAATTATGCAGGGTAGAGTTATCATTCTTGTGCACTACACAATATCCTATATCCCCTGCCGCCTTTTCGTCGGGGGATAACTAGTTGGTAACATTTGCCTGATAATTATTTTTGGTATCAAAAAAAGCTCCGCTTATTATCACGGACTTTTATCGATAGCTGATTCTCGTTAAAGACTTTCAGGATTTTTATAAGTTGATATAATACGACAATCTTCATTTTGTAACAAGTAGCTCGAAATTACAAAAAAGAGAAAGAAAAAAAAAGAAAAAGAAAACAACATCTGTTTTTAGAATTCAATTGTCCCTTACTTCTGAAGTGACATCATAATTGATTTCGTGAATGACGTCATCAATGTCTACGAGATAAGTATATTGAACATAAACAGACATGTTATATGGAGGATTTTTTTATTCTTTATTCTTTGCTAGTCAATGTTTAGTAAATTTCGAGAGTCGATGCAAATGTTTTCATTCTGGAAATTAGATAGATGTCAAATTTTGCAACAAGTGGAACACATTAACAACATAATACACACGTTACTAATCGGATTTTATTTCATTCTTATTTGGTCACGTTCTAATTAGAAATGTTCCGTTTTTTGATAAATGAACATTTTTTTTCATCTTCAAAAGTATATATTATGCTCTAGATTACCTTGCTACTTTCATAATCTTAAAACAAACAATTTTTTCATTTCTTTCTAAATGTTTTTTCTTTTGTAATTATGGTTTATTGTGACAATGAATACAACTTGAGATTTATAGAAGGTATACTTGTTTGTACTACGAACTGGAAAATAAAAGATAGAAACACAACATTCAGGCACACTGGACTACCTGGAGGGCACATTGAGCTGCTTCATCAATATATAAATACGCAGATATAAACCATTGTTTTTATAAATGTCGACTTACCTAATTCGCAATGCTTGCCGCTGAAACCTGTTTCACACATACATGTGTATTTGTTCAACCCATCAACACATGTACCTTTGTTCATGCAAACAACATCTTCACAGTCATCAACATCTGGAATTCATTTTTGATTATTTTTTTCTTTTGGACGACAGCATAGCCAATATGTAGGAAAATACTGACAATTTACAATGGAAACATCAATTTGATATAATTGAGCATGTATGTAACTTGAACAAAGTTTTATGAATCAAAAAACAACAACAAAACAACCAAATAAACTAACAAAAACAAAACGAATTATAATGATGTTAATATTATTATAATGATAATTAACAACAACAACAACAACAACAAAATAAACAAAAAGCAAAAAAGAAAGTAAAAAAAAAAGAATAATAAAAATAAATAAATAAATAACTAGAAATGTGTCATCATGCCACGGATGTCCCCGCATGCAGCCAAAATTTCAGATGTTATAATATTTAGTTCCAAATTTGTTTGCACAAATTATTTTTTTCATTTGCAGTTCAAAGCCCTTAAAACTTTTCAATGTTAACACAAACCATTTTCATACAATGTTCAAAGCACTGAAATTATTCAGTCTTAACCTTTTGAAAATAGCATATTTCATATTTGTAGCCAAAATAATGGCTACATACATTTCCACAAAAGTACGAGTGCTGAAACTGAAAGTTCAAAATTTTTCCAACATTCAAGAAAGATATAAGTTTGTCCAAAATCATTGAACTACGACCAAATTCAAACTTTCCACAAAAGTATGAGTGCTGAAAATGAAAGTTCAAAATTTTTCCAACATTCAAGAAAGATAAGTTTGTCCAAAATCATTGAACCACGACCAAATTCAAACTTAAACTGCTTATTCCTAAGATGTATCTATATTATTTTCAAAGTGAAAGGGACATAACTCTGCCAAAAAAATCATCGAACCATGAACAAATTCCAACTTGACCTGCCAATTCCTTTGACATATCCATATGTCAAATTTGAGTTGAATATGTAACACTGTTGGGTAGATAATGAACAGAAAATTGTAAATTTCATATTATTTTCAAAGTGAAAGGGGCATTACTCTGCAAAAAATCATTGAACCACGACCAAATTTGAACTTTACCTGCGCATTTCTTTGATGTTTCCATATGTCAATTTTGAATTGAATGTGTTGTACCGTTGGGGAGATAATGAACGGAAACTGAAAATTTCATATTATTTTCAAAGTGAAAGGGGCATAACTCTGCCAAAAATCATCGAACCATGACCAAATTTGAACTTGACCTGTATTTTCTCAAGACATATCCATATGTCAAATTTGAGTTGAATGTGTTGTACCTTTGGGGAAATAATGAACGGAAACTGAAAATTTCATATTATTTTCAAAGTAAAAGGGGCATAACCCTGCCAAAAATCATCGAACCATGACCAAATTCAAACTTGACTTGTATTTCCTCATGACATATCCATATGTCAAATTTGAGTTGAATGTGTTGTATCGTTGGGGAGATAATGAACGGAAACTGAAAATTTCATATTATTTTAAAGTAAAAGGGGCATAACTCTGCCAAAAATCATCGGACCATGACCAAATTCGAACTTGACCTGTATTTCCTCATGACATATCCATATGTCAAATTTGAGTTGAATGTGTGCAACCGTTACTAAGATAATGAACGGAAACTGATGATGACGGAATGACAGAATGACGGAAGGACGGAATGACGGAAGCCTTAGGACGGAACAGGGTAACACTATATGCCCCGGCCATTACATGGCGGGAGCATAAAAATGTTGTAAATGATGATGCGATTTTCATCAATTATTAAGACATTTCTAAATAAATATTACCATCACACAGGAATGTAGTTTTATAGGCTAGCGCAAACTTTTTTTATTGTTGTTACAAAAAAGAATACCCTTTACAATGAAATGAGGTTGTATATATTATCTATATTATTATTTTATTATATTGTTTGTTTGTTTGTTTCATTTTACGCCTTTTCCCAACAGTATTTCAGTCATATAGGCGGGTAGTTTCCTAGCCATCATTCCTGGAGAGTTACACCAGTACTAGACTACCTTCCTCCGCGCTAAACTACCAAAGCATCTCCCGGGGATCGAACCCACGCCTTATATATCTAGTTCATTTGCATTCGGAAATATTACATTATTTTGTGTTGCATACTTACCTACACAAGAAATACCATCTCTGTCTAGAAAGAATCCAGTATTACAACTACACTTGTAGGAGCCATCTGTGTTGTCACAAGTTTGAGAGCACAATGAATTAGTTGCCATACATTCATCAATATCTATAGATAGAAGGACTAAACTGCAATTTCTTCATGTTTTATAAACTACATGGGAAACAACTTATATGAGACCAGCAAGGAAAGGCAACGTTTAATGATTGCAACCTCCCACACCCAGCAAGAACGATCAGCGACAAGAAAACCAGGTGGACCCCAAACAAAAATTAGGAAAGGGCACAAGGCAGAGCACAGACAAGGAAATCAAAGACAACAAAAAGAACAAAAAAGAGTGAAACAAAGTATTACCATAATAGTATGAAACAACAAAGACATACATCTGAGGAAACAGAGGAGGGCCGCCTTGGAACGGCCAACAGCATAAGTACTGCTGGGGAGTTTAAACCAGTTAATGGTGCACCAACCTCACTCTTAGCTCCACCATGTTCCTTCAAACGGGACAGTGTAAATAAAATCAATCCGCACCAAGTGATATTCTAACAGTTGTTATGGTTACAAAAGGTGAAATATGTAAAAGACAGAAATGATCATGTAGATACATACAAAAGAAACCCAATGGCCAGAACGAAATTACTTAGTGTCTTAAAATAAGACAGATCAACAAGAAAATCATCTACAAGGGCCCGACGAAGCAAGGCAGAAGAAGAACATTAAGACCATTCAGCCCCTTAGGGCTTTAAGAACAGTTCATCATAGGGTATCCAACTTGGACCGCCAGAGAGGTCAAAAGGGGAATGCGTAGCGTCAAACAGTAAAAGGGTTGAACACTAAGCATGCGGTATATCTTAAAATAGTAGGGTCATAACCGCTTTAAATACACGTTTATAATTTTGGTAAAGTCTGACAACGTAGATTAAAAATGGCGGCGCACAAAATAGCGGCGCCCACTTACTAAGGAGTTTTGTCACAACTCGTTAGGTGTATATACATGTAGTACATTTCCTGCGTCTGTCCCCCTAACACTGTAGATATCACCAGCACATCAAGTATTTCCGCTATACTCAACTCCTTAAAGTGGAGAAGCCAAGAACAAAGATACAGACCAGGGTCTGGTCATGTTTCACAACATCCTACAAAATAAGGTTGCCGTTCTCCTGCCAGTTTATCTTAAACAAGTAACAAGACCAACTCTTAAAACCCACAAATCCAAACAACTACTGATTATTACAAATATTCATATATCCCTAGGACAATTTTCCGTCGGGATGCTTTACCCCCAAACCTTCTTACCATGTCTGGTCCCATTTTCAGTAAGGCTGTAATGGCCAGATTGAACACATGTCTCACCCATGACACAGCTGTCATGATTTTATCTGATAAAAAAACTTTTATCCTGATTTTATACCTGTTTTTATCAGTCTAACTAGTAACGCGCAAAGTCTAGGTCCCCAGCAGGGGTTTGACACAATGGAAGATAGATATATATTTTTTAAATTTTCTATTAACTTTTGATTTGATTTCATTTGATTTTATACTGTAAAACATGTAATCTAAGAGCGCTGCAGCCCTCTTTCCGCGTTAAAGAAACTTTTTATATATCATCCATACTATAGTTCTTATCAATGATAAGTATGTTTATTTTTCTTATTTTGTACATCATTCTTCTACCTGGAGTATTATTTGGCACAGAGGACTGGTGCGTCTTCTAGCTATAGTCTGTATAATGTAGACGCTCAAAATCGCCCTAATATCTATATACACTTCAGAAGGATTTCAAAATGGCAGCGCCTTGTTAATTTTTTCTCAAACTCGTAAGATATATATATTTTTAATGATTTTACTCTTATTTCAATTTAATTTATTCAAGTCATACATGTTATCTAAGAGCGCTAGATCCCTTGCGGGATCAACGGCAAACTATATTCTATTTTGTAAATCAATGCAACCGCTCACCTTTGCACAAATCAACATTTGTGCCTCGATTTGCAATTCTGTAACCTTTTCGACATTCACACCTATGAAAACCTGGTTCATTGATACATATTTGATCACACCCACCGTTTCCACTGGCACACTCATCAACATCTATATAATATATATAAAAACAACAACAAATTTTAAAGCAATAACTCGGCTGATTAAGTATATCTTAATATTGAACAAAATGAAACATCTGCGGTCGGGTTGAGTACTTCAGGTACTTAAGCATTCAGCTAAAGATAAAACGTTTTCTAAATCGTTTATTGATTTCATAGCATACAATATCCGTTTATTTCTATAAGCAATATACATTATGTTATTTTTTAAATAATACTGTCTATATTACATGGTTAAATTTATTAAAGTCACAGGTAAAGACGAGAAATTGGGACACCTGAATACATACTGTATAATAGAAGTTATACTACTTTAAAGAGACATCAATGTCACTATGCTCATAATTCAATTTCTGTTCACATGTTTCTTTCTTAGCTACAAAAGTCATCGTTATGCAAGCATGTTAAACTTTCTATTCATCTAACACTTAGAAATGACATATGCAAGTTAACCAGTTTTTCTTCGGCCGGGAGCTCTTTTTTTTTAAACATGTCTTGTTGACAAATATAAGTAAGTGTCCATTATACATGTATCCTAAAATATTTATATCTGTAAACTTGGATTAATAAAAAAGGATATAAAGAAGATAGCAATGACCTTTGCACGAAGAACCATCAATATCAGGAATATAACCTGAGGCACAGGAACACGTGTAAGATCCAGGGGTGTTGTTGCAGTAACCCTCACAATTGGCTGTTCCATCTACACACTCGTCGACATCTAGACAAATATATGGATAACTTAAATGTTACCGATGTAATTATGATAATGCTATCTAAATAAAAACAAAATAAATAGAACATAATCTTACTTTAAACTCGTGAACGCATCTGCGGTTGTTTCTTAATTAATAATTTTACCATTTCTTGTTTAAATGTTGAATTCTGCTTAAGCCGGTGCTAGAAGGCCCGGACAGTAGTTTGAACTTGACAGTATCGTCCATGAATAAGCTCAATCAAACTGAGCCTGCAGCATTTTCAATATAGCCGTGTTATTAGGTATTAGGTATTATTTCCTCTATTTTAGAAACAATGAAAATAATTTAACGAAGTGAACTATTAAATATCAACTTTCTACTGATAATAATAAACACCAAATTGTTTTTGTTGGTTGTTTTTAGATATCAAAGTTGTTAATTAAACAAATCCAAAATTTAAAAATCTATTTCCATCTTATTTCGTCACCGTTGTCGTCAAGATCAAATTGTTATGTAATTGGGAGTTTTTGTTTGGCTTAATAATCAATATACCTTCACATGAACGTCTGTTAACACCCAACATATATCCAGTGGTGCAGGAACATTTAAAGGAACCTTCAGTGTTTGTACATTTCTGAGAACAAGCTGCTGTTCCGAGACTGCATTCATCCACATCTAAAACATCAAAATCACATATAATTATCGGTTATTTATAGAAATGCAATCTAAGTGTAATCTCATGTTTGTAATTTGTGCCTTATGAGACGTTTTTATGTATTGTGAAGATTTAAAGATCGGTAACGTTCAGTCTTATAAACCTGAGATGTATTTTTTAAAAGTATTTTAACATCACACATCTCCATGTGTATATCTTTGTAGATTGAAATATGTCCTAGTATGGTGGCATATTTCAGTTAGTTAACTGAAAATTTATCTAGATAACTCTAGGAATATATCTGGAACATTCCGTATTATCTATTAACTAAAAGTTATCAAGTTAAAGAGATAATTAGCTGATACTTAAGTTTACAAACAAAAAAGTTTTATAGATAAACAGATAAATATCTATTATTTAACTGGTAAGTGTTGGCAATTCTGGTCACGTTTTAGTGTTTAGATGTTAAATATCGTTATTTATCGTGTTAACCCAAAAACTAACAAGTTAATCATATAGTTAACGCAATATTCATTAAGTTAACTGATGGCAAAATTATGCCACCATATTCAATTTTATAATGATGTTACTATAAGCGCTAGCTATATCAGCTCGTTTGATTAAACAAAAATTTCGTACGTTTTATCTATTTATTTCAATAATCTTTTTTGTTTACCACTATCCTATGAAGATGAACCTGGCTAAAAGTTGTTAACAATTAGCTACCTTTTCCCAATGTTTAGTTCAAAACAATATTTTAATGATATATTTATTTGAGAGTTCTTCCATTTATGAACAATCTCTTTGTTTGTTTGGTTGCTGCAGAACGTACCTTCGCATGATCGTCCGTCTGTGTTCAGTTTGTATCCTTCTTTACAACTACAGTAGAAAGATCCGACAATGTTTGTGCACATGTGGCTGCATCCACCATTGTCTTCATTACATTCGTCCAGGTCTATGATAAATATATTGAAGCAATATATCAGTAATTAACACATAGCAATAAACAGACACAAAAGATCCAAAAGCCAAAACCATTCAACTCTCTTTTCAAATATTTAGCAAAATAGCACAATGAATGGGTTGAGAAAAATCATCATTAGGTCGGTCAGGTTTGCAGTAAATCAACCACAGACTTGCTTTTTAAAGACAAATACATGCAAAAAGAATCAAAGCTTTGGACGTCTGTTTTAAGGAAATACAAGGAGTATAGACATGATCGAAACAGGATCTTATTGATCTGTCAGGATGACTTTTAAAAGAACGCCTGTCTGTAAAGTTGTTTTCTTCCTTGAAATAGATCTCTACAACGACGCAAGCTTTTTTCCAAAATGCAACATATATCATCTTTTTCTTTAATTAATTAAATTGCTAAATCTGTGCTATAAATGACGTTTTTTCTAATATTTGCTACGTAATGTTTCAGTTGTTATATGGTATATATATATGAAGGCCTATTAAACAAAACAATGACGAGTTCGGCAATGAATTTTGTTCGGGAAGATTAAAAAAAATCATTTTTTTTTAACGGGTTTTTTAAATTTTAGTGAATAATTTATCCCTAGCACGACTTGAGTTTCCCCGGGTTAAAAACAAACCGGGTTTAAAGGGTAAAACCCGGAAAGGGCCCCGTGAGTTTTTCAAAATTTTGTTTGACATCCGGGGTGTGCTGTTGCAATTCGTTAATATCTTAAAGAAAAAAAATTTAAATTTTTATAATAACCTTGTTTAAACATTATCCCCTTGATATCTCGATACATTTTTTTTATTTAAAAAGAAAAAAGGCTCAAAAAGGGAATTTGTCGTAATTTTTAAATGGTTGGAAAATTTTTTCCCAAACCAAAGCCTTTTTGTTTTTTTTTTTTTCCCATTTTTTGGTTTAAAAAAACACTGTGGGCAATGTTTCAGTTTTAAAATATTGGGTTTAAATTATTTTCTTTACCTCTTGCATTTGGAAATGGTGGATGAAAATAAAATAAAGAGAAAAAATTACAAAAAAATGTAAAAAAAAAGGGATTTTGATTTGTGATAGTTTTGGGAAGTTAATTTTCGTTACACCCAAAAGAAACCCCGACTTCAGCTTTTTTAAATTTAAAAAAAAAATTGAAAAGTTTTGGGAAATTTTTGATGTGATAAAACCGCTTTTTAAACATCCCTTAAATGTAGAAACGTTTTTACTTGAGAAGAAATCAACAAATTATTTAATTGTGGGAAAAAATTATATATTTCCTTTGACATCGGGGCTCAGTAAACCCACGTAGACAACTCCCCACTTTTTTCTGGATTTTGGCATAAAACCCCCATTAGACAGGGAAGCCCGATCCATGAAACAAAGTTTGTTTTTTCAAAAAGGGAAAAAATTTATGTTATATCTTGGATCCCTTTAAAATTTAAAAAAACAAGTTTTTAAAAATTTAAAGGGAAACAAATTTTATGATTGAAAAATGAAAGTTAATAAATTATTTAAAACAATTTTCAAGTAAATAAATGAAGAACAAAAGCGGGCTAAAGCTAACAGCAATGAACAAAAATAGTGTAGGAAGGTAGTTTATAGGTAGGAGACAAAATATTTTTTATAAAGTTTGAGTATCACTAAAGAGTATTTGTAATGAGCTAAACAATTCACGAGCATTATCATAGGTTCGCTTTTCAAAAAATTGGGACAGTTATTTTTTAATGCTTTAAGACGGGGCAGATTTAGCAACTTACGTATGCTACAGCTTCTTCCAGAATAACCGTCACAACATTCGCTTCTATAGCATGTTTTTGTACATTGTTTGTAAACATTTCTGAAATTAAGTAATATTTCTTTAGATTGAAAGTGAAAAGAAAGTCATTATCTTTAAAAATAACCACACAGATTATTCCTTGAAGGGAAATTTAGGCAAATGACAAAAATATAAGATTGCTCTTATGTACTTAAATTATATTAAAATGACATTTAAGCATGAATTTCTGTATAAATACAAATGTACAGTTTATTTTCGGCTTGAAGCGTAATTATATCTTTATACGTTGAACGAAATGAAGAACGCCAAAAAGAGACACCGAGTAGTTTTAAACTAGAAAAAAAAATATGGAAATTACAATAACATATACTGTAGATATTGTTAAGTTGGTCATTTACATTTTCACAAACACATCTTCCTGTAGAAATCTATCTACTGGAAACTATAAATATTTAGACTATTAAAAACACAGAATTACCCAACTTATAAATAATGCTATTAACATAAAAAAGAAGAAAAGTACGAACAAATAAACACTCCACGCTTTAATTTGAACAGTCCTTAACTTACCGATATTTTGGGCATCTGCCCCACCAAAACAGACCGCATCCTGTGTATAAAGTCTCCGATGTCAGGCATGTGGTTTGACAAGGGTAAGGTGTCGTACAATAATCAGAGTAACCACTCCTACAAATTCAATAGGACATGTATGATTGTGATAAACTAGTCAACAAATACAAACAAAAAATTTAATCCAGCGGACAAAAATAACTGTAACCCATAGACTATAATGCTAACATCTTAAACAAAAATGCGTACCGACAATAAATCTATTTTGAGGAAGTTTCTTATTTATACAAAATAGATTTACAAATATGAAAAGAAAAACAATGTGCACGCGTGTAAATATAAATCTTAATAGGTATCGAATATCTTTAATAATAATGCACAACAAAAAGCAATGCTCGTGAATATGTCAGCAAATGAATACAATAATAACATTGAAACAATGGCGCCGGTATATACTATAATAACGATTCACGGTACATTTAATGATTTGTTTAAAGTATTTCATCCGTCAAGCATGTCAAGATTCAATACTAGTAATACAAGTCAAATAAACACAATAAAATTTAACTAAACGCAACTGAATAAATAATACAATAGAATAAATCACAATACCATACAATAAATAAAACAAACTATTCAATAATAAGATTGTTTTGTGATTATTATAATATATGGAATAGTTCCAAGGTTTAGAATCCATAAATTAATAGAGATTTGTCATATATACACAGATAACACCCTCTGTCTTTGTATCTATTAAAGTAACGTGATTTGTGTATCTAGTATTGAAACAAAATATCTTTTCACTATGATTGGTTCAACTAGAAATGGTGTAGCAACAGAAAACGTCAACATAATAAATCAATACTTTATGTGTACATTTATTGTTAACGCCACTGTTGCATTTCGAGAAAAGAAAACTACCTTACTATATACATGTATATGCATTATTGGCATATAACAGTCACTTTTACATTAAGTTATCAAGTTATTATCTATTATTCAACCATGTAATTACTGGCAGCACCAGTGGGATTATATCAGTTTGAAGTATGCCTTTTACGACTTGACATATTGTACACGAAGTTTTAAGTTCCGTTGCCTTCATTAATATTTCTTAAAAAAACAAAAATAATTTTGTTGAAAAAAAAAAAGTACACCCCACAATGTACTGGTATACTGTACACAATTTTTGTTACAGATTGACATACAGGAGTTATACATTCTGACCTCATTACAGTCTTTACAAACTACGTGGTTTTTCTATTATATTTAAAGATCCTGTATGTTTTGTGAATGATATTGTTACTGTGTGTATACCACACTTGCAAAAAATATATATGTATATAATTATGCAAATAAAACGATTTTCAAGCATTGAAGAATATGTAAAATGTGTACTGCAAATATTTGTGCATATTATATTTAATCATAAATTACATGCATTCATTTCTTATTGGAAAATTTGACTTAGAATTTATAGAAAATAAATTTCTAATTACCTCCCTTTATTTACATGAAATGTTAAATTGGGTAATATCTTTGTAAAAAATGCTTATTGGAACTTATAATATTGACATATCTTAATTTGAGCATCATATTTATGAAATAAAAACATGAAAAAATTGTGTTACAGGATCTTTAAATGTGCAGAGACATTTTTGTCGAGATGATTATATTTTGAATGGATTTTTCAATATACATTTATTAATATTATGAGTATTATCGTTATATAATTTGCAGCGCATTTCCATATATAATAAAATCACTCGCTTTCAAACAGACATAATTCGTCTTGAGTAGACAGATTTAATTGATACAATACAACAATGAAACTCGAGTTCAACATAGAATTACATCTTGTCACTTTTTCGTAATTTACATGGCTTTTAAGTGCTAATGTGTAAATTGTTTCCTATTGGTTACTTCACAATATTACAAAGTCAAATACATTTTCAAAATTTTCATGAACATTTGCATGAATCTGGAAGCGTGCTGCTTTAAAATAACACAGATAAGGATACTATTAATAGAACATAATTTTTTTTTCTTCAAATAAATATTAAAATCCTACGACTTGATCTTTTTACAGTCATTTATTTTAAATGCTAATTAAATCAGATTAATTTTGGACAAGACCACAGCGTTCTATATACTATTGAGTCATGGCAAAAACTAGTATCACTAGTCCAATTAAAGTCTAAACAATTGAAAGATTGATAAAAAAGGTCAACAGCTCATCAAAAGAGTCGCAGTTGCCAGTGTCTTTTGTAGAGGGAAGTTTTAAATCTTGAAGATAACAAAAGTATATATAATCCCGTAAATGAATAATTTAATATCGCAGTGTTGACAAGAAAATTATAAATAGAAATTACTGCATTTTTAAAACGGTTCACGATTAACAGACATGGCAATATATCAAATTTCATACGAACAATAACTTTATATCAAATATCAGACAAATATTTAATATCATGTTAAAGTTTGATACTAACAATTAAAAACTTAGTAGATCAATAACACGATAACGAAAAAGAAGAGAAACATATCGAAGCTTAACAATGCAATAAAAAACTATGCCCAGTTATTACATTGTGTTGTATCTTCGTATACGATAGAAAATAAACATTTTTGCATTTGTTTTTTTAATATGGTTTCTCATGAGATCAATTGTAAGATAAATTATATGTTTATATACTGTATATGGTGCAACGTGGAGATCTTCAGTGAACCATCATTATTCAATTCAAAAAATATAAGACAAATAATATATTTATACTGACATTTTGTCCATCCAATGGTACGAAGGATGTTCAGAAATTATGTCGACTTTTGTTATAATATAACTTGTTATAACATCGATGTTAGACTTAATTGTTTTATTTTTTGAAAAAGACTTTATAAATCACGTGTTTGTTATATTATACATGTAATTTAAATTGCTAATGAAGCTTATTAAAGCGAAACATTTACTGATAAAATTTTAGTTTTGTTGGAATTTTATCTATTTATCCTATTGTAGTTTAATAACAAATAACAAAACATGTAAATGAAGGATTTAAACTTTATACGCCGGCGCATGGCTAACGTCAGTGACGTCACAATAAAGCCGGCTTTTTTCAAAATGTTCACTGTAATACTCGATGCAGTGTTGGTGGCAGTTGATATAGATCGTTAATCACAGCCCCGTTTCAGTCATTGTTATAATTTTACCAAGATACATTTCTCCCTCTCTAGATACATGTCTCCCTCTCAAACTTGTCTGCAGAGTAACGCACGTGACTCGTGCCGCGTGCGCTCATTCTCGTGATTCTTTAGGGACTCGGTACTGCATAAACTTCCATTTCGAATAGTATAGATCAGTAAAGTAGGAACATTTTTAGATTGTCATTTTTGAAATATTTTTTGTGTTTGAAATTATTTTTTGTCCAATAAGATTGCAGTATTTCAAATGAATCGTCACATTTACTTTGGTAAATCCGCAAACTGTTAATCAGTCTAGTAAATCGACTGTTTAAAAAGATAATTTAAAACACCAAGCCGGTTAAAATTTATTAGTACGTATTGTAATAAACTTTAACCTATACTTAATATTTTGAAAAAATGTGGGTTTTACATCGTTTTCAACATTATTGCAATAATAATAAAGCGGTGGGAATTTAACGACACAAGTATTTCACAAAGTCTGTACTAATATAAACTTCCCTTCCGAAATAAATGACATCTCCACAGGAGTCAACGTAAAACCATGAATCATTTCATAGACAATAAACAATTTCAAAGGGTCACAAAGAACGTGCACATCGCGCACATTATCTTTACATCTCTTCTCTTGCTTATTCTAGAATCGCAGAATATTCAGCAAAAATAAAAGAAAGACTTCAATAGACATATGTCTACTGAACAACAGAGAAAATCGGATAAGAATTGATAAAAAACGGGCCGTTTTATTGATAAAAAACGCATTTTTTCGCCGCCGATAGGGGGCGCTTTGACGTCATACTTACGTCATACTTACGCTTTTTCTTTACAAAATAATGCTATGGAACTAAAGCTTACATATCTACATGTTTGCATTCCAAAAATCATGAAATCCGAGGTATTGTCAAATTTAGATTGGAACGTAGCGGCTTATAATTAAAAAATCAAACACGAATTCATTAAAAATAATGAAAATTACTCGAACGTACATACTTATTTTTGAAAGTAACATTCAGTAGGTAATCAGTTTTTACTTGAAAAAAGTGATATAAGAATATATAAGAAAAGGGTATTTATTATACAATAACAACGAAAGTAATGCAATAAAATAAATGGAAAGATTACTAAAAGTTATATTTCATTTTGTATTAAATTTTACTACCTTATGAGGAGGGCAACACTAATAATCCATAGTGCGCCGTTCATTGTCATTCTTCTAATATCAAATAACATATCGTGGTATTTCTTTTTGTTATATAAGGCGTATACGACAGATCATTTTTTTACTCTAATTGTATTGTGTAAAACATATAATTTTGCCAAACGAATAAAAAATTTGATATTATATTAAAGTGGCTTGGTCTACAATGGACACATTTTCTATTTAAAAGTAATTTAATTATTGATTAAACACTAGAAACGTGTCACTTTGGTTACCCTTTTAGAAATTGCTTGTAAATTAAATGTTGGTTAAGTTCTAAGTGGTTTTGTTTGAAAATTTATATGATGAATAATAATATTTTGTTCTAAAATATCTTATTAAAATTATCTGCTATATCAGAATATGTAATATCGGATCATGTATCATTACCAGCAACATCCATTTAAAGCTATTTCATGACATGTTCTTATGTATAATGCTTAATAATACCAAATTATTGAGGACCCTCAATTATGGATCAATTCACTTTATCTAGTATATAAAAATGTTCGTACTCGAAAATGATTTTAACGTTTTACAGGGGGATAATGATGAGAAAATGTAATATAATTCATGTAGTTATGTCATGAGAAACCCGTATTTAGAGTAGCTATTTATAAGCTTGATTAACTGGACTCCTTGCTACAACAAAGTAAAACTATTATTATATCGACATATGAAAATAATTCTATAATTCGCTTTTATGTTTCGACATCTTTAAAACGAATTAAATATTAAATGGATTCTATGACGATTGTTTAACTGCAATTCGTGGACACAACTAAATCGACAGTTTGTGCTTCATTTAATATACAGTATATGCTTAATATCTAAGCTCTAGCTATTTTGTTTTTTTTTAAAGAATTTTTTTTAAGTTTTTACTTAATACATGTATAAGGAAAATCATTGACCCCCTGGGGCGGAGCCAATTTTGACCCCAGGGCATGTATTTGAACAAACTTGGTAGACACTGACTAGATGATGCCAAATATTTAAGCTCTAGTTTTTTCGGTTTTCTAAAAGATGATATTTTAAGTTTTTTCTTTTGGTTGCAATAGCAACCAGAGTTCTGCTTGGAATTTAATTCTTTGAACAATTTTTAAGTCGATTACGAATTGAACATTCCTGTGAAGTTTGGATGAAATTGGCTTTGCAGTTTATGAGGAGATGTCATTTAAAGTAAAAATTTACAGACAGACGGATGCCGGACGAAAAGTGATCACAAAAGCTCACCATGTCACCATGTCACAAAGCAATAACATCAGTATCACAAATCAATATCTTCCAGAACACAATATCTTTCAAAATAATCATCTATTTATGTTTTAACTTAAACCATCAGTATGACTATCAGTTTATGACAATTTAAAACCTACTGGTGTGCAGTACCTCACCATGCAATATTTCAAGCAATATAGAGAACATTAAAGGTCCATTATGCCTCAGAACTGCTTTTATTTATGTGTCTCAAAAGCTTTTTAATTTTGGTGTACTTTTTAGTATCCAAAAGGTTACTTATTGGCTAAGTACCTAAACTATATTTTTCACCTGTTGCTTTTTGGCAATAAGTACAGTTATAGTGAATTGGTATTTTGTATGGATGTCAAAATACATTAGGTAACAAGAAGCTAACATTCTCTAAAACTATTATTTAACATTATAAAATGCATGTTTGCTCTTTCTGAGGAAGTAAAATTTATTTGTTTCTGAGGCATAATGTGCCTTTAATACAAAGAACCATCATCTTTCATCAATTTTTTTTTAAATTTTACAAATGGAAAAAAATCTCCCGTGAGGATGAAATAATTAAGAACTATCTGATACATCAATGAATTCTCTCGGGAGCCACATTGAAGAAATTGCAACAGCAAATTGCCAACTATAAAGCTTTCTGTAACCTGGATGATCTTTACCCCTTTGACCTTATTCTCTATCAATGAAAATGTGATATCTTTTTTACTTAGTAATAGTCTTACTTGATGTCCCCTCCATGTGACGGTAACATAGACTGTAGATCTGTAAGATATCCTTTTGGATCAACAACTGTTTGTCCACTCACGGAATCTGATACCTTTAAACATAACATAACCTACATTAAACTTGGTCAACAAGACAGCTACCATATTTATAGTTAGAGCATTAGCAGTTTAAAGGAACTCCACTAGGGTTAAAAACTCATAGTTGAGTTGAACATTTTACATAGTTCAGATGGTGCACTTTAAACAGCAAGATTTTCAAAAGATAATAAAGAAATATTCATAGAAACAAATTGAAAATTGTATTTTTAAGACAATAATAGCCCAATTTTGGTCTTTTTCACAATTAGATTAAGTATTTTGGAAAAACGATAAGAGCAAATGATGTGAAATTTGGCACACAAGTTCTTGGTCTCTAACTACATGTACATCAAATGGGACATTCATCTCGAAAAATTATATTCTGAGTCAACGGAGTCGCAAAATCGGCACGGGTGTGTGATAAAAATAAATACTACATGAGTGAAAGTCGATAATTTTAAAAATCCTGAAAATCCTGAATTTAGCAGTTTTTTCTACAGTTTTACATAGGAAACAGATGCTTTTCAGGAGATGGATAATCCTGAAAACTTTCACTCATGATACTACCACTATCTGTCCCCTAAATTATGAATAAGAGTTATAGCAGCCCACAAAGAGCCTGGTCAGTTAAAATATTTTACGAGTAAATGTAATAAATGTTCCTGTTATTCTTAGAAATTTGCATAGCAAATACGTTGTAATACAAATTCTGGCCCTAAAAGGGTAAACATCAAGTGTAAAGCACCTTAATATGAAATATACAGATTTGACAACTGCCTTGTCACATGAATATTTGTACAAATTTTACATACCTGAGTAGGTTTATTGTCCATCAGCGTATTCCTAGCCTGTCAAATCTTCTTCATATCTATATCACCAGGCGTAACACCACCAGGTGTATTCAACAACTTTGAAAACATAAAATTGAAAACTGAAAAGGTACCGTTCAGAATATGACTTTGTCTTTTTATTGTTCAATCACAAATAAAAATAAAAAATATTTATATTGACTGCACATATTCATCCTATCATTTGTTCTAACAGAGCCGGAAGTATTATTGTAGATTACACAGTCGTTATTGATGACAAGGAAAATCAGACTATGGCGGCTGATGCAGTTGTTCAAGCGATTTTGGATTTAGACGAAGATGGAAGCCTGGACATTGTTGGAAAACCTGTTCCTGTGAAACCAAGTAGTTTCTTTAACATTAGCTGATATTTTAATTATAGCACTTTCAGCAAAGTATTAAAATTATTTAACTCTATTTCATCAACCAAGTATTTTTCAATATAATATTTTGTAGTTTTATATTCTTTAAGTATGTAATAATTTAACTTTTGACAAACGGAAACTGTTCATGTCAAAAGAAGCGCTTTTTATTACATGTATTATATCATTTATAAAAATTGTTTGACAATCAAATCATGTGTCTTTATATTTTACATGTAGAATGACACGAATTATGAAATCTGTCAATAAAGCTGTTATCAAAACTTGAAATTCTCTAACTACAAATTATTGTCTTTTATGTTTCTTTTAATATTCACTTATCTACTTATATTGTGTTAAAACAGTTCTTTCTTGAGTTTGATCACAAAATGTTCAGGAGGATATTTCATATTTCGAAAGATTATAAAGATGGTTTTTATTGATCATTATCATACAATACTTCTTGATGTTTATTGCAGAGGTGGATTATCTTACAATTGCTGGACTGGTATTGGGAGTTGTTGTTTTCTTAGTGACAATGATATTGCTGATAGTTTGTGTGTTAAAGAAAAGAAACTATATAAAATGGTAAGTCAATTCAATTGGACAAGATGTCAGTTAAACTATTCTTGTGTTTCTTTTCGTGAGTACTATGCCCCAAACATTTTCTGTTATACAACTCGGCCAATGGTGATACTTGCAATTTAAGTTCTTTACATACGCCGTTATAAATATATTCACATTATTCCTTATATACAGAACGTCGGTTATTATAGCAAAAAACAACCTTTAAACTGCTGTCCGCAAAAGATTCTAACCATGCTTTCTAAGAATAGCCGTTTAGCCATGGTCTGAACCGTTCAATATTCGGTCAGTATATAATCTGGAATTTTCATTAATAACGATGAATTTATATATCCAGATTGATAGTTTGGCAAGTTCTCGTCATATATTTAGCGTGGTTCTTGTTAAATGTATTATTGTCCAAAACAGCTAGACCCAAAGCTTTGATGAATATTGCCTTTTTGCGCATGTAAAGCATCACTTAGCGTGTCATCATTTTTTTGCATAGACTTTGATATAAAATACATTTCTTAAAACTTCTAATTATTTCAGACAGTAAAGCTCAATAGGCAGATGTTTTTTTTTATCTTTAATCAAGTGGTCGCTTGCTTGATCTTCGAGGGCTGTCAGGTTTCTGATCTGCTGAACGAGCAAAAAAAAATACGATGAAAGTACCGTTCAGCTAACAGCACATTATAACGTCATCATCGTCGGGTTTTTTTTTGTATATATTGGATATAATGTATCCCATTGATCCATTTAAGTTTGAAACAAAACTTGTTAATCCTGATTATTTCTTTTTTTAATCATGGACGTTTTTTTATCATAAATATACTTTTTGAAATCATCTGAATAGAATCTTTGTATTACGGTATTGACGCAGATGAAATGTCTGCCTTCCAATTTACATGTAAAACATGCATCAAATTTCCTGTAAAAAGAACCATCATAGATAATTCTGGAGCTTTTTTCAACTATTTATCTGATCTGTAATTTAAATTGAAATTGATAGATTATATACAAGAAACTAAGTTCAGATGAATACAAGATATACAAATTTTCTTATCGGGTAATACAAACATGTTTACACAAACTTTTGAATCATTTACTTATAAAGTTGGAGAAGAGTATTGATTATTTGTTCAGTATGCTCTGTGTCTATGTATTTAGATCAAACACCTTTATTCATCATCCTAGATCTTTTATATTGTTTTTTTTG